TTTNTTTTTTTTGTTTTTTTTTTTTTTTTATGTACGCCAACGCCGTCAAATATTGCCGCGATCGAACTGAACTGACCCTATTTGATTCGCAGATCCCACACGCAGGGACTGACGGCCGGCGGCCTGCCTGGCCTGTTTTGGTCCTTGTGCTGGTCCTACACGGGCCAGTTCTTCATTGTACTTTCACTCGCCGAGATGGCGTCAATGGCACCGACAGCCGGCGGTCAGTATCACTGGGTCTCCGAGTTTGCGCCGCGGAAGCACCAGAAGCTTCTGAGCTACCTGTCTGGTATGTCATGCCACGGCCCTTCCCATTTTGCCTCGCTAGAGCCACCCATCCTCAAAGTAACTAACAAAAACACACCTCTGCCTATCTAGGCTGGCTCTCCGCCGTCTCTTGGCAGTCCATTGTCGCGCTCGACGCCTTCCTCATCGGCTCCATCATCCAAGGCCTCGTCGCCCTCAACAGCGCCGCCTACACGCCCTCGCGCTGGCAGGGCACGCTCCTCGTCATGGCCTCTGTGCTCTGCGTCTCCCTCTTCAACGTCTTTGGCGCCAAGCACCTGCCCCTCGCCGAGGGCGCCTTTGTCTGCGTCCACCTCTTTGCGTTTTTCCCCGTCATCGTCACCCTGCTCGTCCTCGCCCCCAAGCAGGCCGCCGCGACCGTCTTTACCGGCTTCACCGACAACGGCGCCGGCTGGCCGTCCATTGCGCTCACCGTCATGGTCGGCCAAGTCTCTACCATGTTTGTCGTCTTGGGCTCCGACTCGGTCGCGCACATGTCCGAGGAAATCGAGGACGCGGGGGTGATTGTGCCGCAAGCCATGGTCTGGGCGTTTCTGCTCAACGTGCCCTTTACCTTTGGCTTGCTGCTGACGTACCTCTTTTCGATTGGCGATGTGCACGAGGCGCTCAGTGACAGGACGGGCTTCCCGTTCATGTATGTCTTTCGCAACGCTACGGGAAGCGTGCGCGGCGCGACGGGGCTCACGATTGTGGTGCTCGTCCTGCTCATCATGGTGACGATTTCGAGCTTGGCATCCACGTCACGCCAGACGTTTGCCTTTGCTCGCGATAACGGGCTTCCATTTTCCAAGTGGCTTGGTGCTGTGAGTGTAAATGAGTTCTGCCCATGATGTACCTGATCTAACTTCCTCGCAGGTACACCCTACATGGCATGTTCCTGTCAATGCCGTCACCTTCACCTGCATTTTCAGCATGATTCTCTCCCTCATCAACATTGGATCTACTGTCGCCTTCAACGCCATGCTTTCCCTCTCCACCGTGGCCCTCATGGCAACCTACGTCATCTGCCTCGGCTGCGTCGCTCTTCGGCGTCTCCGCGGCGAGCCGCTCCCGCACGCTCGCTGGTCTCTAGGAAAATGGGGGCTGCCCATCAACATGACTGCCCTTGTCTACGCATCCTGGGCGTTTTTCTGGAGCTTCTGGCCCAATAGCTACCACCTTACCGCGGAAAATTTTAACTGGGCCTGCATTCTCTTTGTCGGGCTCATGGGTCTATCTGTCGTCTTGTATTATACCCGTGCTCGACATGTTTACCATGGTCCCGTCGCCCTCGTACAACAAAGTTAGGGAGATTAGTTGCAGAGATACAGCAGTCTATCTCTCCGAGCGAGATTTGTATGTATGAAAGTTTACAAGAATAGCAATCACGACCAGATTTGTATACGCAAGCGAGCGTACTTTACTTGGCACAAACACGTAGGCTGATAATTCGATTCCATTTTTCAGGTTATTACTTGTTTACTAAGCCAGCATCCGACAAGTTTTGTCACACTTTAAAGTCGTCGATTCATATATACGTCAAACCCAACTATATATCTTCATACACATACACCTTTTTTATACATGGACGCATTACTGCCCCTCCGCGCGCCTCTCCTTGGCAGCCTGGAGACCTTCAGACTCGTTGCCAATTTGGAGCTCGGGCTCGTCACGATCCAGATCGTACATGTCCTCCTCCTGGGCATCGTAGTGGCGGAAGAGAGCGTAGCAGACGCAACCGGCGATGAATGACGAGACGGATACGCCAGTGTACATCCAGACAAACTTGGGGTTCTTGGAGACGGGAACGAGGCCCTCGGAAATGGCTGAGCCAAAAGCATTGGTAAAGAGGTAGATACTCTGAACAAACGACTTCATGCTGGGAGGAGCCTTGGTGTAGGCGTACTCGAGACCGGTGACGGAGATGAAGATTTCTGCGAGACCAATAAAGACGTAGGCGGGCGTCTGGACGGCAATGTGAACATTGTTGGAGACAATCTTGCCGTCGGGACCCACGGCGGCGGCGCAATGGTCGGCGTCGCGGGGGAAGCTGTAGCAGGGGCCGGCGCTGTAGATGAGGTGCTGGACAATGGCGGCGTAGGCGAGGCAGAGGGCGGCGAGCCAGAAGCCAATGGTGATGCGAGCAATGGGGCGCAGCTCGATGCCGCACTTGCGGAGGATGGGGTAGAGGACGCGATCGAGGACGGGGGTGAAGACGAGGATGGAGAGGGAGTCGAAATTCTGCATAAAGTCGTTGGGCATGCCGTGGCCCTGCATCTGCTCGGCCTGGGTGACAAAGTTGGACGAGAATTGGCCGTAGCAGACCCAGAAAATGGGGTAGAGGAGGAAGACCTTGCAGGCGCGGAGGGCGCGCTTGAGCTCGTCGACAAAGTGATCGTTCCAGGAGACGGGGCTCTTGCCGTGGGCGGCGCGCCACGCATTCTTGGGGGCGTCGGTGCTGCGGCCGACAATCATCATGCCGACGGCCTTGAGGGCGTCGGTGATGATGGAGCCCTGCGGGGGGCGGATGATGTAGGACTTGCGGCGGATGACGAGGACAAAGATGCCAATGTTGAACATGATGAAGCACATGAGAAAGGCGGTCCAGAAGCCCTCGAAGCGCTCCATAAAGGGCGTGGCCATGAGGGAGAGGGCGCCAATGTTGATGCACCAGTAAAAGATCATGTAGATGCGCTGGTAGGTAATGGCCGGGTCGATGATGACGCGCTCGCCGGTGGGCTCGGTGCGGAGCGCCATGCGGCGGCGCTGGTACTGGTCGGCGATGAGCGGCGCAATGTTGGACTTGATGCCGCCGGTGCCGAGGCCGATGATGATGATGGCGACAATGTAGCCGGGGAGGCCGGCGACGTCGCGGGTGGAGGGCAGCGAGGTGACCCAGAGGAAGACGAGGCCGACCCAGTAGACGGCGCAAAAGATGAGAATCGTCTTGTACTTGCCGAGGTACTGGTCCGAGATGATGGCGCCGAGGATGGGGGTGACGTAGCAGAACCACTGGAAGAAGAGGTTGAGGCCCGTGGCGGCCTGGTGGCCCATGCCGAGGCCGGGCGCGCCGTCGGCGCCGTGCTTGTCGTGGCTAATGTAGTTTTGAAAGAGGCCCTGCGCGCCGTAGTAGGTGAAGCGCTCCGTCAGCTCGACAAAGGCAATGAGAAAGGCCGACGGCGGGAGAGACTCGCCCACGCGGCGCAGGGTGGCGCGCTCGTGGGCCGTGGGCTCGTCGCCGTCGCCCGTGGGCAGGCCCGTCTCGAGGTCCTTTTTCTCGTCCGAGACGGCGTCGGCGTCGGCGTCTGGGTGCTGGATGTAGCCGCCGGCAACATCGTGGTGCTTGTTGGGGACGCGCTCTGAGAATTCTTCGTGGAGCCTGTTTTGGTGGTGCAAACAAAGTAGTCTTGTTAGAGGACGGAAAAAAAAAAAGTTGTAAGTGGTTTCTTACTGTACGGCGGGGTCCTCGTGGTTGGTGGCCATGGCTACGAACGGGTTAAACAGGCGAGAGAAGTTGAAACAACCTCTCTACGATTGGGAATACGGCCTGTGAATTGAGGAAGCAATAGAAAAGAGCAAAAAAAAAAAAAGAAGAGCAGAAACGGACAGAGGTGTGGGACAAGACGAGTAGATAAACAGAGGCACGAGGTTGGAGTAATAAGCGGGCATGCGGAGGAGCAACTATCTATCTATTCGTACTATCCTAATACTAACTAGTTTGACAAGACTGGTTGACCAACTTCAGTCTAACTCAAAGTAACTAAAAAGAATGACAGACGTCCGGAGGGGTCTTTCATAATAGCCTCTCCTAATACCCAGTAGTTCGTACTGGTGGAAGTTAGGTAGTTCAAGGCCGACAAGGCGAGGTCCGCAAGGCCCAAAACGGCGGTGCCACGGAGGGCCCACTAATTAATTACGGATTAGTCGCAACTAGGCAAGTGTGTGTGTATATATGCATGTACCATGTACCAGGAACGGCACAATACGGCACTTGGGATTTTTCTTTATCTCTTTATTTTTATTTTTTTCGAAAGAAATATGCCTCCAACTCAGTGCATGCCTCAGGCCTTTTGACATTTTGAGAAGCCATTATCGGGGGGAAATTGCCAATGCAAAGCGTCCTGGTAACGGCGATGCAGCATCCGTATATGACTGAAAAAGTCCCTCGGCAAGGGCACACGCGACCCGGTGCTACAGGGTACGTACGGAATGACCCCGTTCAGCTATTCTGCAGTGTTGCACAAGGGCGGTCAGCTATTTACCTAATCTCAGAGGAAAAAGGAAACCCAACGTTGGTAGTGATGATGCCTCTTTCGCTGCACAAAACAGCTGATGGAAATGCACTTGTTGACTTGATTCAAAGCGACCCCCATGTGGCGTACGCCTCGTCCTTCGAGGTATTTACGGCAATAAACCCGAGTCAACAGCCATTGCCAGCCACCAACAAGCCCCAGCCCACCAAAGAACAAGGCTTCAGCGCCAACTGGTACTTACTGACCCCCCTCCATTGACATCTAGCGCAAAGCCACCCCGGGAAAAAAAAAAGTTTTCATAAGAGCCTTTTCCGCAAAAGTTGCCCGCCCGTCGGCTAAACGGCCTTTTTATCCTTTTTTTGCCACGCATAAGCCAAGACGATCCCGCCGCTGCCCCAAGTCGATCGGATATCCCAAGACGGGCGCCGCTCAACGATGGCAAAAAAAGAGCAAACGGACAAGTAGTCAAAAGACGTCGATGCAAAATCACTCAATCGAAGATTCATTACAACTACCTATGCAATCATGCCAGGCCCGACCGAAACCCCATAGAGCATCCTCTTTTTTTTTTTTACCCCCATCATTGCAGCATGCTTGCCAGACGTGGTGGGTGGTGAATTAAGTGGTGACCTTGCCAAATTTCGTAACATCACGGGCTTCCACACACCCATAATCTCGCATCCGGCCACCACCAACCACAAATAAACTGGAGCTCTCCCGTTGCGACGGTCCCATGGCGAATGGTCCTTTTGTCAACCTGTTTCCGCGACTTGACCGAAACGAAGCTCCAGAAAGATTAGTTAAGGAAGAAGAAGATGAACTGGATACAAGACCCCATCATCGTCGAGCCAATAGCCAGCCATTCGGCCCCTCGCCTCTCGCCTCCCCTCCATCATTGCTTCCGAGCTTGCCGCTCTCATTCATTCCCCCAGCTGACTTTTTTTTTTTTTGGTGTTTGTTTTCGCCGCCTCCTCTTTTTAGCGTTGGGTTGTCTCTTGTTCACCATCCAGCGGCCCTATTAATAATGGAAACCAGGATTCTCTGTCGCTCTCGCCTCTGATCACTCAACCGCCATTACCCAATTCCATGACACGCCCCCGTCGTCCACCACGCAATATCCCCATGGGGCTCCCGCATCGAGTCCAGCTTTTCTGACTGCTGCTTTCTGTGTTTTCGCTCGCAAAGAGTGGAAACATCTCAACATTGTCTTGTCACGCTTCTTTCACCCCATGTATGCACCAAGCTAAGCCAAGCCACGCTGACGTGGTGGGCGGCCACCACCGGCAAGCTGCCAAAGCAACAACCAGCCTTGAGCCGAAGCTTCATACCGAGTCTTGATCTTCCGTCCAAATTATATACGCATTCAGAAACAAGTTGTGATTTAGCTTACTTGACGCAGTTTCCGCCTCAAAAGGCAGCTGCATGCCCGCCGACATTTGTTAGTGAATCACGTACCCGATACAGTGATGTTGGACGTCATGCATACGGGCAACATGCCCCGGATTTCTCAAATGTTTTAGGATTCTGCGCCGATCTGTTCATTCGTTCAGGACCCTCCAGCTGCTAGTCTCCCTCACAGGCCTCGAACCGCGCCGACTATGAGTATTCGGAATTTAATTACATATTACTTTTAGGAAGGATGGCCCGTGACATGCCTGGATTGGAAATGGTAGGCTTTGCCCTCTCGGCCGGCAGCCACGGACCCGCCGACATTGCCGACACGGCGACGTCGCAGAACAGCAGTCCTGCAGGGCTCATCAGGAACGGACGGATGGCCACTTCTCCACCGGCTACATCCTCGCTGTTATATTGCACCGGTCTCTTGGGCATTCCATGGTAGCCATGAACGGCGCAGAGCGTCGCGGTATTCGCCCAACAGTTTACAGCGCGCCGCGTTAACAAGCCCTGCCACATCTCTCGTCTCCCTTATGACTGTTTATCAGTACCAGCACCAACAGCTTCGAGAGGGAAAAAATTTATTCTGGATAATTATACTGGAGATGGCTGCCGCCTCTTGCGCCACCCTTATCTGCAGTGGGACGCGCTCCAGCTCGCGCATCAGCGGCCCAGTTGAGGCGAACCTGCCAAAACCTGTCAGGGCTCCAGCCGCCACATTCGCTCATCAGCTTTCCACTCGAATGAATCGCATGTTGCACCTGTTGATGCTTCAGCTCGTGCCCCACCACGCCTAACACTGGGAAGTGTATACCCAGTGCCAACGCCGACTCTGTCGATGCCAGTCTTCTTTGGCTCGGATTTTCTGAGCCCTGATTCTCCGAAACGGGGCGTACCAAGCCAACCAAGCATTCAACGGGTTGTCCCATCGCCCAAGTCCCCCATGTAACGTAATCTTTTGTTCTTGGTGGAGGCGACATTTCTTCAGAATCCACACGAGTATCCGGGGCGACGGCTTAATGCGTCAATTAAATCCGGAAGAACGAACAAAGGGGAAAGTGACCGAGTGGTGGGCAGTTGTCGTGATAAGTCTGTTCGTACATCAGATGCCTCGAGCTACAAAGTGACCGGACAACCGAAGAAAAATGAATAGTATGAAAATGTGCTAATCAAAGCCAGACCAACATCAACAAGTTAGAAGCAGCGAGAGAACTAAAAAAGAAACAAGAAAATAGAGCAAACAGCAAAAAAGAAAACCACTCTGTAGAGTGGTGGCGGATCTCTCCCGCCGGGAATTGAACCCGGGTCTCAAGCGTGACAAGCTTGCATACTGACCACTATACTACGGAAGATGTTCGGATGTTGACATCCGACGTAGCTGAGATCGATGGCAGAGGGAGCACTATTTGCAGCTATAAGCCCTGACGATATTATTTCCCCTTCTCAGCCCTCAAGCAGAATAAGTGAGCAAGCAGCCTTTGCCCTGCGTCTCTGCCTGCGCCTGTAAAATGACGAAACCGGGGAATAGTATAGCATAGTATATATAGTATGTAACAAATAGAGCGCTGAATTACTCTTTCACCACCTTCACTTTCCCATATACCAACTCTAAGATGATGTTGGCGTTCCGTATCATCTCCGATCTGTGCGCAATGATCAATATTGTGCATCCAGCAAATGCATCCCGCAGGACTCCCTGAATTTTAGCATCCATCTCCAGATCAAGGTGGCTGGTCGCTTCGTTCATCAAAATGACTTCGCTCCGTGTTTCTCTGCAACGCAAATTGAACGCGCAATCGACAGCAACTGTAGTTGGCCCTGAGAAAGCCCAACTTTGCTCAACTGTGCATCCTGCCCATCAATACGGGGTAGTAGACCGACAGTTTCCAATACATGCCTTACTTGATCGTCTGGAGGGGTACCATTTGTAGCCGGCAAATTCATGTTGAATGGGAGCAAATTGCTTCGAACAGTACCGCCAAGGTCCAAGTAATCTTGCGATATAGTTATAGACCGTGACCGCAGAGTGTCACGTGCGACTCTGAAGATGTCGATTCCGTCAATATCGATTGTTCCAGAGTATTCCAGGAAACCGAGCAGGCTCATAAACAGTGAGCTCTTGCCGCTACCAGATCGACCTGTAATGCCGACCTTGTTACCGGGCACAACACTAAGCGATGCGTCTATCAATCTGGAAGGTGTATTCCTTACATAGCTGGCGGTGACATTTCTCATTTCAATCCGGCCTTAACTGGGCCGATTTATCGGAAGATTAATGGGTTCTAGCTCAGGCTCGGTCGGCGTATTTGTCAGAAAGCGCGACAAGGCATTGACTGAATCTTCCAAATCAGCCCAATTCTCGAAGAAGTTTGTAAGACACAAGCTGGAGGTAATCAAGATTAGGTACGAAAGACGTCTTGCTGGAACAGGAGTTGTAGCTCGACGCTCGAGACTTCGAGACGTCAAATGGTAGTAGACACCACAGGCCAGCAGGTCAACTGCCACGCTCAACCAACACAGTCTTCTGAGAAAACATCCAAATCGCGAGACCGACGAGGAAGTTACCTGACTGCAGGCCCATGGCCCTTAAATGGCGTAAGCCGCTGGCTGTCTCGTCAGAATGTTTGTATAACGGTGTCTTGGCGGCTAGCTGGATGCAGCGCACCTGACGAGAAGTTTGTAAGAAGTAGTATAGGAGAAGACCAGCTACAGCTCCGATGACAGGAAGAACTGCAAGCATGTAAGTTGTCCCTGATTATATGATGGTAACTTGAAGAATGGCATCAAACATGAAATAGAAGAATCGCAGTGCCCGCATAGGGAGTGAATCAACAATAAAGTTCATGTCTTCGCTGTATCGGTTCAAGATTGAACCCGTGTCGGCGCAAGAGAAGAATGCGAGGGTGAGATGCATTAGTATACGCGTCAACTTTTGATGCAGGTCTGTTGAGGAGCACGGCACAAGGACATAGAACAGTACGCAGAGTGCGGTTACAGTGGCGAGGGTAGCGAAGATGGGCGCACCCACGTATCCTGCAAAATAGGTCAGGTCTTCGGGAGCAGCTGAAACCCAAACACGGATGAAGTTATCTGGTACGCTTTCGCCAAACGACATGAGAAAAACCGGAACGAGCCAAGCAGCAAACGTCCATCTTCCAACTAAGTCAATGATAAATCCAGCTACGTATAGACGCTGGGGTCGCCATGGCAAACAATTCCGCCATGTCTCGGAATTCTAGAGATCTTTGTATCGCGGATTTTTCATGATCCTCAACTACCCGCACTCTTGTTGGCGACTGATCGCTGAGTGTCCGCAGTAGATTGTCGCGGAAGCATTCATCGTGAAAGTTTCTGGACACGACATCTTCGACGTCTTTGCTCATAAGAGTGAGAGCCGCTGTTTCCCTAGCTTTACATTTGCGACTTTTGTCAAGAACCTCTGCAATGAGAATACCTTGAACTCGTATCATCAAGTGGCTGCTCATGTGTTGAGATGCCCTAGAGGCAGTTAGGCAAAAATAGACCAAAGAAATGCTTAGAGTATCGAGCGCTGTGTATACTCGGCCAACTCCTCCATCTATGCAGAGACGAGCAGACGCTGCATTACGAATGGTTGAGCCAGCAACAAAACGCGAGCGCCAACCGAGGTAAGGCTACAGCAAGAAGCGGCTGCTTGAGAGTCCTGGAGAAAACGATGGCAAGGCTGCGCTTGGGGTCATTCTCAGCATCACGCCAGTACATCTTGAGATGGTGAGAAAGCATCTCTAAAGAGAGTTCCGCGGGGAGCTTGTCTATATCATCCACAGTCGAATGTGTTCGAAACCCTAGTAGGAGCGTGGAATTGAGCCACAAAAAGAGCGCTCTACCCCAAAATCCGCTCGAGGATACTCTCCTTGTTGGCTTTCGCAGGTCACCATCAACTAATGCTGCGGTCCCGGGCAGTTCGTTGACGACCAACAGGAGAAGACGAGCCGCAGCGGAAATGACGGCAACGTAACCAACTGCACGAGTATCGGGTTGCCAGAGATAGGCACGACTCTTGGCGCTATCTACAACGAGACTGAGAACAAGATGTAAGCCGAAGAGCACCAATGCCTTGAAAGCGCGACGATACTCTTGATATAGTACGCCGGCGGCCGAGGACTGCAGTTATCAGCAGATCTAACGTGAACCACCCTTTCGACTACAGCAGGTTAGCGACGCCAAATCTGGTATTTGGTGTTCACGGGCTAAGAAGATACCAGGTGCAGCCATGACGCCGGCGTTTAAAAGTACAGCGACATACGTTAGAAGGATCGAGTGCGGCAGCATGTCTGCGATTTCAGTGCAGTGTAATTGTTTACTTATTTTGTTGATGTACGTGCAGAGGATCGAAGTCTTGATGCCCAAAGATATGACACTGGATTCAAATTCAACAGTCAACCACGTAGTACTTGACTCTGTCCATAATACTCCAACAAGCCCCCTTAAAAGTAACCTCTATAAGTTGGGTACTAAGTAGCTATCGCGCCACATTCTCTGACCACTACCCCCATCATCTAGCACCTGTGATATGGCCTACTCCGTCTGCTTCTTGCTGGACGCAAGTTCAGCATCACGTCTGCATGGTCGGAAAGTCATGCCGCTGCCCCCCAGTTTCTTTACCCCACCAACCCCTGCTAAATGACGAGAGGGGGTGGCGTTGATAGGATCCGTAGCTGCAGAGGTGCAATAAAGGGCGCGAGAAGCGGAAAGTCAAAGGATCCGAGTAGCGTTAGCACTGGGTCTCCTTTATCTGCCAAAGCCTTCCCAACCGCCACAGACAATGCAGCGCCCTCTCTTTCGAGAGTATCTAATGCAGAGGCCGTGAGCCTTGCACGATTTTACCGGTCACTTGTCGTAATACTGAGAGGGGAAGTGGGTGGAGCGTCAACATCGGCTTGGGCCGGAGAGGTTGACGGATCGCAGTCTCCAAGATGGTTGTCCCCAAAGCGGCGTTTTTTATGCCAATCTCGACACCTAAGTTTTCAGGCCAGCCAACAAAGCAATTTGCGTAAACAAGGGTAAACAAGGCTGGCTGGTCTGTTTTTTCCCCAACTAGCGCTGAGCTGTACATATAAAAGCGTAAATAATACCCCAGTCGCTTGAAATCCGTCGAAATTGCTCACCCCCCCCCCGTTCCCCTCTCCAGATGTATCTTTTGGAGGCGCTCGCACTGTCTGCACTGTGCGTGGGGATTCGATATTTACAGACGCTGCAAGACGCTAGGTAGTTTCCTAGCGTCGATGCGGCCCGCAATGTATTCTCGTTTTTAGTGCTGATTACAGAGAGACCGAGACGGCGCGAAATCCCCCCCCTTGAGTCGCTCTCATGTAAAGCCTTTTTGTTTTTTCCCCCCGGAGTCGAAGATGCGATGCCCAAGGAGCGCGGACGGCCTCGCTTGTCCCAATGTACGGCCCCATCGCCCCCTCCTACTCGATGCTATGTATCCGTACGAATACTTAGCTAGCTGGCCTTGCATTTGGGGATATCAGTATCCAAGGCTGCTTCCCCGGGCTCTGCGAAAAGAGACCTCCGTAGTATTTCAAATAGTCTGCCATCCCCCTCACCCACCTTGTCCATTTTTGCTGCCCGACGAATCTCTCATTCGTTTCAAAGTTGTCTGTTCAGAAGGTCATAGGGCGAAGGCGGACGGGAAGCACGGGAAGCACGGGAAGCACGGAAGAGCCAAGGCACGGGCATGTAAAGATTTGTTGCATTATAGTCATCATGAAGAGGAAGTTTAGCTGGAGTACGGGTGCAGGGGCGACGAGAACAGAGAAAGTATCTTCTAACATCTTCTAACATCGTGTGTCGGAAAGTGTGCGTCCTCGAAGCATGCGCACAGCCATCGCCATAGATCGGTACAAGAAATATAAACAGCAAACATGTACATTATCTAACAGAATCGTGCTACCATCACAAGCAACAGGGCAATACAGAATCGTCTTGCCTCAATTTTCAACGTCCTTCACAGTAAAAGTTTCCTTTCGCATCTCTCATACAGCCAACAATTCCTGCGTGACAAAAGGGGGAATCTTTATGCAGCGCAATAAAAAGTGAAGAATGCAAAACAAGTACAAGAAAATAAAGTAAACAAGGCCATTGGTCCAAGCTTGTGACGCCTCGAGAGAAACAGTACTAAAGAGGGTTCGAAAGAGGCTTTATCGTCCGCTCGTCCTACTCGTAATGTCGTGGACCTTCGTAAGAGTTCAGAATGTGCTCCGATGTCCGAATGATCCAGTCAAGCTTGCCTCTGTCGAGGGTCATCAGGAATGGGTCTGTCGGGAAGCCATCCGAAATGTTTGCAATCAGTGGGTGAATGTGATTCACGAGCAGCTGCATCGTCTGAGACGCGCTTCTGATCACGTCACGAGCGCCTTGCTTCTCCCAGTCCTAACAAGTACAGTTAGTGCGAGCTCCGTTTGTTGTTAATCCTCAAATCAAGACTTACATGAGTGGGCATGCTCTCAGCAAAAGCATTGACCGCCATTTCAATCCATTCAATTTCCTCCTTGAGTCGAGGGTTCGGCTTGAGATCTTTCGAAATAGTCGCAATCACGACCAACAACATGAGTGGCGGTAGATTGGCAATTTTGGTAGCGGGGTACCTGCTCAGGCTCCGTCTAAAAATGTCGCCTTCCTTGCCGCTCTGCACCCATTGAATGATGGCTTCCTGCACTCGGCCCTCGTTCATGGCTTGCTCAACACGCTGAATGCGTTGAGTGAGATCATTGTCAGCTTCAACATCATTCTTGCTCATTTGATGAGCATAGGCGCCGACCAGGGCGTTGACGTTGGTGGCCGGACCAACGTGGTCAGAAGGGCCGCTCGAGCCATGCGGGCTTCGTACATGCTGCGGTGCACGCATGTACTGTGGGCTGCCCATGTATGGCTGCGTATTGCTCGCAGCCTGGCTCGGTGCAAAGCTCGGCGGGTGGCTGCCTGTATTGACCGTGTTGGCGCTGCCATAGCCATGCGATGCAACTGCGCTGGGAATATGGTGATCCTGAATGCCGGACACGCCGGGCAGCTCATGGACGGGTTGCTGCTTTAGTTTATACAGCTCAGACTGCATCAGGGCCTGTGCGGATACCATGTTTGACATAATGTCCGTCAGCTGGCGGACCTGGGTCATGAGCTGGTCGATCTTGCTTGAATCTGATATGTGCTGGGCCTTGAGTTGTTCAAATTGCTCATGATACTTCTGCTGAAGATCGCTACCGACGCGCTGAGCTGACTGCGTCGCAACAGAAGTCAATGTAGGTGCAAGGCGCTGCGTCAGATTGGCGGCCATGTCGCGCTGCACGGCCGATGACACTGCTGGGCTGACTCGTTCAGCGACCAAGTTAGCGAGCTCCCCAGACCGCAGTACCTGAGTTAGTGCCTGGGGGATGGCAGACTGCACCTCCTTTTGCACGGTCGACACAACGCTCGGCTGCAACCGGTTGCTGAGGAGGTCCGTAACGCTCTTGCTCGTCTTTTCACCAATGGCGGGAATGACCAACTCAGTGAATTGTCTGTGAATAAGAGACTCGAGCACCTTTTGAGTGTTGTCGTTGAGCACTTCGGAGACCATATCAAGGAGCTTCAGCTGATGTTGGTTGAAGCTCGCGTCCCTGACGCAAGCGCCTTCGTCAATCTTGCTTTGCAGATTTCTCAGTGAAGTTTTCAGCATGTCCGACAACTGAGTAGACAGACGAGCCTCCATGCTGGCAATGGCATTCTCCATGATGTCGGCCGAAATGCCGTTAACGCCTTTGCTGTTGTCATTCTTGTCTGGCTGCCCATCGCGATGAGCTGTAGACGACCCATGTGATGAGGATTCCGCTTCCTTGGAGGCGGCGGATTTCTTTTTTCTAGACTTCTTCTCCGGCCTCTCTGGCTGACTCTCCTTGGCGGATTGAGCAGCAGCATCGTTGTCTTTGCCTTCATTGCGAGCCTTGGCCGTTGTGTTTGAGTCGGGCGGCCGTTGGGTAAGTTCAATGTGGCTTGATGACAAAGAGGCATTTCCTTCCTTGGCGGAGCTGCGGTTGCCAGGGCGGCCTTCAGGGGTGTGATTGTCGGTCGTCTGTGGTGTCTTCAATTTGGAAACGCTGACGACGCCCTCCGCAACGGCATCAATCGCTTGCAGGACTTTATTGTCCTTAGACCATCCCAGCTCATGCTGCTTGATTAGCATACAAGCCACGCCCTTTGAATGCATAGCATAGAGCTCGAAGAGAGTGGGCTCCTCAGCGTCTTGTACCATGGCAGGGTTGCACAGAATATCCAGACTCCTCAGAATACCACGGTTGGCAAAGGAGTATTCCCGGACTCCAGAGATCACAGCGGTACTATCCGGCTGCGAGATGGAGGAGTCCTGGCTGACCAGTCGCTGAATGTAGTCGGCCTGAGAAACGCTCTTGAGGTTGTACTTCGGTGCCGACAGATGCGCAAAGTAGATTGAATTTCTCGTTGGGTGACCAATGACAATCATGCCGCTGGCAGGGTGGTACATGACGCTGCACACAGCATCCGACTCATTGCTGTGTGGAAGGTTGAATTCCTGGACGGGCTTGCCCAGAGCGAGATCCCAAAGCTGCAGAGTGTGGTTTTGTTTCATACCAACTATCATGTAGCGAAGGGCACACCTCCTCTGATAAGGTCGAAGCTTATCCAGCAATAGAACCGATGTAGGCCAGGCTTTTTCGCCTTCCGGCGTGCTAGCGAGGGTCATCAGGGGCTCTTTGACCTCCATGACAGTGTGGGCAGGGAGAGCAGAGCGACCAGTAGATCCTTCCTTGGCTGCGGTAAGGTCACGAACATCCCAGAACTTGACCCGCCCAGACTTATCCAGGGAAACGACTACAGTGTCGTCTTGACTAAAGGTGAAGTCTTTGCCCGCCTTGCCAGTGTTGATCTTGAGAGAGCATTCGTTGAACAGTTTTTCAGTGTCGGCAACGCGGTCATGGCCAGGCTTGAAAAGATTATTCTGAAGAATGTGCGAGGGCCAGATGAAATTGATGCATTTGCCACGGCCAACAGCGAAAAATTCGGGGTGACTTGTCGACGCTCTAGCACGCGTTTTGAGGGTTCCGCCGGGAGCATCGCCGTCTTGTGAGGAAAGGGGAGGAAGGGCAAAACCATACTGCTCCAGATGGGCGTCCTCAATATGATCCTTGTCACCCTCTTTAATCTGAACCCAGTAAACGGTGCCACTGATACCTGTACCGAGAATGGCCTCTTTATGAGGGCCGTCATAGTCGGAAGGTGTAACGGACATGCCGACGTTAAAGATGCGATCCTTGGTATCGGTAAAAACCTTGGTGTCCTTTCCGTCGTCCTGTCGAATGACCCGAAGACCACCTTGCTTGGACATACCATAAGCCATGTAGGTCTGCGAAGCTGTATAGAGATTGCGGTCGATCTGGTCGAATTCTTTCTTGAGTCGAGCGATGTCCATGATTGATTCATCGCGGAATTGTGGCCGGGGTTCGGTTGCACCTTCTTGAAGACTGATTGCTATCCAGGGCTTCATCGGGAAGTTGAAAACCTTGACGGGTGGAATCTCTGGCTCCTCAATGACAACAATCTCGTCTTGATCGGCACTCTCCCAGGAGTCGGCAACAGTTTGATCCTCCTCAGCCAGAATGCGGACGGGGAGGACAGTGGTCGTTGACTCTTCGGTTTCGAGAAGATCGTTTTTCAGATCTTTGCCAGTATCGACATTGGTATCGGCCGTGTGGGCGCCAGCAGAGTCGTCGGGGTTGTCAGAGGGATGCATCTCGACTCGTGTGAGGGTAGAACCGTTGTCGACGCGTGTTTGCTGCTGCTCAGCGCGAGCGAGGGCTTCACGGGCATCCAAGTCAGCCTTGCTGGCCAATTCGCTCACAGCTGAAGACACGGGCTCTTTGCCAGCTTGACTGTGATGACCAGAGGCTAGATCTGCTGGAGGAGAAGCATGCGTCGGGGGTTGGGAAGAGTGCTGGGACTGGTAAGATGGAGCACGGTCAACACGCTGTCGAGTCTGATCTCTGGGGCTCGCATGGGGACTGTGTTCGTTGCTACGCGTCGCTGATTGCTCATGCAGGTGACGGGCCGCTGGCGAGCCCTGGTCCCTTTTGAGAATGTGCAACGGGCCGGCGTTTGCAGCTGCACCCGCTTGCGGGCTTTGCGCAGACGTTTGTGAAAGACTGCCAATAAGCTGCTGGTACAGAGCTGCTGACACATCTGTTTGAGAATCTTGTGAAGCGTTGTACGAATACGACGAAGCCGCGTTTGAAGCAGTTTGCCTAGTATCCGTGAAGGCCTCGGGCTGCTGTTGCTGAGCCGAGGGGGCGTAAGCATTGTGCGCCTGTATCTGACTGTGCGGCTGCTGCTGCTCATAGTACACATCATTAGGCTTTTCACTGCCTGGTGGTGACTGTGCCGAACCTTGCGCAGGCTCGGTCAGCAGAGGCTGATCCGTCTGGCTAGGCTTGGGACGATTGAGCAGATTCAACAGATATGATCGAGTATCCGCCGGAGGGGAGCCATTACCGTACGGATTCGAAGGCTGGGCCGCAGCTGGCGGTGGCTGGCTCGGGGTCGCTTCCTCATTTTCGGTATTTCCTCTAATCAGGGCGGCGAGCAGGCCACTAGGATCGGCGCCAGCTGGTGCAGGCTGGTGAAGACGAGCAGCTGCCGGGTTCTGGGGTAGACTAGGCTGCTTCTGATGCGGCTGTTCTTTTTCAAGCGGCTTCTGCGAGTTTGTTCCCGAGACGCCGCCGCTGAACTTGAGAAGATTTAGCAAACTAGCGGTGCGATCTGACGCATTATTGCCACCAGACGGCGGTGTCGGTGCGGCCGGGAGATCCATGGCCACAGGTGAAGGGGCAAGAGAAAATGAAAGCTACAAGGCAATACAGCGCAAACGAGTTGCGGAGCTGCGCTCAGCGTAGCGAGAAGGGTCGTTAATCAAATTGTTTGGGTAGAGGAGAGGGAAAGAAAAGGATAGCGGAGGGATAAAGCTGGGTGGTTAAAGTCTTGAAAATTAGAGAGCTGTCAAATGCGGTGGCGGGTCGCTGGAGCTTTGGTGCCCCGGTAGTGGCCTAATGGCTGCCAACAATCTTAGTCATCCTCTGTTACGGCCCAATGGTGCAACCTTGTCGGCAGGTAGCGGTGGAAGCACATGAGGACCTGGCCACAACAACTTGTTGCGTTGGGCTTGAAATGCCTTGGTTTGGGCATCTGGTGGCGTCTTGTACGAAAGCGACATCAACAAGTGACTCAGTAGCATTCATTGATGTAGTATCACAGGCAGCAGCAAGTAGCCAGATACATATCTAGGTAGGTAGCCAGTGCACGCAAGTGAAGTATCTACCTAGCTCAAAAAGTAAATAGCACTTGGCACGCCCATTATTCCGTTTGGCACAACAACGAAACGTCAAGGAGGACTACAAGATAACTACCGTTCCAACGTTAAATTTTATCAGGCTCTATCTTGTTCAGAATGCTCGGGTAATCCTGTTGCCTACCTAGGTTCAGGAAGGCTTCTCATGATGCTGATCATTTTCGCTGCGATGTCTAGGTTACGACAGCCAACCCGCTGTAAAAACATTCTGCAGCGGCAATGGCCGCTAGCAGCGTCCGTGACCACTGTATGGGAGTTGCTGGCCGAGCCAGCCGTGCATTTGTAGCCCCACCTCCGCCTTTGCAGCTATTCGCACCTCTTTCTCATGACGACCACATCATACAACCGCCACCCAATAATCTGCACTCGTCAACCCAGCGCCTGTCGGCCGTCACGTCTAGCCATAGCGAACTCCCAATATTCTCCACTACAACTCAGCCGTGTTTCCCTCCAAGATAAAATACCGAGTCGAGAGCCAAGCAGATCGATACCCGAAGCCAAGCCAACGACGGTCACAAAGACGACTCCCTAGGCATTGCAACCGGTCATTCGCTACATTCGCTCATCATACCCAATCTCACCAGGTTACACAGTGACCAACCGTCATATCGAGTCCACGCGACTTGCGCGCAACTGCTTCCCCTTTGCTTCGCCACCCTGACCCGCGACTTCTAAACCGTCGGCAACATCCCAAATGTTCTGTTTGCGCAGGTAAGCCGCATTTCTGCGACATCGCTGTCCTATTTTGCAATAATCTGACCGGAACTCTTGCAGCTGGCTCCCTCTCCTCTTCATCCCGACCAACGCCTCGCCGGCCTTTATCTTTCTCTTCTTCGTCTGCACATATTTTCTCCATCGCCCGTGCGTGTACTGCAGTATCCTCCTTATTATCTTGTTCCTCACCAGCTGTAACTGGTCCGACCGATGCTTCTTCGACTACGATAGCAACTGGTTTCTACCGCGGTCGAGCGGTCCGCTTGAGGAGGCATCATGTACTGGTTTACATTGCTCGACCGTACCAAGTAATAGCGCGGCCATTTCCAATTCGACTGCATACCACCTGCTCAATTCCACAGCGGCTACACTGGCCAAGGCTGCGGTCGCTCAGCCGGAATGGACGGGCTTGGGGCTAGGCTGGCTCAGAAACCTTCTTGGGCAGCGAGAGTGGCAGATTGGATGTATGGATATCTACGTTCGACTTTAATTCATTAGATAAGAAACCATAGAATAATGAAACAGGGTTCAACAACACTGGTGGTTTTGGTTGGCTGTCCGCAGCTGCTTCCGCTCTTTTCCAGCCAGACTTTCTCAAGAACTTCCGGGCTCAAAATATGATTGGTATAGGCGTCATGGCTATCGACATTATGGCATTCTTGATTCGTAAAGTTAAAGACAAAGGACCCTGCTCTTCGTTTCGTCTCCGACAACGGCATCACAATTCCGTCTTTTCATCAGCGTTGGGCGACAGATCCGCATCTCCTGTCTCCGCGTCTCCATCATTCACGTTTCCAACCTTAGCCTCCTCATGCTCCGTTTCCTCAGCCTTCGTCTCCTTCTCCTCCGCCTCATCTTCACCCGCCTCCTTCTCCGCCTTCTTTCCCTTCGCCTCCTTTCCCTTCGCCTCCTTTCCCTCTCCCTTCTCCTCCGTCCCCTTCCCCTCCGCTTCCTTTCCCTCTACTTTCTTCTCTTCCGCTTTCTTCTCCCCGGTTCCCTTCAATTTCGTTTCATTCACCTCCGTTTCCTGATCATCCACTTTCTCGGTCGATGTGTCCACCCGAGGGAGTATTTCTGTGGCATGGTCATCTTTGGCCACTGATATCAACTTCTCATTCACAGGTGGCTTCACCTCTGCGGCGTGCGTCTCTTGAAGAGCCACAGACACAGTCTTTGTCACTGTGACGGTTGATGCGGCCACGGGCAGAGCTAAAGATGCCTCTGCAGCTTCGAGAGCAGACGTGCAGGCCGCATAAGACTCATGAACAGAGTTCGGCGATGAAACCGTATTGTGTGCAAAGTCGGGTCCTTTCGGCGTTATCACCGTACCAAAGTCTCCTTGCGATACCGTAGCAGGTACCTGTAGTGAATTATCGCTTTCTCTGGGTTCACCCTTTCCTGTTCTGTCAAACCCAATGCCCAGATACTGCAGTAAGAGTACACAGAGGATAAACACAACCAGTTGAACAACATCGCGGAAACCATATCTGAAAGTCTCAGACCATGGGCCGTTCCGCAAGTCTGTCACAGCGGAGATGGGCCATGGCTGAGGAGATTCTTTTTGATCGTCTGGTGTCTGCGTCTCCGACTCTTGCACAACACTTTCGTGGCTTTCAGCTTGGCCGTATATTTCACGCATTCTCTCCTCATACAATTGTCTTTCATCCTCGTGGGCAGGTGGTGCGTCAAAGGCACCTTCGGTTGCGGCTCGTTCAATATGCGTTGATGCTGCGATTTCGGCTTCGATAGCCTCACGCTCCTGGGTAGCTGCGAGCCGTTCGAGCTCATCCACAGTTGAAGGATCAAGAATGGGCTCCAACTCGACGTCGACTCGCTCCATTTCCTTCCAGCAAGCATCCCAAGCTCCAGCCTTCATAAGGCCGTTGCTGGCGTACACCTTGGTCCGAAACACTCTGCCCTCTCCAAGAGAATCGTACCGGATATCAGATTGGCAGGTCGAGCACCAGTGGCGCTTCCCTGACTCAGTGCGTCTTTCTTCGAAATCTTCTTCGTCACTAGTCATTCCATCGTCTACCATTGACATCTCATTGGCCGGTCCTAAATAGTGCCCGCACTCGAGTATGCGGGCGCGACGCTGGAGTGGAAGCTCCATGGCCTCGAGAAGCCGCTCCTCCAGGATTTCGAAATCATTTTGAGGATGTGGAAGCAGAATGCCTCGATCGGAAAGTGTGTCTCCGACTCGGGCTTGCAGCTGCTTCCATGCTTCTCGTAGATTCTTGCCCGCGTCACTGAGCTCGCTCGGCCGAGCGTTGTCCATCAAGTCACCCCATGGCCACCGCAATGGCAACAACGTAACATGTAGCAGCACCAGGGGTGGGGTGTTCCTTTTGAATCGGGGAGGTGTCTTTTTCGGAGAGAATTGCGCGGAGACAGCGGGAGAACCGATACGTGAAACGCTTGATCGGGTAGCTCTGCGATTCGAACGAGCGGAGCCCGTGACTGATGGTGGCGGTGAGTTCATTTGCATAGCCTTGACCGAGGACGGCGATCGGAACGGCGGTCGTGGGGCTTCTCTGACAGTCGGTATGAATTCTTCATCTGGATCGAATGGCTGCATGTCGGAAATCTTGGAGCCACCAGTCAATCGTCGAGAAGCGGTCAGGGACTGCTTCGGGTGGTCTGGCTCGAGATTTGAGCCTGTCGAGCTCCTCGGACTATGATTGCTGAATACATCGTCATCTTGCTCATGCTGCGAGCTGCTCTCGCCGGCAGACATCCGACCGTTAGCATTTTCAGAGCCTCCTTGTGACTGTCTGTCACCGGAGACGCTGATGTAGGAATCGCGCCGCGATTCGTCAAAGTCGGACCCTGGCTGACTTGCCGGGCGCCTGTCGCTCTCGTACGAGGCAGCAGATAGGCCCGAATCCCGCCTATTAGCAATGTTATCGTCCTCCGTCTTGACACCGTTTAGGATCGTTGCATCCGACTCGGAGTCGGCATTGAGGTCGTTTGCGAAGCTTGGGGTCGTCATGTTGGTCTGTGAAGGCAACGTGAGGTCAGATGGGCTATGCCCCTCATAGACTATCTCGGGTAATAAGCAAGAATGGTCAACGTGTATCTCGAAATTGAGGTGGTCGTCTTTATTGCGTCGTCTTGGCATCGGCAAATGAGAGCGAGCATCGAGCAAACGGTCCAAGTTGTAGTTTCAAGACAGCGTGTGACAAGCTGATAGGGGCTTGGAGAAAATTCGATCCGCGACGACGGACGCAATCAGCCAGGACAACGAAATTGGTCTCGCCGACGTAGCGTTGGTTGTCCTGGCGGTGTTGATAGTGGTGACAGGGTGGTTTTTGTTTATCTTGTGTTGCCCCGCCAATGCAGCGGTGACGAACCCTGCTCACGAAACGGATGGGCAGCCGGTGAGCCGCCCAGCGCCAACAACGGCAGGTCGGGTTGAAATGAAGTATTCCCTATATCCAGAGGGTTTTTAGGTATTTGCTTCTCGGAAGCGACTATTTTGCAGCCGCTGTCGAGCGATAGTGGACTTTAGTAAAGGCAATTGGAATGCTGGGGCAACTTTCTCGCTAACGACTGGTTGCGGAGCCTCGCATAATTATGGTGCTTGACCGAGTAGCCAAGTTTTGCAACGTGTGGACGGTAAAGAAGGATGGAACTGTATTTCTCAGTAGCATTCTGTCCTGGACTTTTAATAACTCTGACTCTCTGAGCTGCTAACTCTGAGCTAACCTTTATAGTTATCCGTAGTGTGTCGTGGTTTCTTGGTGGCAGGAACTAGCCGAAGAATGTAGATCGCTGTCTCATAATTCCCTCTGAAACCGTTTCAATGAGCGATCGTCGCTGCCAATTGAACATGTCTGATTCGATTTAGAAACACCCCAGCTTGCTTATACGATCAATGTGGTTCATCGCATCTTGTTGAGACTATCATACAAGTTTTGTCATTTACATGTAATGTATGGAATTGGTCATTAGCCCTCATGCATCTTATATTTACATCGCCAAAGGACGCCAGCACTATTGACTGTTCTCGCTGGTGTTTTGGTTGCTTCGTGCTGTTCATGTACCGTCATAGTATAGCATCTGTTCAACATGTGTTCCGTACAGTTCCCAGACCATTTCAGTGGTCGGCCTCGGGTACCATTGTGCTTCATTGTTGTCAGGGCTCATGGCCCCAAACATTGACCTCTGCTGCTGCAGCGCTTACAGGTCCTCGCAGTAGTCGCTGGTGACGGTGACAGTGACAGTCTTGGTGGGCTGGGCAGCAGTGGTGGCACTGGCAGTGATGCCCCAGCAAGCGCAAGCAGACGAGTAGCGAGAGGCACTGTCGCAACCAGAGGCGTAGGCGGGAACGGCGGTAGGGACCTCGGTGGCGGCACGGACCTCGTTGTTTGCACGCTTGGACTTGGGGGCCTCATCGGGGTCAACAGTGACGGTGACGGTGGTGGTGCTATAGATGCGATCAGTAAAGCTACAATAAAAGCATTCGCGGCGAACAATGACAAGGGAGGCTCACGTAGCGTCAGGGACAATGGTGGTGAGCATGAAGCTAGAGCAGTCGTTCTGGCGGGCGGTGACGGCGGAGAGGCCATCGCGGGTACCAGTGACCTGGCGGGCGCAGTTGTCACCACCGCAGCGGCCGGCCGCAACAGCGACGGCGACGAGAGAAGAGACGACGGCCAAGAACTTCATTTTGCAGGATTGAGATTATATGAGAGGCGAGAGTCGGGCGATTGGGTCTGAGGTGTGTGTTGAAGATGAGGCTGGATATGGATGGGAAGGAAGCAAAGGAGACGCAGAAGGGATCCCCAGATAAGAGGCGGCCGGCTCGCTATACTTATATCATCCGCAGTGACAATAATGCTCAGTGATACGGAGTACAAGCAAACCGGCAAGGTGCATGGAGGGCATGGCCCGAGTCGCTGGGCTGCGATTGATGGCTTGGTCCGTGGACAGCTGAGCGGGCTAGCCTTTCCCCTCGCCTTTCCGTTTTCTCTCTTTCTCATGGGCCAAGCCCGCTGATTGTTTGTCCAAATCAATGCGTTTTGCATAATACACAAAATGCTGCCCACCTATCATAAGTCCAGCTGCCCACATGAGGCAGGTGGATTTGCCATTGTGCGGAAAATCCGGCGGCGGCGTGGCCCGGGGCCTGAATGGGCGGGTCAGCTACAGAAAGCACCATGCTTTTTGAGCTTAGCTTCGCAAGGGTTCTCGCCTCTTGGCTGGGGGACGGCGCTGCAGGTTTCCAGGTGGCGCCGAAAAAATTACCTCTAACTTATTCGTATTATATTAATCTGCGGTAACATGGGCAGAAGGCTAGGGCAGCACAAGGCTAGTTCTCTACTCCGTAATGCTGGGAGCAGCTCACTTGCCAATCGAAGGAGGCAAAGGCTTGATAAAGTAAGGATACCGAGTGAGAGCTTCCTCCAAAGACAACAATGAAGAGAATGCGAAGCCTGGGCATAGGCAGTGGTAGCGTTGGTGAAAGACTATGGCTTGTGTGCAGGCGGCAGGCCTAGACTTCATGCACCTTCCTGGGCAAATGCACGCGTTTCCTCCAAAAGTTCTCCATGCTGTGACTCGCACTTTATCTGTATTGCGGCGCACTTGTCCCACCTGGTCACAGCACGGGGCCTCTCTGTACATTCTTATTGATCTCAGCCCCAATTGCGGGCGAACAATTCCAAAAGAGGCTCTTTCATAAACCCCCAAGGCAACTTTGTGTCTTTGATGTCGGCGCTCTGTCGGCTCGTCGCGTGGAGGGAGACTTATCCTCGGGCGGTTTTCTAGGCGCTGCCATCAAGAGACGCCGTCAATGCTGCAAGTCGGGGCGGGGAAGTAAACCGACGTTACAATAGGAATCCGTGCCTCATCTCTCGTCCCCAGTCGCTGCAACTTGATCGCTTCCGTACTACGTTCGACCACCGAACAAGGTAGCTTCGCTAGTTAGCGACAGCAAGGGGAGCTTGACTAAAAGAGGTCCGGGGAGGGGGAGGACTTGTGGAGATGACCCCAACTCTGGCTTGCATGACCAAGCCATATGTACGGATAGACTTGATAAATTGGCAATTCGACAGGGTACAGGCACGGGCCGGCAGATTCAATGAGTCGTGGACAATGGCCAGCCCTGCACAAAAAGGAGACCGAACGCGTGCTGAGTCGATTTCCAAGGCTGGCCTGATAAACTAGTTAGCTAAGTCGAAACGCTAACTTTGTTTCTATAACCGGCTGTGGGACAGCCTCGGACTTCACTGAGGTACATATGTGCAGCCCCCGGCGGGGTTGTCAGCGTCGCGCCCGCATTCACCGGGCGGCATATGTGCAATTCTTGCTCATCCCCAAAGGGTGAAATTTGCTTGCATTTGTTATATTTAATACGAAGTAAAGTGCTCTGTATGTGGCCCTGTGGAACCAACTCATACCCGACCATAACGTTATCATTAATGTACTTCGTATGCCAGATCAGGGCTCGGGGAGCACGCATAATTTTGAGAAATGGAGCCTTTCATGGGCAGAACCTGTGGAACGATTGATCCAAGATGGAAAAAATAGTGCTCGTACTTATATTACAGGGAAGCGTCGCGAAAAGAGACCGCCTACGGAGTATTACTTCATACAGTGTCCACAAAGGCCTCCGCCCATCTCCCATATCAGCAAGTAGGCTGACAGCCACATCCGCTGGGCGTCGCAAAGAAACGAGGGACAACACGTGCGCCATCTTGGCTCGCTGGGGGGGGGGGGCGAGAATTTCGTTCCTGGCAGCGCCCAAGGAAGTTGCTCTTGTACGCAGCCTCATCACTGGCTTTGTACTCGTGCGTTGTTCTCCCGCCTTGTTGAGCAGCAGATGCACGTGTGCGTGTTGTTGAACCTGGGAATGGGAAAATGGAAAGCACGTGGCGATAAAATGGTACACTTGGCGCATGGTAGGCCGCTGGATTCAAGCTTACTTCCCGGAAAGGCTTGCGTTCATACCTTCTTCTTGAATCAGACAAAGGGTCTTCTTCTCATCTGATGCCGCAACGGAGCTTTTGGCGCTGCGAATCCATCGTATCGGGGCTGCATCTGCCACGGCCATGCCGGTTCACTTGCGGATGCGCGTAGTTCCCTAAGAGAAGCAACGAAACTAGTTCTGCTAGGGGAAAAGATGTATATCGCGAGCTTACGTTAAAAATTGCCGACTTAAATAAGAGGTTTTGCCGACTAAAGTGGTGTCGTACATATGGCATTATTGGCTCGAGCCACCGACCAGAACTTGTAAGTATAGGGCGAGGATCAACGCCGCCAATGAGTCTGTTCGCCATCACACGCAACTTCAACAAAGCATCACAAGTATAAAAGAATAATAATCATCATATACATGACACTATCGTAATATCTGATCTATTGTCGATTCGCTGGCACTAGCCCTGGCCTGTTCGGGTGCCTTGAGTCCTTCATACGCAGCTATCTCACTCCTGCGCCTATGTAGCTATTCAAACAAAAGTCACCTTCTTTATTATCACACAGTAGGTGCACAGAGGCATTGATAATGAATTTGTTGCTTCCTGACATCCAATTGTCTCAATGGCTTCCTTTCCGCTCCGTACGCAACATTCAGGGCCAGGCAGCATCGGGCTGACCAGCCCTGCGGTGTACGAGATAAAGTTGGGTGAGGAGAAGCATGATTATGACAGACAAATTAGTGTCGTGTTATTGACTAGTTAATTCCGACGAACAAAAGTATGTTCAGAAAGTGAGTGCAGAGGCGACAAAGTCATCGGCCCCTCAGAGACATTTTTCCCAACAAGCCCCGCGCTCTGATACTAAATTTCAGGCGCAGTGATGTAACACGCATCCTATGGTAATTTATTTAGTTTGGCTGACATATTCAAGAGCAGTTCAAGAAACTCTCCGATATATGAAGGGCTGGATAACGGACAACAAGTGAACGGGTCATCTCATTGTTTGTATGAGCCATCAAGTGAAAATCTATATGCTGCCTGTATGTAAGTACAAGTAAGCGTCGTCAACAATTCCCGTGTCAAATGACTGATATAATGCAAGTAATAGTTTGGATGCATACTCCAGTGGCATCACCCGAATTACGGAAATTGAGGTCATTGGGGTTGGTGATGACACCCTGACATGGGGTTCGCAATCGATGCTCCCGAGCATGCTCCCAAGCGTTCAGTGTTATGCTTCCAATCATTGAAAAATTCCTTGCTTTACTTATCGTTAGTTTTGAATCACAGAGCATCAAGCTCTGCGAAAATAAGCGAGTTCTTACTAGTGGAAGGTAGAGACCGGGTCACCGCGGGAGACTTGGCCACTTCCATGCCACTGCTGCAACACTCATATAGTCTTCTCCGGAAACTGTACACTACAGTCGAATCATTAGTTAATGCTATTAGACTTAGCAGTAAACAATGAGCGATTGCTGCTTTGGGCAGTTCTCATCGTTCTCTTTGCTTCCCTTCGTACTAGCTCTGTCTATCGCAAGCGTCTCAATAGAGACTATGATCGGCTCCCTAAAGTCCCATGCTATGCCTTTGAGACATTACGAGCGGGATTTAGAAGATAACAGAAGGAAAATATACTGTCTCCTACGATTCAACTGTGATCTCTAAGTTCTAGACTAGCTATAGCATGGCAACGAAACAGACGTTGACGGTGTGTTCACGCAGGCCATAGCCAGGAGAATCCGAGATTGAAAAATGCCTCAATACTTATCTGAAAATAATTTACAAGTTTGGTGGCAGGCTTTTTGGAGCTGTGAGCCCAAAGTTATCGAGCGGCAAGAGCTGCCTTGTCACACTTGTGGACTGTCTTGTCATGGATTGCGGCCTCTAAGCATTGCATTTTCTGTGTCAAGAATCATACCCATCAGGGTTTGCAGTCTGCTCATTGGTTCGAATGTGAGAGACAAATGTGGGAGAGCATGAGGCGTGCGAATCTGAAAGTACGAGTCGCCTACTTGGCGAGCGAAGCTGGTAAGCGCACTTCATACTAAGTTGAAAATTCTGCCCCTCAATTTGTCATGCTATGAATGACTAGGTCACACGCTGTGGACTACTCCTGTTTGCTTAGTTGAGGCGCGTTTGGGATTCGTGTCGACGAAGTCCCTCGGCGTCGACAGGGTCAAATACACAGAGTCGTAAACCAACTACTATACTGTGCAGCTGACGAGTTTTATGGGATTCCACAACTATTTTAGCATGATCTTGACTTCCCATCACAAAGCACTCCTCTAGTTGTAATTGCCGAGGAGGGGATATGCACACGTTGCAGACCAGGGCAAGCACAAAGGAGTAAAATCTACCCGAAGGACGGCGTGAATATGACTCGAGAATACAGCAACCAGGAGCAGCAACCCGGAGCAGCAACGAGAGAACTAGAAAGTGTTATTCGTTGAAGTAGTCCGTTGCACCTCCCCACGAAGCAGAGCCGACGAGAAGCGTCTCGATACACGTTCTGTCGAACGACAAACAAAAGGCAAAATCAGCAGGGGCATTGAAAAGTATCAAGCCAAAACTGAAAACAGTATGAACACGACATATATTTATGAACACGACCGTCAATTGGCAAGATCATCAAGCTTTTTTTTAATGTCAGCCACAATCTCTTTCCACTCACGCATTGCGCCCTGCCCAACATCGCCACATGCGAGAGCCTTGGGCTGCGGCAGTAGAACAGTGAACCATGGCCACGAACGCAGGGTATCCAAATGCTTTTCCGTAAGAGGATGCTCCCACATTAATGTGTTCATTGACGGAGCGACGACGATGGCAGCGCGGCGAGTATCCCAGGCGCGGATGACGCTGGAGAGCAAGTCATCACACATGCCTGCAGCAATGCGGGCGAGCAGATTGGCGGAGAGGGGCACGACAAAGAGCACATCTGCCCAGCGACGCAGCTCAATATGCAAAATGCTGTCACCTCTGATCCAGCCGGGGCTGGTCCACTCGTCCTCATCTACGTACAGACCATCAACATTGGGTAAACTGGACAAAGCCGCCAGGTTAGGCTGCTCAGCGGCTTGACCAGCGAGGAAGTGCGTAGCCGATTTTGTGAGAATGACTCGGATGGATAATCTTTCTCTGTAGGATAGCGCAGATATGATTTCAGGAAGCTTGATGGTCGCGACGGAGCCGCTCGCAGCGAGTAACAGATGTTGCTTGCCATCGCCCTGGCTCGCGGCAACGGAGGCGGCAGTTGACTGTGGCTGCTTCTGAACTGTGTCTGCCATGAGATATGAGATGGATTAGATTCCTGTCCACAAAGGATGCCTTGCTCGGCGGTTGTAGGCGGGTGGTGATTGGTGGCCCAGATTATGTGTGGTGGGCTACAATGTGACCTGATGCTGTCTGCATGTGCCTGCGAGGCTTGACGCTAGTGAAAATTGTAGGATGCTGGTGTGTTATTAGAACAAAGCAAAGAGAAAGCAATCGAATCCTGTTGGGTGTGTGGACTGTTTCTTAATAGTCATCAATCATAAAATACTGGTATTACAGGGTGGTGACTGGTGAGCAATGGAGCGCATTTTCGCGGTGGGTGGGGCAGAGCATGTCATCAACACTGAACAGTCAGCCGCGGGTGGAGGAGAATCGTTCGTCCGGGCGTCGGCCAGATCCTAGCAAACGAAATCGAGTGGTCACAAAGCCTCCGACGTAGGCGTTGACAAGATCCAAGAATTGGCGAGCGATTCAAAATCAATGCTGGGCTATCAGCAGACTCAAATTGATAATGGGATTCCTACGTGATGCAGCAGTTGACCACCGGGCAAATTGCAGCAGCGTTATCGTCTAGCGCCTCACTAGACAAACCACCAATCGCACCTCGCAGCCGCACATCTACCCTCCAGAACGAGGCATCACACCGTGACAAGCATTTGGATTCTCGTTTATCACTGGTGCGGGTCACGGACTCAGCTTGGAGCAAAGTCTTAGCCCCGTCAGTAACAAACCAGGGTCGTATCCAAGAAAGTCAACGACTCTTCGTTTGTCCATGCCGACTAGCGAAACGCCAGTTTTGCCCTATTAGCCGTTGAGGCTTGATCCTCTTCAAAAGGGAGTGCGCGTGGGAGGGGTGTGTCGCGAGATTCTCCCCACACAGCATCAGCATCAGGCTATTGCTGTGGAGAGTGACATCGTGGAGAATGTGATCAAATGAGCATCAAGTGATGGGGCTGACATTTGTGGCGCTTACTGAGTATCCAGGCAGACCACGGCTCGTGACGGAGACGAGGGACGGTTTCAATCGAGCTCATTTGAGACACTTGACGTTAACGTCGGCGCTGCTCCCGGTTGCGCCGTAGCCGAGGAAAGCAAATGGTTGTGACATATGAGGCACGCCCTCCCCTACCGCAGATTTACGAATACAAAGTAGCAATTAGCATCTGGCTTCAGCTTGACACGCGTCCTTTATTTCAAGAAACCTTTTGTCTTGCCCGCAACAGTGCACAAGTGCAAAAGCGCAGTGGGCATGCAGGATTCACTAGGCCTCGATCAGGACGGCTTCACCCTTTTCGCCTGGGGTAGGTTTGGGTTACTATAGGTGGGGTTGCAAATGTGGGAAAGCTCTCAGAGGCGGAGAACGCACAAAGAGAACTCGCCAGGAGAGTACCCAGACGTGCCGTGACACCGAACGCCTTGTGGCCAACCGTGGCTAACCAGTGATTCCACAGGATTGCGCACAAGTTCGCAATGAAGTGACAGGGCTAACGCAGCTTTGATTGGGCTAACATATCGGACGGGATAGTGGCGTTGCTAGGAAAGTCTTCAGCATGCCGATCTAATGTGGTAAGTAGTCAAGCCAAATATAAAGGTACATCACATCATGTTTGGATCCGCATTTGCCGACAATGCCAAGTCTTACATTCAGCATGGGGTTGAGAGGCATAGAGGATGCAGGAAGTCTACATCACGGACGGTGTAAATGATGTGCCTTGGTCAGAAGGCTGCTGAACTTGCGCCAGATCATCTGTGGAGGGTTGCATCCATTGCCTTTGGCCCCTGTGATGGGAGGTAGAGGAGGGGTGCCCCGACTAACCACAGAGGGGACTTGAGCAAGTACCATACAGTGCGCAACCACTTTGACAGGGGAGTCAGATTCATCAGGGTTGGTCAGAGAGGCCAGCAATCTTGCGTCTACTTTGGGACAACTTCTCAGTGCATCATCAGAATTGGTTGCGGGCACAAGTGTGGTAGGTCACTACACACCAAATGAGTCATGGCGCAGCCAAAAAGACTTTCGCCAGAATCTCCTTCGCGATTGTATCTACAACGAGACAACGCCCAAGCCATTCCTTTACCCACTCACCTACCGTGGTAGCTTGACAATTGTGCTGTCCTATTCACGCCCCTCCAATTGCCACTAGAAGCTCTCTCTAGCTAGGTCAACGCTGCAGCCGTTGTGGGCCTGCGATGCTCTGCTTCACCCATACAGACGCGAGGCACGCCGCGGGCGGCTGGTTGTGGCGCCAGGCTACGACGTACTAGGCGTACCACTGGTGTATTCCTGGGCCGGACTTACTCTGGGAGTAATATGTGGTTGGGGCGGTGCCTTATTACTTTGTTGCTACCAACAGCGGTCGAGCGGGTTTTCATGTTGTATCGGAACCTGAACAGCATCAGAGCTAATCATTTCACTTTGCCAAACAGCCTTACACTTCTTTGACCTCTGTTTATACCAGCATCGTCCCAATTGCACCTCAAGGCTAGCAGTGGTCTGTGTGATACTGTGTCGCATTATCAGTATTTTTGCTGCGATATCTCTCGCCTGGTTCTTGTCTTGGGCTTCCACACTACGGCTAATCTCATTGCGTCCACGACCAACCAACCAACTAGAATGCTGGCAGCATTACCTGTTGTCGAAGGGAAGACACATTATCAGTCAAGCCGCGAGCAAGTGCCATCAATGAAAGAGATGTCAACCACAGCTTAGACCTTCATCGAGCTGGTGCTTTCCGTCGCCCGTTTTCCAGCCATTGGGGTCTTCTCGCCAGCTTGCCCCTCAACCTGCAAAGACGTCTACGCAGTTTGCCTGTACAGAGCCTTTAGCTGTAACACAACGGCACCAGGCAGCCAACATGTCGTCCATGACACAAGAGCAACTGGACAACATTGCGTGGCTTGAGCAAGAAAGGCGTCGCATAAAAAATGAGGAGATCGAAACTGCACGTCGTTCAACCGAACTCTCCATACAGAGATGCCAGACAGAACTCGGAATCACAGACCCTACCATAACTTCGACTATTGCCAGCGAGGTCCTCAGGGCCGAGGAGGCAGAGAGACTTCAAGTGGCTGCCGTCCGCCTCTATTCGCGCGAGATTCAGCGACTGGTTAGCACGGGAGGCCAGCCTCTCCCAGGTGTCCATGTAATAGATGGAGCAAGGAGGATAAACGATGTTCGGCGTGAGCTCACAAGAGCACAGGAAGAACTGGAATCAGGCCGACAAGGACGGAGATACAGACTCTGCCGATATATTAACCAGTGCAGAATCGAATCCACCAGAATCAAAGGGAGGGAATGCGGATTCGCACTTCGAAACGAAATCGTAAGCGAATGTGCGCGCAGACCAGTCTACGATGGAGTCGGCTACATTGTAGCTTTCGGCGCCAAATATCTCAGAGTCGGCGGAGCCGATGACTACCTTACAGTGCACAACCCGGCTTACCCGCGCGTTTCAATCGTTCGAAATATTGCTCCCAACTTTCGAAATATCAAAGTGAAGGGCAATACGATAGCAATACGCGCGCTTAAAAACGCTCATGGCTATGCATATGCGTTTATGATGGGAGACCGACAGGAGTTCCCTTTCAGCAGATCAGAGCCAGGTCTCCTTAGAGAAGACCCGGTTAAGAGGCAACCTGTTACAGCAAGGATAAGAGACTTCGCTGTTGACGCAGGCCACGGGAGAGGTTATGCACTTGCAGTACAAGGCCATGGAGACGATGGTCAATTTCATGGTATTGCGTCTTATAACAGAGTATCGGAAATCTCTCCAAACGAATTCTTTGACACAACGCATCTGAGCGACGAGAAATGTCGCATGGCTGACTTCAACTTTCAGCTCGTCTATGGAAAACTCCCTATAGAAACGGAAATTGAAGTTGGCACACTCCTCATTGAACATGCGCGTTACTATTTCGGTGCCCGATTATTTTGCACTGAATGCAGCCCTCTCAATGTACGATATACCGATATCATGCAAGCCTTGGGACTGAGGAGATTCCACACCGTGGAACCCGCAAGCTTCAACCCGGCTCTCGCAGCCGCAACGTGGAAGTTTGACCTCTGGTCCTGGAAAGCTGCAGAGGAAGAACTCAAACGCCAGGGACAGTGGTTCGTGAACAAGGACACAATGCAAGAGGACCCGGAAGCCGAAAGACGGCCAATTCATGAAGATCCCGAGGAGCCACTCCCAAGCTTGGCTATCGTGCAAGCCGTGCCAACCGTCCATGAAGACCCAGCTGCCTTTGAAACCACCAGACAGCCAACCCATTCGGTTCAAAGTCACTTCGGGCCAGTGCCATGGCCACAGACCAGTGAGAGTATAGAATGGTCCTCTGGATCATACCTCACTGGAAATACAGGCACCACTGACACTGGAACCTCTTCGGGGCTCGGCTACTCAGAATCGGACCAAACTCAGTCAAACTCGTCCACATTTCAGTCTCGGAGTCCTACCGACAGCTCCTCTGAAAGCTTAGCGTCCATTACGCGTGAAGCCAGTAGAGCCTTCATTGTGGCAGATGAACAACTGACAGACAGTCCAGTTTGCTCCGAGTTGCGCGTTTGGCAAGGCTCGGTTGCTGTAGGGGTTCTCAGAGAAGAAGAAGATTCTCGTGCGATGCCGCCACCAATGCTGCCAAAAAATATCCCATTCCAACCGACCTCCTCGTCCGAGTCATCTGCAAATCTATCTTCTGAGTCAGACGTTACGCATGCCAGTATGAACGTCGACTCCCTGCCTCGTCCATCATCTGATGCCAAGGGCAACCGGCCGACTTCTTCAATTTCGCTCGGCGAACTAGATCCTAGCACACAGACAGAACTGCCAGCAACAGGCTTATATAACGAGGAGGGAGAAGGGCGTGTTTTTGAACATTGGCGTGTTTCTGATTCAAGCCCTGCTTGTGCATTGTGGTCAGACCCTGGACTACGGTTGCACGAGACTGTTCCTAGTACAGAAGAGGTGTCGCAGACCTCCATGATATATGATCGAAAGGGAAAACGTCCTGCTTCTTTGACTTGGGACGCGCAGCCCAAGCGGCCGTCTCCACTGCGTCAAACTTTGACCCCAGAAGAGACAATTGGGGATATTATACGTCCCTCTGCTCATTACGTGGACGCTAGAGGAATGTCGCAGCCTTTGCATGCTCCGCCAAATGACGCCACGCCAAAGACAGCAAGACTGAGCTGGCCTGATCTGAATCAGCAATTCGATGGTCGAAACATTGCTGTAATTCAGTCATCACATGAGGATTTTACACCCTTCTCGCCCAATCCTGGCCACTCTGAGTCAAATTCGACGAGTTCTAAGCCACCCGTAGCATGGCAACAACAAAACCATTCGCCAGCGCCGTATAATGGTTCAGCAATGTTTGTCCTACCTGATCTATCACGCACCTCACGATCATATGCCAGCCCATCCAATGTACCGGAGCCCGGTACTGAGCTGGCAGTTGACAACCAGCGGCCAACCCAACTTATGAGAGCCTCTCGGTCAAACGCTGCGCCACTTTCTTCTGTTATTCATATTGACAGGGTCGAAGATGGTAAGCACTCCGAGACAGAGACGTTCACTGCCACATTTAAATTGACCCTGGAAGGCTCCCAATGGCCAGTTTTGCACATGATCCCAGCGCAAGCGAAGCCCCATTACGAAAACCTACCGCAAAGTACGAATGGAGCTTCCAGACCTTGGAGTAACACAAACTCTGTTGAGGAATTGACTTCAAATACACCTCGGTCCAAAAAGACCCCAGAGCATCAGCAGCAGATGAGGCCACCTGTGCCAGCGCCTTCACCAGGCCGCAGACAAGACCACTTACGACAGCAGCATCGCACACATGCCAGTCAGACGGAATCGTTTACCCAGACTGAGCCAGCTTCAACTAATACATTGCGTCAGTCAGGTTATCATAACAAGACGGTCTATAATTACGTGGAACTTGTCCAAGCAAGGCCCGGAGAGCAACCAAGGCAACCATCTCTGGTACAGACAAGGTTGCCACCGGAGAAGGTTTCAAAGGACGATCGGCAGGCTTCCATGGGCTACAGTCAGGCCAATGGAAACAAGAGCGCGAATCTGTTGAATGTCAAACAGCCTGCCAACACAAAGCAAATCTCGACGCCTGTGACACGGAATTTGAAAGGGCAGCAAGAAAGCAATACCATGAGGTTGCAACTTTCTCAAGACGAACGCAAAGAGCAAAAGACATCACCAACTTCCAAGCCAACACAGGCTACGCGGGCGACTGCAGCGCAGTCAAGCTCTATCCTAGATACTCTCTTGAGTAACATCGCTCTTGTACCCGGGCCATACGTCACATCCACGCCGAACACAAGTTCTGCCTCGGATGCCCCGTCGACTGTGCACCTGAGAAATAATAGCCAACTCTTGCCGGCCAGGAATGTCCATGAGAGTAGTACATTCTCTCGGGAAAGATTGACGCAGCATACCGCTTACCTAACTGCCACCCCTCATCAGGTTGCTCCTCAACAAACCGCCAAAATGACTATTGCGGAACTGACCTCTCCAAATCCTCCTACCTTCTCGTCAGAGTTAGATTTGGAAAAGAAGTCGAAACAACGCCCATGGCAACTGTGAGCCCGGTGGTCAGTTGTGCGAAGAAAGAAGAAGACAAAGCCGAACAATGACCAAGATGAAAGAAATCAGACCATAATCGGGCAAATTTGTTTGCTCCTATGCATTGTCTCATTCTCAAATCTTAATTCTCCCTGTGGAGGTTGCTTTTGTTTATTTGTCTTGTTCTGCTTTAGATATTAATTATATCATCACGAATGCTTCCCGAGACTACTGTACTTTGAAAAGTTCTTTTACTCTGCTTGCGCTTACATAGTCACTTGTCCAACTTTAGTCACATCTCGTGTTTCGTAAGAGATATCGCCTCTCTGTAGACGCGCATGCATTGCCTGGAAAAACATTGGGGTATGAACGCCACAGCTTCTCATCTTCGTGATCGAATAGTGAGCAAGTTTGGCTGGGCTTTTTTTCCCCAACCGAACGACAACTTTACGTTAGGATCATATTCTTGATCCTTTTTTTTTTTTGACATAATCACTTCACCTAATACCTTGTTCTCTTCAATTCTAGATGTAGAAGACTATCTTAGACTTGGCCTCTGACTCCTTTAGTCTTGACGTTTCCTAGGACTGCTACTGTCGTAGTAAAAATGCGGATCCATAGTCTTCATTGATGTGAATTATCTAGGCCTTATATAGGTAGGTACGTTGATAGCTACAGTGCCAAAGTGCTACCCCACTGAGAGCACTCCAAACCGCCCCACAAGAGTTCCAAGTTTCTAGCGCACCAGCCGCCTGTTTGAGGCAATGTAGTGGGTGGATCAAGGCACTGTAACTTGGCCGACGACTTCCTTGGGGTTCTGCAGCTCCTCCAGCTCTTCTGCTCCTCAACCTCGACGATCCAAAAATTGGGCTTGACTGGGCGCGTGGCTTTTCTTTTCTATTCCCTCTGTCTGCTCCTCTCCTACTGTTGGTGTGTCTGGCGGTGTCGTCATCTTGCGGTATCTCTCACATTGATCGACCATTACGGTTCCCCGATCGCTGAAAGCGTCGTTTGTCACGGAAAACAACACGGCAGCTTCTCACCTACCGCCTCACGCGCCTACCTTGCTGCTTTCTCTGTGGGCGCAATCTGGCTGCCTGCACTTGTTGGCTATAATTTCCTTCTTCTTTTCATATCCAATACGCCGGCAGAATCTAGACTGGGCTGCACTCTGTGCCACGGCACTGCTGCCCACTGGCCGACTCTGTGACGTACCACCCTGGTCCTGCCCACTCCAACTGGCGATATTGAATATTTGGCACGGCAAAAGAGGCCACCCAGCTTCTTCTCAAATTAACACAGAATCAATGGCATTCTGAGCACAGACAGTATCAAAATCTTGCGTCTCTACGGCTTGCCAGCCCCTAGCCTACTCACGGTGTCCGCTGGCTGAGCATGCTCGAGACGGCCCTTGCGCAATGAAGCTCCGCACCTCACGTCGTGTGGCGGGTCTCAAGCCAGACGACTTTGACCATGAAATCTGCCTCGTCGACAATGATGGCACGGTATCCCCGCACAACGGCCACCACTTTGCGCAAATAGACAGGACCGCCACCAATTCCAACCTCCTAACCCCCGACGCCGGAACTCGAAGAAGCAGCCGCACTCAAGGTAGTGCTGATGAGCCGAATACGTCTAGCAGGCGCCCCAGCCCCAGCGGGAGTCATGAGGTAATACTTGAGCAGCCCGAGGAGCAAGATAATCAGCGCAATCCGAGACCTTCGCCATCACAGCCCTCTATTGAAGTACACGATGCAACTCCTATGCCTGAGCCTCGGCAGTACTCTAGCCCCAACAAGAGAGTCGACAACCGAGATACTGCCATCGATATTCTCTACGAAAACGAAAGAGGATGCTTTTTATGCGGCGCTGCCTTGTTTTCTTCGAAAGCGCTAGGCGGCTTGGATCCTCCCGCATGGACAAACGAATTTCACAAGCCTTCCTTGACCGACATTCATACCGCTGAGGTTCCTGACCCGACGTGGGAGTGGGCTTGGCCAGATTGGCGTATCAATCACCAAGAAGGAGTCGACGAGTTTGGCTGGGAATATTCCTTTGCATTCCCTGGCGCGTTCTCCTGGCATGGTGCCAAGTGGTGGAACTCATTCGTGAGAAGACGAGCTTGGATCCGGAGAAGAATCAAGAAGCGTTGCGACCATAAGCCTGACGAGCCTCACCTCCTCACCACCGACTATTTTTCTGTGCGCCCAGCATCAGAACGGACAAGACGTTCAGATAGTAGTATCATAAGCCGGGACCCCAGCCGCGCAAGCACCGCGCGAGCATCTACTGTGGATTTCATTGAAGAAGAACCCGACATTTTCGACCTCCCGACTTTGATGCGGACCCTTCGCTTCGCCCGCATAGATCGCGAGAAGAGAGAAGCAGTCGAAAACTACCTGGAGCATGCCCAGGATCTACCGGCCATGCAGAGAAGCATGCACGAAATCATGGGACTCTTCGTCTTCCAGGCTTCACGAAGATTATTGCTATGCCATCTCCTAAGCAAGTTCAATGAAGCCACTCGGGACGCTGAGAAAGAGCCCACACCAGCCACAAAGAATCGAAAAGACGCGCTAAATGCAGCTCTCCGGCATGCGGATGAGGAAGTTCGTAAGCTAGCTTTCTGGAGCGACGTCAAGCACATGGTTGCCTCGGGTGAAACGAGGATCAATTTGGAAGATGACCGACATCAATTCTACGAGACTTTTCAAGGCATCGACCAGAGTGGCCCAGCGCCACCCAACGGAGGCGAGCTTCCTGGCAAATCATGAATTCTTTGTCATTGCAACACTGTACAACCGCACATACCCCTTTTCCTTGTTGAATCAGGTTCTTTTTTCTTGATTTTCTGTTGTCATTTTGCTACTCTCATGGTCATTGCTGGAGTCATTATTGGAGTCGCTGGATTCGAAATGCACCACATTATTCACGGGTTTATTGTTTGACGCTGAAAAATTACTGTCGACCATGCATTATGAGCATTTCCTTGAACCTTTGACTCTACAAGCAGGGAGTCCTTCTCTCATCATCTATCATACGTAATCTTTATTGTTTTGGATATAAATTATGACTGTATTCGATTACCTTGGGCTCATCCTGCTGTCATGGTACACATCTCACGCTCACCCACATGCTTGGCAGCTTGGATCTCACTCATTGATTGGTCATGTACCGCTATGAAGCAAAATATTCATTACTTGCAATCGTATCTCCAGGCGTCATATCAGCAAGGCTCCATCATCCTTTACGATACTGCATCTATCCCGGCCAGCTTATTTCTTCTTGCACACACCAACCTTCTAAATGGACGGATCAACATGATTAGCGTCATTGACCACGACCGAGTGAAGGCTGCAACTGAAACTTACGTTGCCCTGAGCGAGGCAGAAACCACTGCAGCAGGTGCCCATGGAGCCGTTGGCCTTGCACTTTTTTCCGTTGCCGAGGCAGCGAGCCTCGATATCGGCAATGGCCTCTTCATCGGCGACTGCAAAGGACTTCTTCGCGCACTTGCCGACATTCTATAAAAGGGGAAAGATGAAATGATTAGCTATTGTTTGGCCGTATGGAAGGGGATAGATATAGCGGGGGAGGGGAGGTGATTGTGCCGTACGTTGCCCTGAGCGAGGCAGAAACCGCTGCAGCAGGTGCCCATGGAGCCGTTGGCCTTGCACCTTTTTCCGTTGGCGAGGCAGCGCGCTTCGAGGTCGGCCATGGGCTCAATGGCGACGGCGTTGACGCTGGCGACGGCCATGGTGATGGCGAGGACGGAAGCGAGGACCTTCATTTTTCTGGATTGGAGTGGGAGTGCTGAGGGGTGATGAAGACGATATAATCAAGTTTGAGTGTGTTGCTTTTACGAGAAATGTGCTTCCAAACGCCGGACATGTGGTCCTCTTTATACTTGTAAATTCAACATTGAATGTCTGCTCTAGTACGCCGATGCTGTGCAGTTTCTCTGGTTCTTGTGCGTCTCGGAGACATCTCTGATGGGCAATATTTCCTCGGCCGTTGCCAGATTTTAATGAGGAGTTGGCTTGTATGTAGTTGTCGCCAAGATATATGGGGAAGGGCGTCAGAAGTGCATCTCAAAGCTGAGGCCAGCCATTTGTGGCGGCGGCGATCGCTTTCACAAGCACTCCCTCTTACAAAAATTGGAGTTGATTACATGTTCTCCATGCAACGTCCTGGATACTTATGTAGCAGCGGAATCAACACAAGTGCCTGCGACGGCTTTTGCTCTTGTTCTTCAACAACGACTTTACAGTGTTGGGTGTCGCAAATCGAATCAAAACACCGGCTCATCGTCGCGGTATTTTTGCCCCTCCATCGGTAAACTTTTCGGCTCTGGAGGTCGGTAACAACTCATATATGACTAGAAAAAGAAATCTGCAATATAAAATCCACAGTTTTGTGCTTACTGTCTCTCCCGTTTCCGTCGTGCATCGCACATTGGAGAGAGGGGGGCGGGGAACTCAAGATCGGGCATGAACAGATTTGGTTGACACCGGGAGCGGCTTACACCCGGCCCCTCGGGCAAAGGAGGGACCAATCTGACTACATACCAAGCCCTGCGAGTGGTATCAGTAAACGAGCGAAGATCGGCGCAAGAGCGTGAGTGGTCGAGGGGGACGTTCACTGCGTGGCATGACAATTAGCAATGCGCTGCATGCAGTTGACGGGCTTGGAGTTGCGGTCGGCTTGACCCGGGGGAAAGGGCCTGTCGGGGAAGAGGATATCCACGGAGCATCGGAGGCAGCTCAGCGGCAGGCAATAAATGCGGTATGATGATGGGAATATGATGTATATTATGCAGTGTATGTAACAGATTAGTTGATGGTTAGCACCCACTTTGATGGGTGACCCTACAGCAAAGCCCGCGTGCAAAATCATGGCCGTGTAAAGATGGAAAATTATACAAGAAGTGCTCCCAAACAAGGAGCAAAGCGTCCATCTTTGAAACCCTTGACCCCAGATATTAAACCATGTAAGATAATCATAAAAAGATGAGAGTGTAAAAAAAATAAATAAATCGCTACAACACAACACAACTAGTAAGCCCAGTTCCCCCCCCTTCAAAACTCACGACTCTCGCCAATATCACAGACGTCAAAGACGCCCTCCTCGGCGATGCCGCTGCGGCCCAGCGCCCTCCGCAGCAGCCGGGGCGGCTCGAGCACGTCCTCCATGGTCAGCGCCCAGGTGCCCCAGTGGATGCCCATGGCCTGCTTGCAGCGCGTGTCCTTGAATATCTCGACCGAGTCAAACGGGTTGGCGTGCATGGCGGAAAAGGCGGCGCGGGGGAAGTAGGCGCCAATGGGGATGAGGCCGAGGTCAAAGGGCCCGCGCAGGTCGCCAATCTGGCGAAACTGCGGGCACCGCGGCAGCGCGGCGTGCTCCGGGCCGTAGTCGTCGGTGCCGGCGGGCAGGCCCCGCGGGATGCCGCGGTAGCCCGTGTCGCCGCCGAACCAGACGGAGCGGCCGCCAGAGGACACGGCCCACGAGCACCACAGCGTCGTGTCCTTGTCGAGGAGCGTGCGCGCCGAGGTGTGCTGGCAGGGGAGGCAGGAGATGCGGGCGGTGATTGTATTCGTGCCGGCATCATGATTATTATTTCCTCCTCCGTCGCCGCGGTCGACGCCGCTGCTGCTGCCGCTGCCGCTGCTGCTCGCGCCGACTTTATTCACCGTCAGCTCAGCGTCGTGCCACCAGTCCAGCTCGGTGACCTTACGCAGGCCGCTGCGGCGAAACCACGCCTCGAGGCCGAGCCCGACGAAGAACTGGGCCTCGGGCTGGTGCTTTTGAATCTCGAGCACCGAAGCGTGCGAGAGGTGGTCGTAGTGGGAGTGGCTGATGACGACGGCGTCGACGACGGGCAGGTCGCCGAGGTCGCAGGGCTTGGGCGTGTAGCGGCGCGGGCCGAGAAAGGAAAAAGGCGAGCAGCGGTCCTCGAAGACGGGGTCAAACAGCACGCGCAGGCCCGAGGGGAACTCGACGTAGTAGCAGGCGTGGCCGAGCCAGGTGGCGCGCAGCTTGGGCGAGGCGAAGCGGTGCGCGAGGAACCGGGGCTTGACGACGTTGACGGTCGGCGGGGTGGTGTCGGGCGTGGAGAGCTTGCCGGTGATCATGGGCCTATTTTTTTTTTTTTTTAGCAAGCTTGTTGGCATCATTCCAAGGCTTTGAAGAGAAGAGAGAAAGAGGCCGCGGGGGGAGGGGTTTCACATACCAGATGAGTTCGTGGAACATGCGCGAGGGCTCGTTGAGGTTGTACCAGGACGGGTACGGGTTCTTGAAGCCGGTGAGCTTGCCGCTCTTGGTGGTGACGTGGTGCGGGTTGGCAATGGCCTCTTCGGGGATGGCCTTGACCTCGAAGATTTTCGAGACCGACGTGGTCCACGACTCGTCGTCGCCCATGGCTGCGTAAACGGGTTGAAGCGAGTTCTGGGGGGCTGCGTGTGATTTGGGCACAGACAGGTTGATGAGGCAGAGAGAGAGAGAGGGAAGGGGGGGAAAAAGTGTTATTTTTTTTTTTGAGATGTCAATGAGAGAATAAGAAATGAAGAGAGGGCGCGTGGGGGGAGAGAGGACGGCGCAGCAGATGAAAATAAAACACGGGATCGGATGAGAAAAAAAGTGGTTGAGGAGGGCTAAATGATGATGGTGGCGGCGGCGCGCCCGTCGATGAAGCTCACGGACCTATAACTAAATGCTGTTCGGGCATGGGAGCGGAGTTGCAAGAACATGGCGCGGTGAATCTGTCTCACTTTTCATTGAAGCACAAAAGCTGTCTTGGGGAGTTTATTCTTTGTCCTCATTCTCCGATTGGCCACGCATCACAGCCTTGCGGACTAGGATAGCTTGCGGAACAGATTTGAGCTTATTCGTACTCGCGCGACACTGACCGGGCCCAATGAGGCTAACTCCGTCCCGATGGTGGGCGCTTAACGCCGGCGGAGTAACGACGAGATGTAAATACTTGTATCATCCCCAACTCAGCTCAACTCGTTTCTGAAACAAAGTTGGGCTATCGCTAGGCATTTCTTGTCGTTGTGTATTTTTCCGACTCTAGGTCGTGCATGTATATATACCTTATTAGGTAGCATTCGGAGTTGTGCGCTGGAACCTGTGCAGATCTGAACTCCGGATGGACATCCACACTTGCCCAAGTTAAATGGTAAATGGCAATCGGTGCATCTCCAACATTCTACAAATAGTTGGGCTCGCGCCGCAATTACAGTCGCATGTTGAAGACGGCCGCATTCAACACACTGCCGCTTCCATCATCTAGCTCACATAGTTGAATAATGCATTGCTTTGTGTTCCACGGTCTCGTATAATTTAACTATACAATAATAGTAATTATGACCAGATTCGCACAACAACTTTCCAATATTGTTTTTATTCCTCTTCCCCATATAGTCTCGCACCACCAGCGTCTATTTTACAGAACACTCTATTCCTCTTCTTTCTCCTTTGCTCACATCCATCTGCAGCTGTTTCCAATCATGTAAACGCGATTTCCGTGCGCGCACACACACAACTCGGGCGCTACGCCGTCGCATCATCACCCGCTTAGATGGCGAGACGCTCGACCTTGTCGCGAAGGGCCTTGATCTGGCCGGCCAGCTCGCTCGCCTCGTTGGAGTTGATCGAAGCGGCAATGACGGAGCGGCTGACACCGCAGGCACGGCCGAGCAGCGACTTGCTGGGGACGTAGACATAGGGAGTGCCCTTGTCCTCGCACAGCAGGGGAATGTGCAGCAGAATGGCGAGCGGTTCCGTGTCGGCCGCGAGGATGGCAATCTCGCAGGTGCCGCGGTTCAGCGCCTTGGTCACTTCGTTGGCGCCCTTCTTGGACTGACGAATGTGTGTCGCGGACTGAAGAAGGTCGAGAATCTCCTGGGTCAGGGCGGCGTCGGCCAAGGGCCAGGCTGTAAATCGAAATCTCGGTTAGCATAATTCTTCTTGCTCGTTCTTCTTAGACTTGGCGCTACTACGGCCAAGGCAGCATCGACAACGTACCAACATTCTCCTCAGACATCTTGGCAAAAGGGGAGGAAAAGAGAAAAAAAGGTATGGAAGGGGGATTCCTTGGTAAGAGGCTCGCCCGAAAAAGGTTCACTGCCGTTTGGGAATAAAGCAAAGGGGTCGTTCGAGAGATGGATGAAGATCAAGGTAACTAGAAAACCTCGAGACTGGCGGCAAAGAAAAAAAAAATGCAGACCATTACCAAACGGGTGGCGCCCCACCTTCAAGATCGGCATTGGTCAGACTTTTCTCCGATTATTTACTGGCTGCTTATTGCTTGAGATTGCTGTATGAGTGGGTCTCCAGCATAGCATCTCGCGCTTCATCATAAATAAAAATCATGGTTACTATCCGTAATGAGTTAGGATAAAATAAATAGTCAAAAATGGTATCCTTGAAAATTACAGATGCTAATCCTCATCAGTCGTGAAAAAAAAAAAAAAAAAAAATACCCACCACTTCAAACCCCTCCCTCGCTATGCGCTCATTGAAGCTCAAAAACTCGGCAAACAGAGCCCCGTACAAAAATAACAATCATGGCTCGCTCGCCCGCGCAGAGACCCAAGATACGGAAAAGACATCGGCGCAGATGGCACTTTACAGATCCATGGCCTGGGTATCATCTCTCACATCTTCCACACCAAGCTCCTTTTCCAGCTCATCAGCCACGAATCCTTCGTAGTCATCCAGATTCTTTTGGATATGAATTTTGAACTTGATCACATCATTCAGCATGCGGTCAATCTCGGTGTGCAGTTCCTCGCGCAGTGAGTTTGCCTTAAGAACCAACTGCTCATACCTAAAAGTTCAATGTCAGTACTCACCAAAAAAAAAAAAATTCACTGTATGCTTCAAACTTACTCAATTGTCGTATTCATCTCTCGTTGCTCCAGCAGCTGGACCGACTCAGTCAGACCGGCCCGCATTCTGGAGAGATCCCTCTCCATCTTCTCAATTTGCGTATCGGAAGCCATCTTTTGCGCCGTCGTCACCTCTCTCATACTTTCGTACTCTTCTTCGGCGGCACGGACACGGTGGTTGAGAGCTTCGACTTCACTTCGCTTGTCCTCAATGGCTTCCTTGATGCCATCCAAAAGATCGTGGTCTTTAATCATGGTATCCATCGCTGTGCTGCGGCGTTCCGAGATTTCTTTGCGGAGTGATTGGAATCTGCTGCGAGCTTGGCCGCGCACGTCAACATTGACAACTTGGCTCGGCTGATATCCGCTGGTAGAATCTGCCAGCAGTCGATCCGTAACTCCAGACTTTGCGTTATTCCCATAAAAGTTGCTCGATGTAAAGTCGGAGCTGTCGTTGACCGTGAGGCGGAGTTCGTAGTCCTTGCCTTTGGCGTTGACGGCTGTTGATGGGAGCAGCGCAATCTGATATGCGAGCGAGTTGTACTTTTCTACCTGATCTTCCAGATCATCTAGCTTCTGGCTCGCTTCGGCTTCCTTATCGGCCACCTTTTTCTTAATTTCGTCCAATCGTAGGCTGGCGGATTCGATTCCTTTTTGCAGACGCTCCTTCTCAGATGTCATGCGGTCGATATCCTGCATGCTGATACCCAGAGCATCTACCGATTTTTGAAGACCCCTTCGCTCCCCATCTGCTTCCTTGAGCTCGTCGTTCAACTTTTCCAGCTCCTCTTGTAGCATTTGAATTCTGCTTTCGTATTTTTGCGAACGTTGGATGGCAAGGTGGTTGTAGTCTTCAAATTTGACCTTGTCCTCTTCCATGATCTTGAAGTGATCATCCAGTATGGCCGGGTCGGGTGTGGACTTCTCCAAGACTGCTATTTCCTTGAGGAGGCGTGCGTTCTCAGCCTCGAGCATCTCTAGCTCCGAGGTGTATCTACCATTAGAGCGATCAAAGGCCTGCGCCATGGACGCCACATGCGGCGCCAGCACTTTTGCTGCATCTTCATCTCGAATGTCTTCATCCATTGCCAGCCAGTCTCGGTAGGCGCTGCTGAGAAAATCAAAGATGATGTGGTCGCCGGTGACATCGACTCCAGCATCCATACATGCGTAGTCGTATTTTCGAGCCACATATCCGTCGAGCATTTGCGCAAGCTGCATCATCCAGTACAGGAGACCGAGAAATGTAGACCAGTTTTGTCCACCAACAGCGGCAATCTGACTCTTGGTGATGCTCCGCTCAAAAGGGTAGCGCAGCTGCTTTAAGATGGGAGGCACCTCTTGGTCAATGTTCTTCTGGAATCGGTGGCTGGGATCAATGCGGTGATATAGCCATTGGAACATGTAGTTGAAGTCCTTCTGTGTTGGCGATTTCATGACGTTTGGCGACAGAACATGTTTCATCTCGAGCTCAAAGTTATTCTGCATCATGTACTCCATCAGTTCTTGACCAATTCGCGCCTGAAATGCTCTATCTTTGAGCGGCCGAGGATCTCGGGGAACACCGGCTGGTTGGTGTGTCGTCTGAAAGAAGCTTTGATGGTTGTTCACTGGACCGTTCATAGAGGAGCGCGGGCGGAACACGCTGCTTCGTCGCTCAGTATCAGTCAAAGTGCGCGCTGCAGCGGGCGTTCCCATAGTGGTAGCATACGCAGCCTTGGGGGCAAGCGATTGCCTCTTGACTGAGGACAGACCGAGATCTGCGAGGTTAGATCCGGACGAGGTCCGTGAAAATAGCGGTTGGTTGGGGCGGGACATGGCAAAGGACTGTCTAGATCCTGACTGCGCCCGTATATGACCGTTTGTGTTGCGCTTCATTGTTGATCCAGGCGCTGGTATTCCTGTGTTTGGGTTCAGCCCTCCAAGGGTCTGCGCCATGAGTTAGTTCGATCTCGTTACGCTCGTCAAAAGATGCAAGCATTTTATACCTCGCGCGGTCTGCGAACGCTCCACAAGCCGGTGTCCTGAGACATGGCAAGAAGTGTTGCGCAAAGGCAATAAAATCTTTTCCGCAGGTTCGCAGAAGTTTTTTTTTTTTGGTTTCCGGCCGCGAGAAAAACAAGTTGCAGGATAACTTGTCGCAAATGTGACGGAGTCGAGCGCGAAAGTCCAACGGTACATGAGATGCGACGGGTTGTTGCTTGGCTAGAAAGTAAACAAAGACCTTGTCGCACGTTGTAATTGGTGGATAAAGATGGGTCCCAAAGCCTTAAAGCATGGTGGGCTGGCACGCTGGGTACACGTGATGTGGCAGTAAGTTACTGTGGCTAAAACCGAGCAGCGCCACAGTGTTAGTGGCGCTCTTCTTGGGCGGCCTGCAGGTCGCCTACAGAGACCTCGGCACAGTCCGCCGTCGGTCTTTGGCCGGGGCTCCACATATACCGAACGCAGCACATGTTCCCTCGTCATCTTTCTTCCCCAGCTTTTGCTCTCTCTTCGCCAGATCAGCCTCCGTCTGGACTTGACTTTCAACACATTCATTTGAGAGTTCCAAACAGTAATGGCGATTCGCGAGGACCTAGTGGCCTCTGCGGTAAGTTTCCCACTCTTGTGCCCTGGCTGCAGTGAGCTGTGTTTGCTAACTAAAGCTCGTCGCAGGTCCAATGTATGTGGGATTAATCCCCAGCCTCCCCATCCGATCTTCTATTGCTGACCCTGTCACAGTCCTGCAGGACCCCAATGTCGCTTCATCTTCTGTTGAAAATCGAGTTGGATTTCTACAATCCAAGAATTTGACACAAGAGGAGATTGATCACGCACTCGCTCGCACCGGCGCGGGTCCTTCGCCCGTCGCCCCAGCACGTTACGCGCCGCAGGGCTCGCCCCAACCATACTACCCGCCATATCAGCAGCAGGCATGGCAACCACAACCTCCTCCTCGACGCGACTGGAGAGACTGGTTCATTATGGCTACGCTGGTTAGCGGCGTGAGCTACGGTGTCTACACTCTTGGCAAGGTAAGCTCAAGCGCCACAACCATGATACACAAACTTACGCTCTGCATAGCGCTACGTATATCCACTTATTGCACCCCCTACTCCCGAGAAGCTGGAGCAGGATAAGAAGTCGATCGAGGACCAATTCGAGCGAGCATTCACCCTTGTCGAGCAGCTCGCCAAGGATAGCGAGGAGCTCAAGAAGGCAGAGCAGCAACGAACAGAGAAGCTCGATGCTGCACTGGCAGAGCTCGAGACCGTCATGTCAGACCTCAAAACGGCGAATCGACGACGAGACGATGATGCTCAGCGCATTCGCGAAGACATTCAGGGCCTTAAGGATGCGATTCCCAAGGCCATGGAGAACCAAAAGACACAGGCCGACAACCGCCTGTACGAGATCAACACTGAATTGACAAGTCTCAAGACACTAGTCTCTCAGCGCATGACTGCTGGAGCCAGCTCTGCCAGCGGCTTCTCTCGACCAGGCGCATCCTCGACACCCGCCGCTGCGCCCGCTACTCCCGCCGCGACCACTCCCAAGCCCGCAACAGTCTCTGATCCTGCCACTATCAGTACCGAGACTGCCAGCAGCGAAAAAGCTGCCGAGCCCGTGAAAGCCGCGGATCCTCCGAGAAACTCCTCCCATACCCCCTTCAACAAAGGCTCTGGCAAGGCCTCTATCCCTGCCTGGCAGATGGCTATGGCTAACAAGAACGGAGTTGGATCCTCATCAACTGCTAGCGGTAGTAATACCGGCGAGGATGCTTCCAGCAGTTCTTAGGGACACAGTTTGTAGGGGTTTGTACAATATTTCATATTAAAAGGGTCACTGGGAGCTCCTGCAAATTAAGTGGTTAGTGCGTGCTTGGCCGTTTGGCTCAATACAGGCTCTGACTGCGCTATTCCGAACATTCTACAAAAATAATTGATTATTCATCTGAGACTGATTCGCTTATCTCCTGGAGAAAACTTGATCAATGTGCGGAGCAATACCCGATGACTTTCGAGGCTGTCCTGTCAGACTTCTCGAAAGTCCCAGAATGGCAGAGCAAACCTGGTGTTAGAGGCCGCACAGCAGGAGGACTGTGGGTGACTAGGACTCTTGAGATTTTTTATTTATTCCAGAGCATTTGATCCAAGACTTTAGGAAACAATACTCTCAATCGAAAATAGAAATTCTCTTTAAAACTGCAAGGACGAGCTGTTATGCTTGTGTTGTTGAGCCGAGGTTCTATTACTGCCCACTAGACTAACTAGCGCTCCCGGGGCCGGGGTGGCGGACTTGTTCCTGAGGGGCACAGAGATGATAGCCGCATAAATGATCTGTGAGCAAAAGTGTCACGTCTTTTTCTTCTTGTGTTTTCTTGATCAAGTTGTTTCTTTCTCCAATTATTTCTACCAAGTGAACTTGCTGTCCCAGCCATTTTCCAGTTCTCAGATTGACCGCATGTTGCCGAAACCCGAGTGTTAGTGAAACGGCCTACCCAGCTCAAGTCCTCCTCCTCGTCGGCATCGGCCTGCGCGAAAGCAACCAGCTTGAGTCGCCGCCGCCGCCGCCGCCGCCGCCGCCGCTTCTGCTTTGAAAAAAGATGGTCTTGCAGGCCGACACCGACCCCAAGGTCACCCGGGAGCTGATCCGGTCGGCCAAGACCAAGTACGCGTGGAACGCCGTCCGCCGCATCCCCCTGGCCGCCTGGGTGGCCACGCAGCACGCGCTGGGCTGGTCGGAGCAGTCGCAGTACGTCGACCTGTGGACGCGCCTCGTCGTCGGCGTCGGCCAGTCCTTCTTCTCCGGCCAGGACGGCCCCACGTCCATTGCCGAGCTGCAGGCCATGACGCTGCGCCCGCGGAGCGTCCCCGGCCAGACGTGGATCAGCAGGTACACGTCGCCGCCGCCGCCGGAATCGGGCGCCGTGGACGCCGTCATGGCGGCTGTTAGCAGCATGGTGCGCCTCGACGCGGACGCGGCGCGGCTGACGCGGACGCCGGGGTATGTTCCCGTCGAGGCTGAGTGGACGGGCTACAGGCCCGGTGCGCAGGGGGCGGCTTTGCCGGATATTTCGGAACAGGAGAGGTTTGGTGAGATGATGAAGGATGTCACGGACCCGACGACGATTCTGTATCTTCATGGAGGCGGGTACTTGATGCTGGATCCCAAGTCGCACAGGCCGTTTCTGCAGCAGTTGTGCAAGCGTACAGGTGGCCGTGGCTATTCGGTGCGATACCGTCTCTCGCCCCAAGCAGTCTTTCCGGCGGCGCTGTTGGACGCCTTTGTTTCTTACTTGACCTTGTTGTATCCGCCTCCTGGCGCATTCCACGATCCTGTGAAACCAGAGCACATTGTCCTTGCTGGAGATAGGTATGTCCTTCGATTCTTGCTCACCCGATGCATTTCTACCTGCACGCAGTTTCTCTTGGCTGACGAGTTCAATCCGATAGTGCTGGGGGCAACTTGACTCTATCTTTACTACAGCTGCTTCTAGAACTGCGACGCAACAGCGTCCGCGTAGCTTGGCACGGGGAGCAGCGCGACATTCCTCTTCCCGCCGGCGCCGCCTGCAACTCGCCGTGGCTCGACGTCACGCACAGCCTTATCCCCTACGGAGGCGACAAGCCGCTCAAGTACGACGTGACCTCGCTGCCCGTCCCCGAGACCGGATGGATGCCCAACACGCGCGACGACCACATCTGGCCCGCCACTCCTCCGCGCCTCAACTTTTACGCCGACGACCACCTCGTCGCGCACCCGCTCGTCTCCGTCATCGGCACCCGACCCGAGGACTGGGCCGGATCGCCGCCCCTTTACATTTGCACGGGGTGGGAGCACCTGGGCACCGAGGCGCGCGTGTTTGCGCGCCGCCTCGCCACCGCCAAGACGGACGACGTGCCGGTCGTCGTGTTTGACGACTACGAGGCCATGCCGCACTGCTTCGCGCTCATCATCCCTACCACGGCGACGGCGGAGCACTGCTGGAGAGGGTGGTCGGGTTTTATCAAGCGCTGCGTCAATGAGCCGGGGCAGATCAAGAGCAAGGCGACTCGGATCAAACCAAAGACGCTTGTTGAAGAGGAGGTGGATTTTGAGGAGCTGTTGGAGATGAGCGACGACGAGGCGCGGGCTATTTTTGACTCGCAGAATTCCCCTTTCAAGGTTGCACCTCGTTTATAAATCTTTGTATTTTAATACCCGAAAGTTATACGAATGCATGTTATCTGCGGCGTTGTCGCCATTCCCGTTGTCAGCTTGACACAGGCATCGCCGCTTGGCCATACACTCATGAGGTGATACGACAAGTTTCAACCACGACCTAACTGTTAACATCAGAGATACTTGGCCGAGTTTCTCGCACGGCCACACGCCAGATCTTGAAGTGCATCAAACTCGGTAACTGTCGCGAAGCGCCGTGGGAACAGAGTACGACACACGGCATCAGGCTCACGTCACCATTGATAAACAAGTATACGCACAACGTCTGACGACATCATCAAAGTCTCGAACAAAATGTCTAGACAAAATAGAAATCGACCGAGTTGCCTTAGTAAAATGTCAGAAAGGAGGCGAGACTCAAGCACACTGCACCGCTTTCACAAACACTTGATGAGTGCATTGTCTTCGGTTCAAGTAGCTTGAAGAAAAGGCCGAAATAGGATGATGGGACAGCTCATCACTGCTCTACTTTTATCCGTCATCAAGAGCCCCGTGCAGCTTGGCAGATGAGTGAACAAGTGCACGGCGCTTGAAAAAGAAAATAGAGAACTTGCTTCCTGTACTTTTTCCATCCCTCTGTCTTTTGCTTGTGCTAATTATCTAAAGAAAATGAAAGCCTACTCCCTGAAAAAACCATCCGTGTTCTTCTCCTTGCTCATATGAAACATGTCTATGCCTTTCATGCTGACAATCAGCTTGAATCGATGGCCATCTTCCTTCGCGCTTCCCCTATGACAGCAGTGTTGGCGTGGCACACCACCGCTCTGCAGAACTACCCAAAAGCAATAAAAGGCGCAGAATGGTCTGAGTGAGGCTGCAGAAACATGCAGAAACGCTATACTGCGATGCTGCTCACAGACAAATGTAAGTCGACGAAATGACAGTAGGGCTGTATGGATATAGCTTACATTGTGTTGCGCCAAATTTGAAGCAACGGAAACGCCATGTTGGGCAAAGCCTTGCTCGTCACTGACTAGTCTTGATTTTGTCTTGCCACGGGATAAGCCAGCCTGTTTGGCACAGGTTAAGTTGTCTCGTTGCCTTCATCCTTTCAACCCGATCACGGTCCCAAAATACCATACCAAATGACCTCCAATTTACCAGCGCTCTGCCGAGCCGGGAGTACTGTTCCATGTCTGCTTCATGTCCAAGTTGCAATTGGATCAAATCCATACCCCATCTACACGTGTCATTTCCGCACAGCGCGTCTCTCCAAGCCCAGGGCTGGTCGTCGATGTCGGGTTCCGGACCTGAGTCGTCATCGTCACCAAACGTGTTCGAATGCTGACTGTCATTGGGTAAAAGTGCTCCGAGGCGATGGCTTCCTTCAAGGAAGTGCAAAATACCGCAGTGGGTTTGTTGGGCATAGCTCAGCCAAAGTTTCTGCATGGACTCTAGCGAAGCGTCATAGGGATTGAGAACAATCTTCACGTTTTGAACAATTGCCTCTAGATCAGGCTTGTTAATAAATGAAAGCAACTCGTCCATGTCTAAGTCGAGCCACTGAAACAGGAACGTTATGAAGTGGTCCATATCCGATATCTGCTGCCATTCCCACGTGCGAAAGAGCGGCATGAATGCTCTCATAGATTGAGACAGATCAACGGCCGCCCTCAATCCTCTCCTGAAGATTAATTCAAGTACCTGACGGCGTAGAATGGCTTGAGCAATGCGGATGCGTTCGTTTCGACTCAGACGAGGTCGGCCAGAAATGGTTGCCTCACGCTCCGACAGGTCCAGTTCGTGTATGAATTGCCAACGTTGGATGTGGCCATACATGTCAACGCAGAACTGAGTGTCCCTCGTAATGTGCGTCAGGGCAACGGCAGTCTCGGCATCCAGCCCAGTCACCCATGGCAGGCCAGCCACACGCAAGTGGGCTTTGTAGTCTTGAGCTACCTCGGCAACCCGACGAAGAAAATCTTTGCTTTTGTCTAGCCGAGTTTTTGCCAGCATAGCGGCATCTCGAGCCGCGGGGCCAAGGATGTTTCCCACAACCGATAACAACAAAGGAGCCTTGTTAGCAAGAAATGTGTGATAGAGTGTTGGAGATGCTCGAATAAGTGCAGCAAGATCCTTGAACGATTCACAAGACCCTAAAATCGCAAGACGGGTGTCGTAATTGAGCGACTCTAGCTTGGACAACTGAGGAGTTTTATTCATTGCGATGTTGTGAATGAGGAAAAGGTGATGAGGGACAAGAGAGAGAAGGAGAATGTTGAGAAGACTGAGAATGGCAAGAGAGAGCAGGAAGAGAAGAGATATAAAAAGAACGAAAGAAAGAAGAGGAAGAAGAGGAAGAAGAGACATGGGCTGCCCGTAGAGTGTGAGTAACTCACCTTTCGCGCTCCACAATTACACGTACCGGTATTCTTTGTGAGAAGATGCGCGTGAATCAACCGATGATGTGTATTATCTGTGAGAATCTATCACGTAGTGGCTGAGCAAGGGCCGTTTGCTGTGTTACCAAAGCAGTCCCAGTTCATTCCCGGAGGCGATGCGCCCAAAGTACGACGAGATAGTGAGATTTATTTAATCCATGACTAGTTTCGAAATCATAGCTTTTGAGTAGCTAGAACAATATCTCTCTTGGTACTTTTGTTTCTATTACTATCCGAATAGATGAAGACGACGAACTGCTGGCGCAAAATGGCTTGCACGTTCTCTCGTTTGTCATGCATATACGCTCGTTTGTCAGGCAGCCATGTAACTGGTACAACGTTGTTACACGAGATTTTCCCAGCCACTTCGATACGTTACTGCGCTTTCAAACGCTGTTGTGTAACCTACTCAGCAACCTTGCTTTAGAAGTCTCTCAAGCCTCTTTATCATCCTTTGGTCAGCCAAAATGTGGGCGCAGGCCGCTGACCGGCACCGATGAAACTGATGTAAATAAATTGTATGTCTCCAACGAGTGCCACCACAGCTTATAGATGATAAGTCAGCTTGTATCCATGAAAGAAGAGTTTGGGGGATGTGATAAATTGGTCGCCATTATTTGGATTACCTTGGACGCACTGTGGTCGCGCTGGCGCCGTCATTACTAAGGTTCATTTTACATCTGGTCAGCTTATTGGGATATTATTTAGCGAAGCAAAAAGAATAGTGTCCTCCTAGTTACGATATTTGTTGGTTTGTCCCGCCGAATGGAGATGATGTCCCTGAGAGCCACAAGAGCACTCTCCAGTCCAACGTGTGTAAATGGACCACAACACCACAAAACACGACAGACAGAATCACGAGACTATAGCAAGAATGAATTGAAAGCCAACTTTTCAAAATACCTTTTATAATATATCTTCCTTCGATTCTAGCCGAAATAGGTAAGCCATCTCACTGCGTAGCAAGTAGTGGAGCTCCACCAACAGCTTAGTATCCCGGACAAAAAAAAGGAACCGCGGCTTCACATAGCTCCTCTACTCCTTGCACTGCCATTGCCGTCGCCATACACCAATCGGGACCGCCGCAACCCCTCCAAAACCCTCACACGATGGAGCGCCACAAGCAGGCCGTGACCAAGATCGCGGCCGCCGTCCGCGGCTTCTTCGACAAGCGCGAGCCGTACCGCATCCTCCACGGCTCGACCAACAGCACGCGGCCGCGGCCGGGCCAGGCCGGCACCGTCGACATCAGCTCTCTGCGCAACGTGCTCTCGGTGGACCGCGCCACGCGCACCGCGCTCGTCGAGCCCAACGTGCCCATGGACCGGCTCGTCGAGGCGACGCTGCCTCACGGGCTGGTGCCGCCCGTCGTCATGGAGTTTCCCGGCATCACCGCCGGCGGCGGCTACGCGGGCACCGCGGGCGAGAGCTCGTCGTTTCGCCACGGCTTCTTTGACGACACCATCAATTACGTCGAGATGGTGCTCGGCAACGGCGAGGTGGTGCGCGCCTCGCGCGAGGAGCGCGCTGACCTGTTTCGCGGCGCTGCCGGCGCCGTCGGCACACTCGGCGTCACGACGCTCATGGAGCTGAAGCTCGTCGAGGCGAGAAAGTTTGTGCAGACGACGTACCACCGCACCAGCTCCGTGGCCGAGGCTGTCGCGCGCGTCCGCGCAGAGACGGAGAACCCAGCCAATGACTATGTCGACGGCATCCTCTTCTCAAAGGACCACGGCGTCGTCGTCACTGGCCGCATGACCGACGACATCCCCGCCGACCGCAAACCCCAGACCTTTTCCCGCGCCCTCGACCCCTGGTTCTACCTGCACGCCCGCGACCGCACAAAAGCCCTGCCCTCTGCAGCCTCCACAACCGGCAACGGCGGCAGCAGCAGCGACGCCGTGGCAGACGCCAACACCTCCTATACCGACTACGTACCGCTCGCCGAGTACCTGTTCCGCTACGACCGCGCGGGCTTCTGGGTCGGCGCCCAGGGATGGACCTACTTCAAGCTGATGCCCTTTAACAAGTGGACGCGCTGGTTCCTCGACGACTTTATCCACACGCGCATGATGTACCGTGCGCTGCACGCCAGCGGCGAGTCGGCGCGCTTCGTCGTCCAGGACCTGTCCCTGCCGTACCCCAACGCCGAGGCCTTTGTCGACTACACGGCCGACAAGTTTAACATTTGGCCTCTGTGGCTGTGTCCGCTCAAGCCCACCCAGCAGCCGACGTTTCATCCGCACACGGGCCTCACCGAGCCTGCCGGCACCACCGCGTCCGGTTCGCCCGCCGCCGCCGCCGCCGCCGCCACGACGACGGCCGAGACGCAGCCGGCGCCCATGCTCAACATTGGCCTCTGGGGCTGGGGCCCCGCCGACTTTGACGAGTTTGTCGACAAGAACCGCCATCTCGAGACCAAGCTGCAGGAGCTCGGCGGCCGCAAGTGGCTGTACGCGCACACGTACTACTCCGAGGATGACTTCTGGACCATCTACGACAAGCCCTGGTACACGGCGCTGCGGCAAAAGTACGGCGCCACCACGCTGCCCACCGTCTACGACAAGGTCAAGATTGACGTCGAGGCCAACCGCCGCAAGAGGCAGCAGACGACACAGTCGCTCAAGGGCAAGTGGCCCGTCGGCGGTCTGTACGGTATCTGGAAGGCCATTCAGAGTGGCGATTATCACCTGCATAGACGAGCCGAGTGGAAGCACAAGGAGAAGAATTAAAGCAATACAAAGTCAGGCTTTTATCCCTTTGGCTGTGGAAAAGAAGCAAGCAGGTCACGGGATCCACAAGGGTGAGAGACGGTCTCAGACGGAAAGGTACTGGATTTAGACCAACTACTTAGGCTATCTCCCTGGCAAGAAAGTCTTCCCCGGTACAGGCTTACTCCACAGGACTTTCACGATCGCTGGGAATACGCACTAAGTCGTGTGTGTGTGTGTGTGTGTGTGTGTGTGTGTATTAGCTGTACCATATTTCTCTTTATATACTCCGCGACATAGCTGGCATGATAGCGATGCGGGCGTCAAATAGAGCTGCAAGAGTTCTAGTGTAAAAAACGCTAATTGATGGCATGGCCTGTAGCCCTATCCGAGAATATTTTGATCGTTAATTTGCATCATGTGGCGTAGTACTAGACACCAAAAGTATATACAATGTGCGGCCGAATGACCAGAGATGTACTCTGGTACTTCTAAATCGGTGCAATTAGTGTGTCCTTGCTTCCTTGCACCAGCTCGTCTATTAGCAATAGTTGAAGGCTTGTTTCAACATATTCTTGTTCCTTCTCTTTTGTGGCAAAATTCATCTCGCGTCACTGAAATGCTCATCAAACGTGAATACGTTTAGGCCTGAACGGCGTACTCGCGCTTGAACATGTCGTCGACCTTGGTAAGGTAGTAAGCACCGGGGATGATGGTAGAGGTCTCGCCCTTGGGGGTATAGTCCTTCTGGAGATGGGCCTGCTTGCGAAGGTTGCACATCTCGTCGTAAGTAGCCGGGGGGACAGCGCGGCGAGCCTCGAGTCTGGTGGAGATGTCGAGTACCTTGGAAATGTTCTCAACGCTGCCGTTGACGCGGAAGGACATGAACGATGCAGCAAGACCGGAGCCGTAGCTGAAGAGGCCGATGCGCTTGCCCTCCAGGTCCTTGCTGGGGACAAGTGACAGCAGACTGGCGAGACCTCCCCAGACACTGGCGCAGTACATGTTGCCACACATGGTAGCGACCCGAATGGCAGGGTTGACGCGCTCCTGGAAGCGCTTCTTGGTCAGGCCCATGAAGGCCTTCTCGACGGCCTTGTCAGTCAGAGACTTTTCGTAGTCCATATCGCGCAGCTCAGGGGCGACCTCAGCAAAGGCGGGAAGGTCGGCATTGGCGAGGAAATCGTGGTACAGAAGACGGGCGTAGGACTTCTGAACCAGCTTGCAGGTGGGGGCGTGGAATGTCATGTAGTCGAAGCGGTCGAGCGAGGTTTTGCCGTCCTCGGTCTTGGCGGCGCCATTGACCTGCTTGGCCTCACGTTTGCAGTAGTCGCGGTAAGCGGCATCGAGGGCCTTTGTGTAGCAGTTGATCGAGTAATGGCCATCAACGTAGGGGTACTCGGAGGTGAGGTCGGGCTTGTAGAAGTCATAGGCATGCTGCATGTAGGTACCACGCAGGCCAGGCTCGGCAACGACAGGAGCGTTAGGGCCGACAAGCATGGCAACGACACCGGCACCGCCAGTAGGGCGGGCAGCACCCTTGGCGTAGAGAGCGATGTCACCGCAGACGACAATGGCGTCACGGCCGTCCCAGGCAGAGGACTCTACCCAGTTGACGGAATTGAAGAAGGCGTTGGTGCCACCATAGCAGGCGTTGATGGTGTCAACACCTTCGAGGCTGGTGTTGTCGCCAAAGAGCTGCATGAGGACCGACTTGACCGACTTGGACTTGTCAAGGATAGTCTCAGTACCAACCTCGAGACGGCCGACCGAGTTGACATCAATGTTGTACTTTTTGAGGAGATTGGAAGTGACGGTCAAGGCCATGGAGTAGATGTCTAGAATGGAAAGAAGAGGTCAGGTTGTGGTGCTCTGTTGCCTGCGAGCGGTGCGAGAAGCGACGTCGGAGGATGGAGGGGTAGCCTGTACCTTCGCGGTCATCGCAGAAAGCCATCTTGGTCTGGCCGAGACCAATGGTGTACTTGCCGGCGGCGACACCGTCAAATTTTTCGAGTTCACTCTGCTCAACATACTGGAGGAAAATGAATTAGTTTCTCGTCGTTGCGATGGCGACCCGGCAGAGCACAGCATCGTGTGCATAGAGGGGCCAATTTGGAGGGGTAGCGTCAGCCAGCGACATACCTGGCTGGGGAAATAGATTTCGATGGCCTTGACGCCAATGTTCTGAGGACGAGCAGCCATTTTGAAAGGGTATATGGGAGTTGAATGGCAGGAAGAAAAGAATGAGGTAGAGAACAGAAGTAAGGGACGACTGGGAAAGACAAGTGTAGTTAATAAGGGGGGGACGTGGAAGGTTATTAATTTCGAGTGCGACCTGAGCTAGTGGGGGTGGAGAGAAGAGAAGGGTGTGGCATCGCAACAGGATTTTCACCGCCCTTTATTATTAACGGCAGGAAGCTCCAACAAGGCTTGGACGAGGAGCAGACAAGACAAGACAGAAAAATCCGAATTGGCCATAAAGCGGATTCTGCCAGGGGCAGGGGCGGCGAGCTTTCTGGTGGGGTGGTGAGGGACGGTTGGGGGGGACGAGCTTCACACCAGCCATGGCCCATCAGTGCATCACCACGCAGCTGGGTTATAGCCAGTCTCCACCACAGATCATCTTCTCCCACTTGCAAGTGCGGCTGCCACGAGTACAGCCATCGGCTGCCCATGCCAATTCCACTGGCCTCTAGTTCAACGCGGCATATTTGGTCCGTTATAATACAGAGTTGTATTTCTTGGTTTTGCTTCGGAGTCTACCCATCATCCCGTAGCCTTACTCGCTTAAGCTGACGATGACACTGGCCGAATCCCAGTCCGCTAGGCGTCAAGGCAAACGCCACAATTACCATAGCCCCAGCCCAGTCGTCTACCAGAATCAGCATTCGCACGCATAGCATCATCTTGCATGTCTCATTTCCCAGCTGCAGTAGGGCTGCCGTTGCCGTTGACGCGGTAATAACACCATCTCCCAGCCGAGCTCGAGCCGTAATCGCTCCAAACGCAGGCACGGCTCCGAATGGTCTCTCCCACCATCGGCAACCGTCCACCAGACACGAATGGACGGCATCAAAGCAAGACAATCACTTATCTCGCAACTGCCAACTCTATCTATGGCTCCCTCAATGAAAGGCTCTCTCAACCGGCTTGGCTTCATCTACCTGAACCGATACTGATTACTCGATCGCGTGCAACTCCCGTATTCGTACCCAAGCGTTCGGACGAGCCGACAGGGGTTGGCTCTCTTGCCGATAGCTGACTGCACAGATCTATGGTTGCGCCAGCGAAAACTCGTCTTGGTCCCAACTTGGCGCTGGGCTTTGTCTCGGATAGGCTTAGCTGCCAGACCCTTTTGCGCAAAGAGGGTCCGAGTCTAGATGCTGCATGAGCCGTCGTTTGGCCAGCCACGCCGCCCTTGAGCCTCACCAGTCACAGACCAAACGAATATTGCAGGAATTCTTTTACTGATGGCTCGCGTCATCTCTATCGGCATCTATCCATGCTTCCGATACATGCTTCCGATACAAGGAAGTATTATTTCAGTTGCCGCTATCCCCGTAACCTGCCACGGGTAGATATGGGGACCGGGCTGCCTCGACCTGCAAGCATGCCCAATATTTACGTCCGGTCGTAATTAATGCATGAATAGTTACAGTGCAACATGATCGCCGTGGCCACGCGACGCTGCTTGACTAGCAGCCAATCAGAAAAGTCAACAAATTCAGCGTGACTGTGTTGAAATTTCCAAGCTCGAGGCCGTTTTCCAGTGCGGTTGCACCAAACCAAGAATACCGCGTTGTACACGGACACGTCACACGGCACAAAACATGACCTTACAATACGATGATATTTGGGTTCGATTACGCCGGCGAGTACGCCACGGGCGTTCGGACATTGACCAAAAAATACATCATCCACGCTAAATCATGTAGAACGCGATGCGTCCTCCCGATATAATTACGACGTCCTGCCACTGCCAGCCTGTTCTTAGTGTCGTATTTATGATATAGCACTCATGCCTTCGCATTTATTACGACGCATCTAAGATGCCAGATCTTCCATGAGTTTTGCTTGGTAATCGCGTTCGCGATTATATTGCACATTGCACACCAGTGGTCTGGTCTCATCGGGTCTTACACGAACCTAACTAGGATTCAAGGCTGTCCAGGGCTCGTGTTCGCGTCCTTGATCGGATCGGCTCCCGAAAATCGGCCCAGAAACCAGGGGCAAGAGTATCAACACCCGCGGCAAGGTCTGGTGTATTTATTATCCCAGAATCGCCCGTCAATTCAAACATCGCGCCCTTGAAATGTTCTTGCAATGGATGGCAGCGAATCTGCTTCGAGATCGGTTGGCTCGTTTGTGGCTCGGCGTACTATCGGAGCTTGGGTCGGCGCGCTGCCACTGCCCACCCTACACCCGAGCCCTTGACCAGATCATCTCTCCTCCAACGTCATGACCTCTCCACTGGCTCAGCCAAATGCCTCATGGTGGGGGTATAAAACGCAGCTGCTCGTTTTATGTCGACAACTTGCGCGATTAAACTTTGTTATCAGCTTTGATGATCGCAGAGGGTACGTCGCCACATCTAGGTTCTGGACTGTGGCATCATGCCTGCCGCCCCGCCAGACTGCCAAGTACTTGTTGTTGGGAGCGGCAACGCGGGCTTCTCTGCAGCACTCTCTGCCAGCCAATCTGGGGCCCGAAATGTCATTCTAATAGACAGTTGCCCCGAGGAGTGGGCAGGCGGCAATTCCTTCTTCACGGCGGGTGCATACCGTGTTGCGCACGATGGGCTGAAGGATGTCCTCCCGTTGGTGGACAATGTGTCAGAGGAGCAGGCTGCCAACATTGAGCTCGCCCCATATACACGGGATGAATTCCTCAGCGATATCCGTCGTGTTTGCGAAGATAAGTCCGACCAGGACCTTGCCCACGCTCTCGTCTCAGAATCGAACACGGCAGTCAAGTGGCTCGCTGCCAACGGCATCCGCTTTTCGCTGTCGTTCAATCGCCAAGCGTACGAGGTGGATGGAAAACTCAAATTCTGGGGTGGTCTGTGTCTGAAGACGTTAGATGGCGGTAAAAGCCTGATCGATGACCACAGAGCCGCGGCTCGCAGGCATGGAATAGACGTGTACTTTTCTACTGAGCTTGTTGCTTTGCAGCATGCGGCAGAGGGCAGAGATGTCATCGCCTGCGTCAGGTGTGACGGTAAAGAGGCGAATATCAAAGCTGGAGCGGTGATCCTGGCGGCTGGCGGCTTCGAAGCCAACGCGGCGATGCGCAGACGCTTTCTCGGCGCAGGCTGGGACAAGGCCGCCGTGCGCGGCACGCCATACAACACCGGTGACTGCCTGCAGCTCGCGCAGAACTCACTCGGCGCCCAGCCCGTAGGCGACTGGGCGGGCTGCCACTCCGTCGCCTGGGACGCGGCCAACACGGACCCGAATCAAGGTGATCGCCTGGCATCTAATGAGCATACTAAGTCTGGCTATCCGTTGGGGCTGATGCTCAACATTCACGGCAAGCGCTTTGTGGATGAAGGCGAAGATTTGCGCAACTACACATATGCCAAGTTTGGCCGCGCCATTCTCCAGCAGCCCGCGCACACGGCGTTTCAACTCTGGGATGCGCAGACGAGCGGCTGGCTACGCGCCGAGGAGTACCGCAAGGAGCGTGCCGAGCGACTTGAAGCCGACACGCTCGAGGGGCTTGCCGATCTCTGTGTGACGCGCGGCCTCACGGATAAGGATGCCTTTCTCGCGACCATTCAGGCGTACAACGATGCCGTGCACGCACGACCTGCAGACGCCGCCGCGGCTTGGAACCCCGCCATCAAAGACGGTCTCTCGACGGGAACGTGCCTCGCGCTGCCAAAGTCCAATTGGGCGCTGGCGGTGACCAGGCCGCCGTTTTTGGCCGTCAAAGTAACATGTGGTATCACCTTTACCTTTGGCGGCTTGCGCGTGGATTCCGCGACGGCACAGCTCGTTGGCGACGACAGCAAGCTGATCCCGGGCGTATACTGCGTTGGCGAAATGCTGGGTGGCCTGTTTTACGGTAATTATCCTGGGGGCAGTGGTCTCACTTCCGGAACGGTCTTTGGTAAGAGGGCGGGCAAGGCAGCGGCCGAGCATGTCGCGTCGAGGCTGCCAATGTAGAAGCATGGGGGATATGGCACGGTGCAAAAGAAAGGCAGTCGCATGTATTCATCTTGTGTATATCATGGCTCGGAAAGACAAACGCCGTTGCTATGCGATGCTATTTTTTATTGGGGGACGTACCCCAACATAGAGGAGCCTTGACTGTTGTGCTCTTCTTGGTGCACTTTATCTGTTTTGGGCATTGCTGCCACTGGCTCTCCGTTTTGCTTCTCAGCTCCATCATCCTCTCCTTTGCTCTTGCCGTCCTTTTTGTCAGTCGCTTTCATCGTCGCTGTCTTCTGTCTCGTCTTTATCCTCTTCGTTGTCTGTGTCGTCTTCATCCTCGTGCTTCTTTTTGTCCTTGCCACCCTTCTTCTTTCCCTTCTTCTTGGCCTTTTTCTCCTTTGCCTTTTTATCCTTCCTCTCCTTCTTTTCCTTTTCCTTTTGCTCCTTTTCCTCCTGTTCCTTCTTCTCCCTCTCCGCTTTGTTCTTTTTATCCACTCGCATCTGCTCCACCCACTCTTCGACGGCATCGACGGCCGTGTGCGCGGAGCGCTTATGGCGCAAGAGCAGACCTTGAATCTCGGCAGGGCTAAACTCGTCCGGAGGGATGCGACGACCAAATTCCTTGGCGAGGATAGCAATCTCGTCAATGAGCGTCTTCTTCTCATCGCCTCTGGTCACGGCGCCTTCGCCGAGCTCGCCGTCAAATGGCGTGTATATGGCCCTGAAAATGGACGCGCTCATGTCGGCGTCGGCGAGGGAGAAGGGGATGATCATGTCCACTCGGCCGGGGCGGATGAGGGCCTTGTCGAGGTTCTCGAGGTGGTTGGTGGTCATTATAAGAACGCGACCCTCTTGCGCGGCAACGCCGTCGAGAATATTGAGAAGCGCGGAGAGGGACAGCTGTTTCTGAGAAGGAGTCTTGTCACTACCGTCTTTGTCCTCATCTTCCTTGGTCTCACGCGTCTGGGTCAGACCAGCCGTGTCAATGTCTTCCAGAAGCACAATGCAATTGGTGGGGAGCTCGGCAAAAAGCGATGCAAGGTGCTCCTCGGTAGCCGTGAGGGAACTCAGGCTGACAATGTAGATTTTCATGCGAAAGTAGCCCGCGAGAGCCACGCTGAGAGAGCTCTTGCCCGTGCCGGGTGGACCGTAGAGGAGATAGCCTCGTCGGTAGGGGATGCCGCGATTGGCATACCAGCGGCGCGTAGAAGGCTCGAGATAGTCGCCGGCGTCGGCAATGATGTCCTGCTTGAGCTTTTCTGGGAGAATGACGGTGGAGAAGTCGCGGTTCGGACGGGCCATGCAGCGCTGCCAGTAGCTATCAGTGCCGTAAGGGGAGACGGAGCTAGTGGCACGGTAGATGATGGTCTTGCGGTCGTCCTTTCGCAGGTAGAGCAGCCGGGCGTCGGCGAGGAGCTGCTTCAGTATGCCAGGGTCGCGTCCGAGACAGGATACGCAGAGCTCCTCCTGCTCGCTGGGGTTACGCAGGCTGATCTTGTCCTTTGTCTGGCGGCGGGCGAAGCGCAACGGGCGGCCGCGGTACCAGAACCAGTGCGTGCCGGCCGAGGGCGTGTAGTGGAGGACGTGCTTGCCGCGGCTGGAGGACAGCGCAAGGCCGTCTCCTTGTCCTCCTCCGGCGGCGTCGTCCTGGACGCTGTCGGGCTCGTCGTCGCTATCGCTGTAGTCGTCATCGCTGTCGTCGTGAGAGCGGTAGAGATAGTCGCTGCGCGAGTAGACGGATGTGTTGACGACAAAATTGCGCGTTGCGCGGCAAAAGGGCTGATGGGTCATCCACCACATGAGGATGTTGTACGTCTCGTCGTCGGTATGCACGGTGAACGAGGACATGAAGCTGTTCTCGACGTGGTTCATGACGGTGTCGCAGACGTAGCGCCAGGAGAATACGACGGCGATGGCAGAAATGACGTAGGGCAAGTACTGGTTCAAGTCGGCGCCGAGGCTAGTATTGAGCGTCGAGACAAGCACCGAGTACCCAGGAAAGAAGTAGTTGAGGAGCGCAAACTGTGGTGAGGGGATGCCCGAGCTGTCGTTTGTGCTGTCGCTCATGGCATCCTGAACAGCTTGCAGAGGATCCATGATTGCGTTATTGCTTGGTCTCAGAGGTTGCAGCGTTTGCAATGTTTTAATGAGTGAGGTCAAATGCCGCCTGGTTTAGACCCAGACAAGCGCCAAGGTCGCTGCTTAACGAGGACGGGCTGAAAGGTGACGAGAGCGTGAAGGAAGAAGAGGGAAAAGTGAGTAGGAGAGAGAAGAGGAGGATTGAAGAGTCTATATAAGGTCATGAGAAAAAGGCATCCATCGTAATCGACTCGTATTGTAGATGCTTGTTTGGGGGGCGAGGCGGACAAGTTGTCCGGGTCGTTGCCTAAATGATCCTGGCCGTGCGTTCACATTGGCGTGCGACAACAAGTGCATCAAAGGCGGCAAAGTACGGTGTAATCGTAATCGGTGAAAGTGAGGGCCGAGCAAAGGAAGGAAAGATATTGCCACTTTAGGGAATTCGCCGCTAACGACACGAGAAAATGGAGCGTTGCCGATTGAGTCACACTCGCCCCTTGTAGCATCGATAAAGGTGAAGGCATCTTGTGAATAAGGCGGTTTGGTTACATGTCAAACCTGCAGAGTTTTGGGCAATACAATTGGAAAACTCGAGATCAGGCTGCAGTAGAGTCTGAAGCAGAAACTTGACGACCATTTTCTTTTGTTCTAGTCTCTTTTCGAGTTGAGCTTACGCTATTACATCTGGTTGACCAATCCGGGCTGCGTCACACCTTGCACTTACACTGCCCGCCCCCCCTTGTCTGATGCATTAGAGGCGCCGCCTTGTTGGGGCGATGCATGCAGCATTCAGCTTTTCCCTCCAATAGCTGGCAGTTAAAACCCAATTGCTCAGCCTCTTTTTTTCCCCTTGCGCTTCATGATTCAAGGTTGCCTTATTTTTTACACATTCTTCTTTTTTGTCCTAACATAAACGTGACGGGATGCTGCAGGTGGGCGCCGCTAAGGAAATTTTGACAAGGCTGAGTGAGACATGACAAGTTGTTTCGAATCCACGAGGAAAGTGATTTTGTTGAAGAGGGGGACAAAAAAAGAAGCTTGATGAACTGATGGCGCAAGCGGTCATAATGTTTGGCCGGTCTGGTCCGGTTACCTACAGAATGTAGCTGCTGCTGGATGTGAGCTATCCTGGTTCTGTAAAGAAAGGGTAATACCACAAGGCAAAAAGACTTGACCTGTGTAACTCGCACACGAGCCTTGCGAAAACCTTCAACTCATTGGATACTTACTGGTCAAGAGTCATTGTAACACATTCCCTTTCCATACATGATAAGGGACGCCGAGTCTTTAGCCCAACCCAAAGCACAAATCGCTGCCCGACACTGGCATTTGAGATTAATATGTAATCCTCATTAGTCGTAAAAAAAGCCTTGTCAGAAATACAGAGACGTGTAAGTCCAAAAAAAAAAAAAAAGAGTCATCTCGCAACGTGCCGCTCCATGCCCAACCAATGATACACCTAACCCCACCAGACCGAACAACCCACATGTATTTACAATCCCATCCCCCATTTATATGTACAAGTTGCTGTCCATGTTATTCACCACCCTCTCAAACCCTCCCTCTTTGCCCTCTCACCCTTCCTCTCTTTCCCTTCGACTACCCCACCGGTCCCTTACCCGCAACGATACTGCTCCACGCCGGGACTCATCCCCGACTCGTCGCAGATGGGCATTGCTAGCTGCCTGCTGTAGCGCACGCGGCCGATTGGTCCATCCCGCCAGATCCAGTTGTTGCTCTCGTCGTTGGGCGGCGGCGACTCCATCGGCGTGAAGCGCCTCCCGCGCCGGTCATACGGCGCCGGCCGGGCGGGGCCCGGCTGCGCCCACTGCACCTCCTGGCAGGGCTGCGACGCCGGCATGTATTGGCCGCACGAGTCGTATGGATTTGCGTATTCTGCTTGGGCGTATTCTGGCTGGGGGTACCCTGCCTGGAGGTACTCTGGCTGGGGGTAGTAGCCGGCCTGGAGGTACTCTGGCTGGGGGTAGCCGGCCAACGGTGCTGCCAACGGTACCAACGGTGGCTGGCCGCCCCAGGGGAGGCTGTGGTTCGCGCAGTCGGCGCAGCAGCTTCCGTGCGCGCCGCCGCCGCAGCAGTCGTCATCGTCGTCATCGTCGTCGTCCCCCCGGGAGTGGCGGCCCCGCGCCAGCCAACGGAACCGGGGGTTGCTTTCCTGGTATCGCATGTGCGTGCCGTCGTACCATGTGTTTTCGGGGAGAACGTCGCTCGTCTTGCGGAGGTACGTTGACTTTGAGGGCATGCCGGCGCTCCAGGCCAGGAAGCGAAAGCTCTTGCTCGGCTTGCTCGGCAGCTTCTTGTGTCGAATCACCCGACCGCCGCGGCCGAGGGCCTGATAAGCCTGCATCCACGAGTCTTGATCATCGGCCACAATCATAAGCGCGCCCGATTTGTCGGCGGGCATTGTAGCAGGGCGCGCCGGGCGGAGCGTGCAAGATTGGGGGACAGGGTGTGTGTAGTTTGTTGGTCGGGGTGTGGTTGTGCTGTGTGTCGTTGCCCGCGGGGTTGGTGAAGATGCATGTGTAAGCGCAAGAAGACGAGAAACAAAACACAAGGAGGGCACATGGAGATGTAGCAATGATATTTATGCCGTCAAAAGTAGTAGTGATACAGAATTGAGTTGCCGTTCTGTGATGCACCGTCAAGCCCGCAGTTACCTACCTATGATACACGGCGTTTGGAGAGGCACGCGGGCGCCTACGACAAAGAGGCGGACCACGGCGGCGTGACGCAAAATGCTGAAAGGCGGCCCAGCAGTAAGTAGGCCGCCTCGGCTGGCCAACAAGGCAGCAAATAAATTGCGCTTGAATATAGAAAAAGAAAGCAGTGTTTCGCGCCGTGGCGCTTTCGTTGATGCATAGCGGGGAAGGAAACTGTTCCTACACAAACCATGAACCATGGTTCATGCTGGCGCTGCGAAGGCCTCGGGCACCCAGACCTGACGGACCAATTCGGGGCCCAACCGACTTGCTGCCTGCGCTGAACGGGGCATGATGCCGAATTATCAGTGCCAGTGATTGGACCGCTCGCAACGCACAAGACGGCAGCAACTTGGCGTGCCGCCAGCCTCTGTCATATTATCTGCCACGGCCCTGGTGTGACGCCATGCAACAAGAAGGGAAGAGGGCCGCAAACTTGGCCGCATTGGCCGCATCACCCGAGTTCTTCAGCGTCTGAAGCCGGGCGGCAGCTACCTAAACGCTGGAATAAAAGGGCTGCATTCTTTTTCGTCTTCTTCTATTTCCCCATTTCCGGGTGGTACAGGCGCTGGAGATGGGGTACTTGTGGACGGCGAGACGGGGGTCACTTGGTTGCATGGTGGCCAGGCCCGGTTGTACCACCAAGAGAAGAGGGGAGAAGGGGTACGGAGTACAGGCGGGATGTTTGCCCTGACGGCCGGCCGCCTCTTTTGCAGCATCAAGACGGGACATTACATTGTGCGCAACAGAAGCCGATGAGTTACTGTGGCCAGTACCTGGAGGCATGAAAGCAACTGGGAGTTACATGAGTTGTTTTCAGCACCATCTTGAACCATAGTCGATCCAGGGCTGACGACTTTGGCAATGAGCTGTTGCTTTGCTCTCACAAGTTCCTTCCTTGTGCTGCGACCCACCCTTTTTTTGGCTCTAGTTAGTTAATTAGTGTGACAACAGAATTGGCAAGCAAGTTGGTTGATTGGTTGGCAAGTTGGCGAGCAAGGTTGAAATTGAATTGACAAGGATTGATAAAAGTTCTTGCTGAAGAAAAAAGGGCGTCATCATCAATTACCATAAATAAGCCATGGTGGTCTTTCCATACCGGCCTGCCTCTATTATTACCGCAAGCTTCAACTATTCGCGTCCCATCGTAGACTCTGGAGTAATCTGTGGGCCGAAGCCGAAACCTGAAACACGAACCAGCTATTCATAGATGAGATTAGAGATGACGTACCATTTCCTGACCCCTTTTACATTCCTTCACAGACTGGTAAGCTGCAGTTAATAAATCAACTCCTGTGTAAGAACGATGCCGTCCAAAAAAAAAGGCATCATCCTTGCTTAAATATGGTAAAGTACCGTTGTTGGCTTTGTCACAGTGTAAGCGCCGGTGACAACAAAGACAAGCCCCATACAACCCGGGCCTATACAGGGATTTCTTAGACTTGTTACTTTGTATCTAAACATTGATTCACTTCAGCATCAAGACGGCATTCGGAATATCATCTACCACAAGTCTACAAGTAAAGAAAAGGAAAGCGGAAGAAGAAATTGTGGCAAAGTAGCTCAATGGCCCGTCGCGAAACTTCCGGTTCCAACGGCCCCGACTTGCACAATTCACGCTTCGAGGCCTCCCATTCGGAAACAAACTTCCTCCTGCCTACTGGCAGGGCAGTAAAGTGGGCGCGGTAAACACTTTTCTGTCTACAGTGCTTAGAAGTGCTCCGTAGCCTGCCGTACAAACTCGCAAAGTTTCACGTCGATGCCTGGGTGCGGCACGATCACTTCCGCTACATGGGATAAAACAGTCGATGCAATCTCCATGGCAAGATTAACCTGTAACGTGAACATATCCTTTTCGGGTCGCCCACTGCTTGTTGTTGTAGTAATTAACAATCTTATGCATAACCGGTATGGCCGTTATAACTCATTCGCTTTGAATGGAGCCATAGTATTTGCCGCTGAGTATTTTCGGCGATCCACACGGCCATCATAAGATGGGGCAATGCCTGTCGTCGGAGTTGACCGGCAATATTCACGTATGATTTCCACAGCTCTGGGGGCAAGATCCATGGTGGCTGCAAGCGCCCCAACCGCCTTCACCGACATACCAAGAACCAGGCATTGCTCTGAGACCTTCTCGTGGCATCCTCCAATAACTATGTTGATGCTTGCGGCTGATCGTTATTGTAGCTGAGGAACATCTCGAAAAGGCGAGGCAAAGTTTCCGCAAAGTTGCCCGACATGGGGGTTTTGGCGATACGACGCAGGGAGGAGACTTAAAGTCCTGCATAGGAGGCTTTAGTCTGTTCGAATGGGCTTTCGCTTGGGCTCTAGCTCTTGCCGTATTGAATAGTATTCGTTCAAAGCAACAAAAGGCCAAGCTGGTCCTGCATCTGTGCCCATGCTGTCTGTTACAAGTCTTTGTGCACCTGGAAACTATAGCACAAACCCGGAGATCAAGCGGCATCAGTATCGTGTCAAGATAGCATTGAAGAATGTGATACACTTAAGCTGACGGCTAAACAAAATAAAGTTTTGATGTTTTTTTTTGTGCCAGGCATTGCTACACGTTGTAATAGACCGTGGCGCGCAACGCGCTTCAGACTATTAGTTTGCGCACAGTATCCCGCACTGTAGTCGGTAACGGGCTGGGAGAAAAGCGATCAATCCGCGCATAAAAGCTGGTGAAGAAGATTCTGCATCAGTAGGTTGCCGTTATGCCGACAAGTCACCCACCAGATGCTCGTATGCCGAGAACCAGTATTATGGGCAACATGGTAGGGCGGTACACAGGCGCGTTGAGCAAGGTGCTGACAATGCGGCGCAATGTCAGCAAAAGACGATATGGTGCCTAGTCAGCACTCTAGTTGACGATGTTAGCTGGTCCGGCCCCTCCCTTCGAAGCACAGGCCGTGGGGCGGTCCATTTGGCAACAGGCATGACCGTGGCAGCGAGGCATGCATGTCGCGCTGTGGCTACTGGCAATCCTTCGCTGGACGAAAGAATGGAACAGAACGCAGGGTTGATTCTCTGCCGAAACAAGTTTCGAGTTGATACTGTGGCTTGCTGCAGGCGCAGAATATAAAGCAACGAGCTTTGCTCCTTCTCATCCGGTACTAGGTTGTGCATGATGGTCACTGATGGGTAGGCCAGTTGGCTAGCTGGTTCGTCGAACAGATCAGGCAGTAAGGCACGCTGGGCGGGCCGCGCTGCTCGACTCAGAGGTTGACAGATAAGTGTGCAGGAAAGGAATAAGTAGAGGCGTGATGTGTGGGCGGAAAAGAAGACCCAGTCGAGGCCCCGCTTGGTGGGAGTTTAGTTGTGCCTGGTACATGAGGCACCATTTTCTTTCGAATGTGCTGCTCCGCCGCACCCAATGACAGGGCAGCGCCCAGGGCCACGACCTTCACCTTATGGTGCTCTGCGGCCCCTGTAGGTGGAGTTGGCCAGTGGCCCTGGCGCTCCTTGGGGTCCTTGGGCTCTTGGGGTCCTCTTTCAGGGCAGCCAACCACCAACCACAGCGCCCCGACTGTCCGGTGCAGGCGTTTTAGGGCCTTGGGACGTCCGCTAATTCGAGCGCTAGTATCCCTAGGTACTAGGTTGTCGCCAAGCGGAAGCCGGAAGCCTCTTTCTCGTGCACAGAAAGCCCCAAAGCCAAACTGTATACGGAGTAGGTACCTAGAGTTGCTAGCATGTAGCAAGGTTTGTGCGTATAGCCCAGAGACACCTTTTCTCTTACCACTGTTTTTTTCCAACTTGAGCCCCGCTCTTTTGGTTGGCTGGCAGGCCACGCTGGTGTTGCTGTGCTCCGCCCACACGTCCTGTCACCGTCCCTCTCACCAGGGCTGCCCGCTGAGCGGCCTTGTTTGGCTGCTGGCTGCTGGCTGCTCAGCCTCTCGATCCCCCCATGTCGAGTTCCGTGCGTGCCAAGCACTCCTGATCACCATATCCGGGCCTTCACGCAATCTCGCAGAGTCTTTCGACTCCTTGGCCATCTCGTCCCTCATCATCGCCCCATTGCAGCCCGCGGCCTCTACTCTCAATCACACTCATTCATCCGTCATCGCCAAGTACGACCGCTGCGACCCGTTCTGCACTTCTCCCCCTTCTTCGGCCTGGCTCTGCCCAGACTCGCCCAGCCAGCGAGTTCGTGGGTTTCGCCAGCGTGACTGCCATCCTCCTCGCTCGGGTGAGGGCTGCAGTCCGCCTTTCGCCATTTCAACACGTCTACCGAAGCCGCCTTCCCGCCTCCCGATTGCACATCTCGAATCTAGACGAAGCCTCGCACGCTGTGGCTTGCCATGGACAACTCCCGCCGTGCCTCTGGCGGCAGCCGGCAACGCTCCTCGTCGACATCAAGTAGCGCCTCGACGGCCTCGACCGTATCTTCCATCACCCAGGAGGACTATGACCTAATTGCCAGTGCTGCTATCCCCGATGGCTTTCGACCATCTGGTCCCGTTCCGCCATCTCTACGACGCCCGGCGCCTCTTCCCTCGGGCCCGTTGCTGCCGCCTCCCCAAGCCGTCAATCCGTCATTTTCCAAATGGAATCATCGACCTTCCAGCGTTGTCAAGGCCCCTAGGCCTCACGATTCACTCACTATCCGTGCGGACGGCTCCAATGCCACCAACGCGAACCAAACGGGCGGGAATGGTGTCCCGCCGCTGCGAGTGGAGGCTCCATACCGTGGCCCCTCGAATCCTGTGCATCCATACGGCATGTATCCCCAACGAACCGCAAGTAACGCTACCGACCGAAGCGTCCGTGGCAACCGCCCATCCTCATACACTGGCCCCCGTGGCCCTACTCACCCATATACGCTATATACACAGGGCACCGCAGCCGCACCTGTTGAAGCCAATCAACAAGCCATTCCTGTCGGCTTCACCGGACTAGCGGCACCATATGAACGCCAGATAGGGCCCGACGGTGAGGACATCGGCGACCTATTAGGGCCGCTTGGTCACACGGAAGAACTTCCTCCCTACTCTCGATACCCCGAAGTGGCCTTTTCTACTAAGCCTGCACCCGGTATTGCTACCGCTGTTGGTTCTGCACAAACTCCGGTGCAGCATGCACACAATGAAGAGGCTTCGGGTAGTGGATCAGCTGCTACTACAATTGTTACCCCGGAGGTACAGAACACTGGCGAAGTTCCCCAAGAAAATCCGTTTGCCTCTGCCGATGACGACCTGATGCCGACAATCTCGAGGCATTCAAGACATTCAAGACATTCAATCAGAACAATTTCCACATATCGCGACAACCCGTCATCTGACGAGACTTACTCTGAAAAAGAACCTGAAATCCAGACCAAATGGCAACGCAGGGCGAGGAGAAAACTCTGGGGCGTCATTCCATACTGGTCTATTTGCCTGGTTCTTGTTGGGCTCATCCTGGGCAGTGTCATGGGTGCAGTTGTCGGAACTGTTTTGACAAAGAGCTCGTCGGGCAAGGAGAAGCGGCCGCGGCCGCGGCCTACATCAGATCCCGACCATAACCCGAGCCCCACGGCTGTTGATATCCAACCACTGCCAACCGTTCCTACCGCGCTTTTGCCATTGCCTGTTGGCGCATTCTCGCTCCCACAATTAGACGGCGGCAGTACTAGGCGATTGTGTGTCGGTGACCCTAGTCAGCTCGCAGCCTGGAGTTGTAATATGGCTTTCCGATTTTACTCGATCAACATCGTTCCCGACGCCACTCGGCCTTCTACTGAGCGATACAACTTCACGCTCAAGCCCATCAACAACACCCAATCTCAACTGCTATGGGGCACCCAGCCGCCTTTCATTAAGGATCCAGTGAAGCTGACGCTTGTCAACGATAGCATAGACGGAGACACGCGCGGCCCTGCGTGGTGGTCATCTGTTTCCTATGACAAGACTGTCATTGTACGGGAGAACGACCTGACTCCCAAGCGCAAACGAGACTGGATTTCACCGGGACTGCCTGCGGTATTGGGCAATGTCAACTCGCAGAGGTCGAGGTTCATGAGATCAAGGTACCAGCCGCAACCTGGTGACTGCATGTGGGTCTGCACCTGGCCGAAGACGGTACTGGAAATTCTCATCTATCCCGGTCAAAACGTAACGGCATCTCCAAGCGCCTCATTTGCCTCCGCGACGGCCACAACGTCGCAGTGGCCAGGCCGCACACCATCTCCAAACAGCGACTCGAACTTCGGCAACTTTGATTTGGACGAGATGCCTTTTGACCCACTGTCGCCCTATCCCAGACTTTTACGAATGTTGGAGCGCCGCGTGCCAACCAATGAGCCTGTCAAGTGCTTCAAGTACGCGATGAACAGTCATGGCAATATTGCACCCCTGTTCCACCCCAACGGTGATCTCATGTCGATGGACATTAACGAGACTTCCAACACTATGCACCGGGCCGACCTCACTCCTGACGCCTACAACAGCGAGAATCCAAACAATAATAGGGATGGCGACCCGGAAATGTCCAGCATTGCCCCTCGCAATGCCATAGAATTCACACCTTGCGGCTGTCTTTGGTCACAGTAAAAGACTCCTATGGGACATTCTCTTCCTGACGGCGTGTGTTAATATATTACATCGAGAGCGATAAATACGGCGTTTCGGTTTCTTTTGGAGCATTTGCAATGCTAATGTTGATTTTCAAAAATCTTATATGACAATGGTTTTTTTCCCACGCTGATCGCGGGGCGTTCTCTTCCCCCTTTTCCTTTTTATGATGGTCAATTCTATTATTTGCTCGAATGCAGCAAAGGAATACGCATTTGATTGCTTAGGGCTTAGTTTTTTTCTTCTTTCCCATTTACATTGACTGATGGGTCGGGCGTGTCGCCATTTCCAAAAATCGTAGTGGAGGCTGATACGGTTATGTATGTATGTATTTTGCGGCAGAAGCATAAATGAAATAAAAAAATGTCACAATATTTGAACAAGCAACAGAAGTCAAAGACCCGTGTTATACAGATGTGATTAGGACTGAGTATCCAGCTTGGCCGCGTTGTTACCCTTCAAAATTCCATCTCGTTCGTACAGCTCCCCCTTCCCCTTCTAAACCCTGCCTCCTCTATAGGTAGTTTTGCATGCATATAAATAGCGCCAATCAGGCGGCTGGTGAATCAGAACCCTATCGTGTCGTTTCACAGAAAGGGATCGGCCATGTGATATGCGCATGACCTCTGCCGGGGCGGACAGAGGAAGATGCGCGGGTCAGGCCTCGGCCGGGCCTGCTGTGCGCTGTTCACATTCTCGCGGCCGGCTTCCCGTTGTTGAGCTTCGCGCGAGAATAGCGCGGCGTGCGGTGGCGCAGCCGCGAGTGTTTTGCTGGCTATCCCTTCCTCAGAAACCAGTCACGTTGCTGCTGGCGCGTCGTCGCCAATAGTCTCCGCAGCGGTGGCGACGGCGGACACATCGCCTTCTCCAGAAGGCCCGTCTGTCGGCTGTACCTCGTTGCCAACAATGTCCTTTTTGCCGTCACGAAAATCGCGCATCAGAGCGAGAAACACGGAATTCTGCCACTTTTCGCCGCTCTCGTGCTGCACCGACTCGAGCAGCCGCTCCGCCGCCTCGGAGACGGCCGACTTGTTGCGTGCGTCGTCTGAGAGCATCTCGGCTGCTGTGTTTTCTTCCTGAAGGGGCTCGGGCGGCGTGACAATCGGCGCCTCGCGGTTCTCGAGCGTCAGGTTGTTAAGTTCAGGGACGCCGAGGTCCGAAAAGTGCTTTTCATCATGCGCAGCGGCGGCTGTCGTCGTCGCAGCATCAGTGCCCTCCGCGAGTGCCTGCTCGTTGAGTTCGAGCTCGCGGGCCATTTGCTCCATGGCGGCATCAACCTGCGCCATGTTGCCGGTGGCGGCGTTGCTAGCCATCCACTTCGCCATCTCCTGGTCAAAGTCAGCCTCGCCAACGGTGGCGGCCTGTGGTTGGGCGTAGGCACCACCCGCGGGTGCAAAGAAGGAGGAGAAGTTCGTCGGGTGCGGCGCAAAGGCGCTTTGAAAGTTCGTTTGCATGGGGTTGGCGGCGCCGGCATATATGGGGCCCTGTCGCTGCTGCGGTTGCGGCTGCTGCAAGGGCTGGCGCTGCTGCTGCTGAGCGGCAAAGTTCGAAAAGTCCGCCGCCCAGTTGTTGCCCAACTCGGGACCGCCGGAAGACGTCTGATATGCGAGGTCGTGGGCGACAGCCGGCCCAAAGTGACTGGCGGCGGCCTGCGCGGGGTTCAGGGCGGCGGCGTGAGCGGCGAGTCGGCCCGCGGGATCGTGGTGCATGCCTGGAAGACCAGCTGGCGTGCCCATAAAAGCGTCAAATTCTTGAGGGCCTTGCGCCATGTTCTGAGGCCTTGATCGAAAAGCCTGCAAGCGGAGAAGCCTTGATTAGCATCGGCCGAGGCAAGAAAAGGAGCATTAGAATACGTACCCCGCGGGTTTGGTTGCCGTTAACCAAACGGTCTTGGTGATGGCTGACATCGCGCGACTGATGGTCTATTAGCTGCTTGAAAGGCGTTCCGCCGCTACAGGAAGCGTCGGCCATGGTTGCTGTGGAGGAGCGCGGCTTGCGTCGTCGGATGGAGGGGAGATGACGAGTGCCGCACGGGAACGTTTATCGATAAGGTGCGTTGGATATGAAGACACACAAAAGTCCAATGAAGTGGTTATAGTATCTCAACAGTAATAGAAAGAGCTTATGGGGGACGGACTGGGTGAGACAGCTCCCTGATAAAAATGAATTTGAGGGATGTAGATGACAAACGGAGCCGAGGCCGTGGCAACTGCCCATCTGTGTAAGCCTGGGGTCGGGCCCAGCAAAGTGGAGCCACACGGGAGGAACTGGCCTGTGACTACAGTGGCTTTTGAGGCGGCCGTGGCGGGGCCCCGAGGCTTGTCGGGACACGAATAAGCTGTTACCCTGTCATGCAGCCATGGATTAAGGTACAGGTGCCGTGAGGCGTCAGTTTCTCGGCGCAACACAGTCAGAAAGAAACAGGGTTTGGCAGGACGTGCAACAGCAGGTATTGGCGGATGAAGGTGCGGCAATGCACTGCAAAGGCTTGATCTTGAGGCGAGCGCACCACGAGCGCACCACGAGCGCACCACGAGCGCACCATCTATTAGTGCGCTGAATAATCGGGGAGCCTGAGCTTCATACGTCGGGGTTGAACCTTCTGCAGCGCTTCGTGTCCATCACTCTGCATGTGGCTGCATCTGCCAGACCTAAATGGCCTTTGATGAACTCTTCATCTCCAGCCCCAATCTGCAGTCTATTTGTGATAAAATCCGCAGGCCGAAAGAATGCGGTCGATACACAAAAGGGAGCTGTTCCCCTGCCCGCAAATCTTCAATCATCTTGCATCGACTCAAAACTATAGCTAGCGATAGCGAGCAGCAGCAGCGACAAGAACAGAGCAAAGAAATGGTGCCAACAACATATTTTCCGCTTTTTCAACAACTTCCTCCTGAAATCCGCCATCATGTGTGGCGAGAGGCGCTTTGCGAATGGGCCGTCTGGTACACTTCACATCCTCACATCAATCTCCAGGCCAGTGGTCTGCTCATACGGATGAAACCGGTTGGCGTAGCGCCCTTTCGAGTCGGTTTTGTTTGTCAAGAATCGCGACGATTGATGAAGCAACTGTACACAAAGCTGCTGCCCAGCGGTAGTACCCCCGGATCGTCATCCACAGTCGTATACTGGCTGATACCAGACCGAACCATTGTATATCTGGGCTGTACCGCACGCGCCACTGACTTCCTCGACATCATCCAAGCCTACAAAAGCCTGCCACTGAGGCACCTGGTGCTACGCTGGTCTGACCTGGTCGATGTCACTCGCTTCAGCCACAGTCTCGCCTACCAATGCCCCGAACTGCAGTCTTTTACCCTCCATGCCGCAGATAGAGAAACAACACCGGAGTTGTGTCGATGTGATTCTCCCCTCGGCAAACACCTCGCAGATTGGTACGTTACCATTGCCGCTTGGAAGGATAAGACCCTGCCATATCTAGAGCACCCGGAATCGGAACTGCTGAATTGGAGTGTGGGGGAGTGTTTTGGTGGTTGGGACGAGGGGAAGGACGGACCAAGGCTGCATTTTCTTCCCTCCAAGCTGCAGGCATCAGCAGCTTTGAAGCGTATACTTGGCGATTAGCTTGCATCCTGACAGCGGCGCCCATCATGACCTTTCTGGGACTGTGTTGCTTTCTGCTCGTTGTGCAGCTTCTTTCTTTTCTCGATCCATAACTAGGCGCCCTAGCGTATTCAATCGCAAATCGACCCTGTATATAATTTGAACAAAAACAGTTGCTGGAAATGTGTGATGTAGTGGTTTGAATCTCGAGCTCTTGGCGGGTACCATCTGGCAGACAAGTGGGGCACGCATCACGTGCATCAGTCGTCCCCTTGCCATCTGTCCCCATCACCAGTGCCTGAGCTACTACTGCGCTGGCGTCCGCGACTCTCCGTCTTACTATTCTTTCTTGGGTCACATCAAGCCTGTTTTTCTCCTTCCAATTAACGAACTGGAGCTGTCACAGATAAAATGGTATGCTTGATTTCTTCTTGTAGCTTGTGATACCGTCAATTCTAGGCCTGGCAGCTAATCAATACACAGGCGGCGCAAGTCATCTCCAACTCCGGCCATGATGACATGATTGTACGTACGAAACTAGGGATCAGGCTCGAATGTCGCTTGAACATGCTGAGACTAGCTGTAAAACTCGCTAGAGAGACTGAGCGACGCGAACATTCTCTGCCCTCTCCTTGCAAGTCGCGATACCGCCTAAGCTAACAGATACCTCCCCACAGCATGATGCCGTCCTCGACTATTACGGACGAAAGCTGGCCACCTGCTCCAGCGACCGCACAATCAGAATATTCGAAATCGAGGGCGAATCTCAGAGGCTAATCGAGACTCTGAAGGGGTAAGCTGACCATTCAACTCCGCCCCCCCCACTGCAGCTTCACTCGGCGACGACGTACATAAGCACCTGGCGCAATAATTAACGGATATCGTTTGCAGTCATGAAGGCGCTGTATGGTGCGTCGCCTGGGCCCATCCCAAGTACGGAAACATTCTCGCGTCGGCCGGTTATGACGGCAAGGTTTTCATCTGGAAGGAACAAGGTCCGCAGCACCAGTGGCAGCGCATCTACGACTTTCCGCTACACAAGGCTTCGGTCAACATTGTCTCGTGGGCGCCACACGAGGCAGGCTGCCTGTTAGCCTGCGCTTCTTCCGATGGAAACGTTAGCGTTCTTGAGTTCAAGGACTCGGCTTTCGACAACACCACCTTTCCCGCTCACGGGCTCGGCGTCAACTCGGTCTCCTGGGCTCCCGCAACCGCCCCCGGTAGCATCGTCAGCAGCTCCCCCGGCCCCGCTGCCGCTGGCAACCGCCGCTTTGTCACTGGCGGTAGCGACAATGTTGTCAAGATCTGGGCTTTTGACCCGGCCACTCAGTCATACAAGCAAGAGGGAGAAGCCCTCACCGGCCATTCAGACTGGGTTCGCGATGTGGCCTGGTCACCCACGGTCCTCAAAAGGTCGTACATTGCCTCAGCTTCACAGGATAAAACAGTTCGCATTTGGACCTCGGATTCGACGACGGGCGGCGCTGCCGAGTGGGAAAGCAAGACGCTCGACTTCGAGGCGCCCGTCTGGCGCGTGAGCTGGTCCCTCAGCGGCAATGTGCTCGCTGTTAGCGGTGCCGACAACAAGGTTTCTCTGTGGAAGGAGAATCTCCGCGGCGAGTGGGAATGCGTCAAGAAGATAGAGGATTGAGAAGCTTGTCAGAAGCAAGAACAGAAACCGAGCCCGAATCACGATATACATACACAACTACGCCGAAGAGTCTGCAAGCGGATTGCGTCAGGATTTGGGAGGATAGGTGAGAAGAGAAAAGCAATCGGCGTCTTTCATGGAAGATATCCCACGACAAAACAAATGACACGAACAGCATGAGGCGTGAGACTGGACGGTTGCCAGTGGCAGAGTCGGATATAGAGAGCTGGTCAAGCTAGCCCATGAGCCTAACTTGAACTATACGCGTAATGAGTTGTAATACAAAATCATCAAGGCATTCAATCCTATAAGTTGTAATTTATTGCCATGTCTGCAGTCTGTAATATATATCCCTCGACATATGGTCCTTTTTATTTGGTGATGGTGACAGCCATCAACACTATCATGACAAAAAAGCAGCAACGGCAGTAACGACGAAAGCCACAACAACAAGCTCGGGGGCTCTACGACCTGCGACACTTTTCCCGTCCTTGCCATTCCCACCACCACCAGAGCTGCCGTCGTGCTGCATGACAAAAATCTCGCCGGTACTATCCGACGAGAACCACAGGCGGCCCTTGTCGTCCCAGGCGAGACCGACGGGGCGGAAGCACCTGTCCGGGCAGTTGGACAGATCCTTTGTGGCGAGCACGTCGACGGCGGCGTCCATGCTGTCCCTGGCGGCGGCGGGCTGGCCGTCCTTGAAGGCGACACGGGCGATGCGGTAGCCGACGGGCGCCTCGCGGTTCCAGCTGCCGTGAAAGGAGATGTACGCGTAGGCGCCGTCGGCGTCAAACTTGATGTCGAGCGGGGCTGTGTGGGCCTGGAAGGCGAGCCGCGGGGCGACGTAGTCGTCGTTGCAGGCGGCGTCGGTGACGTTGCCGGGGGCGTCGTCGTCGGGGAACTGCGACGCCGTGGTGAGCGCGCCGAGGTCTGGGAAATTGTCCGGGCTCCAGATGGCGTAGCACACGGGATAGCCGTAGTTGCCGCCCTGCGTCTTGTTGTTGTTGCTGTTGTTTCCGCCGCCGCCGTCGTCGTCCTGGCCGACGGTGCCGTGGTAGTTGAGCTCCTCGGCGGGGTTGTCCTGGTGAATGTCGCGGCCCTTGCGGTGCAGCTGGTCGACGGAGTTTTCGACGGACCAGAGGCCGCCGGAGGAAGGGTCTTCTGCCACGCCGACCGAGTTGCGCAGGCCCCAGCCAATGACGTGCCCGTCGAGGTACGCGTACGGCGTGACGGAGGAGGAGGAGGAGGAGGAGGAGGAGCCGGAGCCGGAGCCGGAGCCGAGCTGGGAGAGGTCGAAGCTGCGAATCTGCGAGTGGCCCGAGTCGAGGTCCTCGGCGTTGCTGTCCTCATTGGACTGGCTCCCGCGGGAGACGAGAAGAATGCCGGGCTTCTTCCGGGAAAGGAGCAGCGTGCGCGTGGTGTGATCCGAGTTGCTCATGTTGGTGACAATGGTGCGGTTGGCGTCACCAAGCGTAACCGTCTTGGAGTCATATGTCCACTCGTATACCTTGTCCGCCGACGAAGCATACAGCGTCTTACCATCCTCTGTCAACGCGATGCCGTGGTTGAGCTGCGAACATTGCCGGTTAGCGAATTTTCTCTCTCAACTCCCCATCTTACACGGCATTGAGGGGCCCGGGGGTACCCCGCCACAGCCTTTTTTTTTTTTACCTCTCTGCTCGCGAGGAGCGTCGTCTTCTTGTCGACGGAGACGCACGTGTTGCCATCGTCTTTGAGACTCAGGTGCACGAGACCGGCGCCGGCGTCAATGACCAGCAGACCGCCGTCCTTGTCGAATTGGATGCCGCGGGGCTTGGTGAAGCCGTTGGCGACGAGCTGGTAGGACCAGCCCTGGGCGGCGACGGGCGCGGGGTAGCTGACGGCGAGCTTGTTGGAGCAGTCGCCGGAGACGGCGCCAGTAAGCAGCAGCGCCGAGGCAATGATTGATCTCAACGCCATGGCGGATATGCGAAAAACACCTTGTAGAGCTCCTTGTTACTTTTGTAGTTCCGCGGGTGGCGACTAAATTACCCGAAGGCGACGGGGTTCAGGATCTGGTTCAGTGCCAGGAGCAGTTGCTGCAAACCCAAAACCGGTACGTCAGACTTACAAGTTCGCTACCGCGCGATTAATGGGCACTTGACAAGAATGTGAGATGGAAATTTCATCCTTTCAGCCTTTTCTTCAGCTCAGCTGAGGATTTGAAACTGTTCTCAGTCTGAAGCGGAGCGGGGCACGGACAAGCGTGGAGGGGCACCCTGGAAAGCTGTCTCCGAAGCCTTGCCTTTTTCGTCGCGATTCCTTGGAACAGCTGAAGGCATACAGCCAAATCAACCAGCAAGACTCGAGGCATAGGATCACGGCAATTTGAGGGTGCTCGAGATGGTATATAAGATTTCACAATTTATACTGTGGGATCTAAATTGGCCAGAGTTACAATGTAATATTTGAAAGACAAGTTGCCCACTTGTTTGCAGTCTCTAATCAGCTATGTTCCAGCGCATGACGAGTGCTCTCGCATCGAAAGCTGGCCTGTTGCAGGTAGCCTGAAGGTAATGACTATCGGGCGAATCATTGGACATCAGGGCAAATAGTGGAAACGCCTTTTTTTCGTGTGATCTAAGCTCGAATACGAACGAGGTTGTTCGCTGGCTCGCCGAGTTGGCGGGGTAAATAAGGTAGGTAACCAAACTGCCTTTTTCGGAAGTACTTCTATCCACATGGGACACACACAGATTACAATGTACTTTGACAACTCCCCGTTTCACATGCAGCACGTACATGGTGCAGCTAGCCGGAACTCATGTGCGATGAGCAGAACTCTTCAAACCAGTATGAATACGCTGGCTGAATGTATCATATAAGGATGATGCCCTCTGCTGGTTTAGTTTCGCACGTTGCCGTTTACTAGTGTAAGTGCGTAATCATTAGTATACATCCCGAAAGTGCAGATGTACGCTTTTCAGCCTGCAAAATCGACCAGTCACAAGAAGGATAATAGCCCAAAGTTTTAATTGCATACTCAATCATAAAAAAAATGAGAAAGAGGGCTCGTTATAGCGACAAGCCTCGTGGCCAAGGAACCACTGACGAAACTAACAGCTCAGATGCTAGTGGGGTTGGGCTCAGCGACGCTTGAAAACGATCCGGGGTTTCTTCTTCTTCTTCTTCTTCTTCTTCTTCTTCTCCTTTGTTGGCATGAGTGTCTTTTGTTCTCAACTTGCTGCATAATGAAGAATCGTGAATTCCAGCTCTTTTCCGAGCTGCCACCCGAGATTCGCGCCTGCATCTGGCGCCACGCCATTGAGCCACGCATCGTGCCTGTGACGTGCTGGGTTGGCAACCAGCGCGCCGAGGCCATCAACACCTCACGGGCGACGCACGGTCCGGGATGGGAATCCGATTCAGCCGCGGTGCGTCGCCGTCGCCAGAATCAAAAGGACCCTACGACCATGACGCAACTGCCACTGGAGCTGTATGCCGTGGCCCTTCACAAGCCGCCCGTGCTGGACGTCTGTCGAGAGACGCGTTCCATTGGACTGTACGAACCGATGATTTTGACGCCCGGGAGCAGTGCCTCATATGCATGGGTCAATTACCATGCAGATGTCATCTATCTACAGGATGACCAAGAGCCGTACACTCGATTTCGAAACTGCGGGCATCTAGTGCGACGCCTACGCATCTGCGCCGACCCGAGCGACGAGTACTGGTTCTACAACCAATCCGCAACGCTCAAGTCTACGTTTTGCCAGCTTGCAGAGTGCTTTGTCGTTATGGGTACAGATGCGCGTATCTGGGACTGGAAATGTTACGATTACCAAAAATGGTTTTCGTGCCCTCCGGATAATATTCATCTAATTGATGAAGAAAACGGCGAGCAAATGACGTATGGAGAGCTGCTTCGAATGTCTGACGAGGACTTGAAGAAATGGGCAATTTCAGCAAGCAGATACGCGGATGAGTCATGATGAAAGTAGCTATCAAAATGCTGAGCGGAAAAGGACTGCATATAGCTTGATGTTCGTGAAATAACACAGGCCATTGTTTCTTGGCATCAGTGTCCTTTATTTCTTTGTGCGGACAAATTCTTTGCCCATAATCCCGCAGAGCTTTCTACGCAATGCAGCTCTGATCTAGAACAAGAATAGATTCAAAGCCTCGTGCGGTTCTCGACGTCGTAACTTGTCTCTGTTCGCGCTCTGTGCGTTGCTCAATTCGCAGGGCCAACTTGTCCACCAAATAGACAGCACTCGACGATCCCCACCCATCACACAAAACCGGGAGGTACAAGTAGAGTTGTAATGAATTGAATGTATTTGACTTTATTCAGCCTGATATTCTTTGTCTTTGACCTAAGCAGCTAGTCCTCGACAAGAACCCAATCAAGCCGGGACATTGCGTCTGAGGGGCCCACAACACAGACTCTTTTACAAACAGTACGTCTCGGCCTATTCAGAATATTGTTAGCAAAGCTTGCCTTCATAACCATGCATTCCAATTACTTGATATTTGTCCGGGTCTTTTAGCAGCCGCAGGACGCGTAGGAGCCGCCACCAGATCTCGGAGGATTGTTGCGGCAGCAGCCTCCATTACAAGTATACGCCCACGTCCACCTGGACGAACCGGGATCGCAGTAAATAATGTTGGTTCTGCCATTATCGCAAGCGGTGTAGTCTTTCTCGATATTGCGATTACATCCGTCACCAATGTTGACTGCCATGACCACGGGAGCCACGAGCGTGGTAACGGCGATGATGGACTTGATGATTTGCATTTTGTATATTGAAGGAAATGGTCTTGGCTATGGTTCTGTCACTCGATAGTGCGGAGTCACGCATCTTTATAGAAGGGAAGGAGTGCTATTGCTGCTATTGCTCATGCATTCTCCGCCAAGTGGGCAGATTGCTCTCAACGCCGACTTCCGTGTCACATTCAAAGAATGGGCCAAAGTGATACTACAAACACCGGACAGTCGGCCAATGTCCAAATACGAATGTCGCCGCTCTCTTTGTGATCTTTGCATTAGTGCGCGGCAGACATGAAGCCCCCCAAATAGCCTAGAAATAAAATTTGCACAGGGTCGTTCCGATAGGATGTCAAGGATCCGCAAAATGTATAGCAGCTGTAACTCTGCGGCTAGAAAAGGAAAATGCCGATATGTACTATGCATCATGACAATCCCTCATCTAGGCAGAGCCGACATGAGCCCCTTCAGCGGCAGCCTCGTTAGTGGCTGCTGGAGCCTTGAAGCTGGCAAGCTCCGCAATGGCAAGATGGAAAAAACCAGTCGTATTATTGCGTGCAGTGGGGTTTCGATCGTTACATAGCACTCCTTTAACGAGCTTCTTTAAGTCGCAGCTAAATAACAGCCCATATTTACATGCTTGTGGGTGTGTATGAATCGACGTATTCGCATTCAAAGCCACATCAGACTTAGTGTGAATATCGTTATGTACTATTCTAAGACTAAATCTTCTCGCCCGTCAGAATTGGCTTGGCTTCCTCGCTCGTCCACCAGCTCACGCCCTGTACACCAGGATACGTGAATTGATCCATGCTCTCTGGCTTCATTTCCACGCTGTATCCTGGCTCTATCGGTGTGCGGTAGTAGCCATTGACAATGACAGAGGGGTGCAAAAAGTGCTCATGCAAGTGGTCCACGTACTCCAGCACCGACTGCTTGCCGCTGACGACGACGTAGTCGATCGTGCTAACGTGCTGTGTGTACTCGGGCAGCCCAACGCCACCAGAGTGCGGCACAATCGGCACGCCAAACTTGCGGGCCATGAGGAGAACGGCCAAAACTTCGTTGACGCCGCCGAGACGACAGGCATCTACTTGGCAGACGTCGATGGCGCCGTTCATGAGCAGCTGCTTGAACATGACGCGGTTCTGGCACATTTCACCAGTGGCGACCCCAATGCCATAAGGCTTAAGCGCTTCGCGGATAGCCTTGTGACCAAAGATATCGTCGGGAGATGTGGGTTCCTCGATGAACCAGGGCTTGAAATCGCGCAGCTGTTTCATATATTCAATGGCCTCGGGGACGGACCAGATCTGATTGGCATCCACCATGAGGACGTTGCCCTTGTCGAAGCCAATGACTTCGCGCGCAATGCCCAGACGACGACGGTCCTCCTCAATACCACCACCGACCTTGAGCTTGAAGTACTTGTAGCCTTTGGCAAGCGTCTCGTGCAGCAGACGCTTCATTTTGCCTTCGTCGTAACCCAGCCACCCGGCGCTGGTCGTGTAAGCAGGGACGGCCTTGTCGGCAAGCGCCTCCTCGATGCGCTGCGCCTTTCCAGACTCTGTGATTTGCAGCATCGCCAGCGCCTCCTCCGGGGTGATGGCGTCGGTAATGTAGCGAAAGTCTATGCAGCGGACGTACTCTTCGGGGGTCATGTCGGCGACGATGCGCCACACGGGCTTGCCGAGGACTTTGGCCCACAGGTCCCAGACGGCATTGACAACGGCGCCCAGAGCCAGGTGAATGACGCCCTTTTCCGGGCCGATCCAGCGTAGCTGGCTGTCGGAGACGAGGTAGCGCCACGTCTTGCCCCAGTCTGCGACAAGGGAGGAGAGGGTCTTGCCGCGGAGGCGATCGGCGACTTGATCGATTGCAGCGCAGACAATGTCGTTGCCGCGGCCAATGGTAAAGGTCTGAAATGAAGCAGTGCAGTTTAGCAATCGATATTTTTTGATAAGAGTTGTGTGGCGTGATGCTCGACGACGACAAAAGATTTTGCATACCATGCCATGGCCAGCATACTGAGAGTCTGTTTCAAGAATGCAGTATGCAGCAGAGTAGTCGCCCGCAGCATTCATGGCGTCTGAGCCAGTCTTGTCGAGCGACGTCGGAAAGCGCACGTCGCGCGACTTGAAGCTGGTGATGGTAATCTCGGCCATTATGAAGATTGCGGGGGCGGGGGGGAGGAGGGGCGGAAAAGTGCTTGAGGAAAATCGAGAGAGGAATGGGTAATGGGGATGAGCGAAATATTGATAATGTATTTCTATTAGGTGGAAATTTGAAATGAATAATCACAATGAGGTTCCCCAACATAGCGTGTCATTTAGAGGCGTCGGGATGGTCATTTGGCGGAGGAGGGACAGCCGGTTTGCCGGCCACGGCTTTGAGGCCGAAGTGGGGGGCCGGATGGGGGTACATCAATACACGGCTACCCAAAGTCGGCCATTGATATTGCGTAGAATGGAATTCGAGATGGAAGTTTTGATTTCTTTCAGTTGATAGATAGCATCTGGTTTGTTTCTTTGAGGGTGATTCAGCTTGATGTCAGATACTGGTGTTTGCTTCGCGAGCACAGCGCGCAACTTCTCATAAACTGCTCACCTCCCCACCCGAATTGATGTAAGAAGAACAATTCAGCTCACGAAACGCGAATTCAAGCTCAAACCGTATTCATAATTTGGATTATCCAATCCTGACCGTGACATGAAATTCTCCCCTATATCCTCTACTTGGCACGACCATTGTTGCCGTCTTGTGCTGGTTGAATGCGCTGCTCCACCACCAACTACCTGGTTGATTTTACCGACGGCTAATTCTGCCACTCGCGAATACGTTGAATCGCATACGGCTTTTTTCGATACAAGTTGCTCAAGATATCGTGTTTCAACAGCCTTGAAGTTTAATCTGGAAGGGCTGCTCGTTTATTACAAGCACTATGTGGTCGGCAATTAGTGAACCACCTACTATTGACGAGCCCTCTTCTGAATCTCTCTGGAAATACTGAAGCTCAAGCTCTTAGTCGGACTAACTTGGTCAACCTCTGAGACTATTTCTCTTCTGCTTGATGAGATAGCTAGTCACAAGCAGTGATACTCACACGCACTCAAAAGCAAGCAATGGCTGTACTATGGCTTTGCGAACATTTCGACAATAAGCAATCGTCGTCACGGAACTTCAAATGGGGCGTTTCCGCTGTAACCAGCAACCTATTTCCAAAAGTAAACATGAATTTAGTCCAGCGCCTGTCGTGGGAAAGCCACGGGGCTAGGTTCGGGGCTTCTTCGTAGCAGCCACATTGACGATTACGATTTAAATGGTAGTTCGCTTCATATATATTTCAAGAAGCTAAACATGATTAAGATCGAGATAATGCTTCCTCATTTGGTATCTAGACTTTCTTCCGATCCGTTCGCGGCGTAGGTAGAGGCAACTTAGATACGTCATGGCCTGGTCGACTTGTCTGCAGTGGGGTCTCGCGCCGCGACCGTGAATTTCTCTACCAAGCACTCCTCCAGTTGTACGTTGCAACGGCATGTTGATGCCCATTTAGTCGGCCAAACAACGGAAATAAGGAATCGATCCGGTATGGCTGACGAATACGGCGCTGACGATGCGCTGTTGGCCGCCATGGCCGCCGCTGATTCGATTCCCGTCCCCCGCCGACCGGTACAGCAGCAACCGCGTCCGCAAAAGATCCAGCAGCCCACGCCACAACGACTAGACAAGGCACCTCCAGCAGCCTCAGGATCAGGAGGCAAAGTGGTCCAACCGACTCCCCAATCGCTCCCTCAAAGACAAGGCGCCTCCAACATTCTCGTTTCACCCCGTCAGCGTGGCAATCCGGTCCTGACGCACCTCAAGTCGATGCCATGGGAATACAGCGATATTCCAGCAGACTATGTCCTTGGAACAACGACATGCTTGCTGTTCTTGAGGTACTATATATATGACGCTATCGAGTTACGTAGCATATGCTGACAAGGTTCGCCGTCTAGTCTCAAATACCACCGCCTTCATCCCGAATACGTCTACACTCGAATCCGAAACTTGCAAGGCAAATACAACCTACGGATCCTGCTCACAATGATTGACATTCCGAACCATGAAGATCCACTTCGAGAGCTGTCCAAAACGTCCATGGTCAATAATGTGACCATTGTCTGCTGCTGGTCCGCCGCCGAGGCCGCCCGCTACTTGGAGCTCTACAAGGCTTATGAGCACGCCAGCTTCGACGCGATTCGCGGCAAACAGTCATCGAGCTACGCAGAGCGGCTTGTGGACTTTGTCACAGTCCCGCGCAGCCTGAACAAATCGGACGCAGTTGCTCTAGTGGCCAATTTTGGCAGCCTAAAGAACGCCATCAATGCCGACGCCGAACAGCTCGGCATGCTGAGTGGCTGGGGTGGTGTCAAGGTCAAGCGCTGGAGCGCGGCCATTGAAGAACCATTCCGAGCCAAGAATGCTTCCAAGCGCATCTTGCCCACTGGCGACGCAGCCGCCGTCGCCGCCCTTGCCGAGCCCGATGCAGCCAACAGAGGATCAAGGCTGCAAGACGCCGTGCCGCTCTCGCGCGTGCCATTGCGAGATATGCCCGCTGCCTCGGCGGCTATCGAGGCGACCCCCGAAGCAGGCCAGCCAGTGAACTCGGGCAAACAATTTCAATTTCGTGGCGACACGGACGATGAGGATGACGAACTGGAAGCGGCGGCGACTACCACTTCCAAAACCGCAGAGGCGGCCAGCAAACGAGCGGAGTTCCAGGCCGGCCAGGCTGAGGAGCTCTCCGATGGAATTGCTGCTGCGCTGGCAAAGCTTCGCAAATAACCTCCAGCGCGCTGGGCAGATTTATTTGCAGATACTGGGCACATGCTTCGTTCCCCGTACCATTTTGTCGGGGTAGAATGTAGTGCTGGTCTCCGATGCTATGAGTTGCTCTTATCCACCATGTTCGGCATGGCCTGGCCTTGCATGGATGAGCTTGCGTTTCTTGCACCAGACAAATAAAGGTCACGATTAAAAGTAGCATTTCGAGGGTTTTGCTTCTCATTCCTTGGCTATTCCTGCGAATTGATAGTCACACGCCCACGACGCGCGAGCTCAGGAAGTCAGGAACCCGTTCCAAGCATGCTGGGCGGGATACTATCGTGATGCCAGGGGACATGACGAGCTTCACCCCGGCAAAACTGCGACGACGACCGGTGGGCTGTAGAAAGAAGACACCTGGGAGTGATGGCCATACTCACCCTCGCCAGAGAGACCACTGCTGTCGATGATCTCAGCACAGCAATTGTCATACGTGACCAAACCACCGTTGCCAACATTCTCGATATTATCTCCGAGGTGAACTTGAGCACTATGAAGAAGAAAGTAACGGAATCTATATCGCTGAGACTGCAATTTACTACCTAGGTGGCATGGTTGCTTGTGTGTTCCCGCGCGAGAACCATGTCGGTGGCGCGAATACTAGTTTAATCAGCTTATGATCTTGTCAGCGGCCCATACAGTCACTTTCTGAATGGATAAAGCGCAAGGCCGCTGTTGAATCAGGCCAGGACTCTTTGTGATGGTCTGTCAGTGGCATCCGATACCCCCCTGACGTCCTGGACCTGTCTACTTGACTCCAGAAAGACTGGCACGAGCCCCAACAATGCTGCCGAGATCGGCACTCTGATTCTCGAGGAGACTCGCTTTATGACCTGACTGGAAATGGCTATCCTGCCAGATTGGTTAAAAAGCTGAGGATTATCTTAATCGCCCATCTGGCGCGCCCGAAGCCTGGCCAGGCCTGATCGGCACACGGGTCAATCATAGGCAATAACGAGACAGGAGGGCATTCTCGAAGCCGAGCCCAGTCTTTCCATGTCGAATTTATTGGGCAACTGTGCACTGCTTACTTTGTCGAGGTAAATGGAAATATAATACAGTGTTTTATAATTCATTTATCGGTAAAACCCAAGTTGGAACTGAGGATGGTCTGCACCAAAGTCCAAAGCCCACCAGTCCGTCAACAAGCCCGTCCGCCAAAAATTCCGTCCATGAGCCCCTCCGAAACTCTGCATTGCTTTGCTAGAGCGACATCTATAAAACCTTGACATGAGGACCCGACTTTAGCGATGCCCATGCCCAATGAACGGGCAGTGCCGATTTCCGTTCTTCCAGACGCATCTATCAGGCAGTCCCTGAGCCTCAGCCCTGCCGGATTTGTTTTTGGTAATTGAACCCGCGTCCTGAGTGCGACCCTCGTCGGGCTGCCTTGCGTTGTGGGTAACCGGTTCCGGCGGGGGCACGAGCTTGTTGGCGGTCGCTTCTTCGGCCACGGCGGGAGCGGCCGATGCGGTAGTGAAGATTACTGCGGCGGCGACCAGGGGGAGAGCCGAGAACTTCATTTTGGTTTTCGTAGAGGATACTGATGAAAGTGAAGATGAGGAAGTGAGAACAGAGTTGCAAGTCGGTACTTGGAAGATGTTGGATTAGAGCAGTTACTTTGTGAATGAGAGCAAAGCGATCGTGTCGCATTATATAGACAGTTTTGGCTCATGCGTGTGCGGCGGGACACGGACCAGTTGGCGCAGTCAGCTCGTTTCGGCTGCTCGTTTGTTACCAAGCAGATCTGACCAGAAGAGGTATTTTTGGGGGACTGCTCAAAGAGACAGAGCAAGCAACCTGGGGGGGGGGGGCGCCCGCGAAGTCGAGCCAGACAAAAGAAGAAAAAAAGTTGGCTCCTCACCGCACTGACCAGAGGTTTGCCAACACCCGCCACCGCAGAGCGGCGCGGAGAGCTTTCTCAAATTGTTTGCGAGTTTGTCATTCAGTATGGCTCAAGTGTATCCGACCATGTCAATATGAAAGGACTGACGGTGGGAAGCAAACTTGAGAACGTCGCTGCCTCAATGTACCAGCTCAAACAAGTCCCCACTGCCGTATAATGATTTTACTGCCATCTCCGGCTCGATATTTGATAGATTTTCATAAGGTTGAAATGATTTAAATGGAGTCGTGAGAGTGATTGTATGTAGCAGGCTAGATCAGAATGGCAGAGGGGTATCACGAATTTTACGGATATGGAGCATTAACGATGCATGTCTTGGGCGGTCCGTTGTAGCCATCTACCCATGTTTCACGATTCAGCGAATCGTTAAGCTCTTCAAAATCGTCATCCATCTCTGTGAACTGCGTGCTTTCTTGCTCACTCTTGAATATTGTCATATCCTCTTCTCGCTCCGTTTCCATGTTATGACACTAACGTCGCGAAGACATCTGAGAGAGGTGCTGCCAACAGACAGCTACTGTCAATCGATACAAGATCAGCAACCACAAAACATGTATCAATAAGGGTATGCACACCGCCTCGCCCGCGCGAAGGAGATTATGCAAGAATTTGGTCTCTGTCCAAGTCCAACGTGGCTGCTCATCTTTTGTATGTCGAGCACTACGAATATGAGGAATGGTTTGACATGGGGCAAAGTCCATGAATAGTACATATCAACTGCGAAAGTGTCGTTTTTTGGCAATAATTCCCCGTACAAAGTGACGCTCAAAGTAGTTTGACCCGAGAAGACATTCTCGAGCAGCCATCTGACGTTTTGCTCTGCCATCAGATCTAAGTGCGAGGACTGCGTGGTGGTGCGGATATGTAACCCCTTGACCGTATAGCTTTCCCATGATACCCGAGTGTCGCGCCCCGGGCTCGTCAGGGACTCAATACACACTGACCCCAGCTAGCCGACGTTGTGCCGCGCGTATACGCCTGGGAATCAGCAAACTCGACAAAGGTTCGTCTCGGCTGTTGACAATGTGCCGCTCGACAAGCAATTTGAGGGTCTTGGTGACGAGGACGAGGTGCTCATCAGAGAGCAGCTGACGGGCGCCTTTACCAGCACTCGAAAGGCTGTGTTCCCAGACACCCTACGCAGCTGCCTGTGATTGGCATCGATGCTAGGGGAGAGTCAATTGCTGGAGATGGACCACGACCACGCTGACTGATCTTGCCGACTTGAAATTTGCGAGCGTTCTGCACCCCGTTAAGACATTTTCATGTCGTTTTGCGACGCGGGCGGGCAACGCGGGCGGCTGTCAGGGGCCGGATCACCACGAGGGTCGGCTGGGAGCGACTGTGATGCCAGGCAGTTTCGACGCCGAGGACGAGAGCCAGCGATTCAAACCAATGCAGAAATGAATGGCTCATCGCGAGAATCTGGGACGCGGCGCTCGAGAAGCGCAGAGTGCTACACGCCAAGCGAGGTGCCGGGCATTGAGGGCCTGACGCGTTCGCCTGAGCTGCAGGGTGGGTTGCTATGCTCGGCAAGGTTGCTTCATCGCCGGTTCATGCAAGAAGGACCAGCAGAGGAGCTAGCGGCATCGCGCAAGGCAGCTGAAGAGACGCTGTGCGGGATACCTCGAAAGCATCGTATGTTGAGATAAGGCGCTTTTGCACAACAAACTTGGGGTGGTGGGAAGCCGTTAAATTATGCGGATTTCATAAAGCCCACTAAATTCAGCTGATCAGCCCACTAACGCGGTCCACTATTGCTCTCAGCAGAACGCCCCACTTTGGAGAGCTCCCCGCAGATGGCTTCAATATGTTCTCGATTCCTCCACCCACAGCATCATTACGTCATGTATTTTCCCCAGCACGGCCGTTTCTCTGTCGTCTTGTCGACCATGTTCTAGGGATAAATTTCTTTCTCGACAATTTGTGTAGAGGGGAACGTTGGACGAAAGACTAAAAGATTATTATCAACAATGTAGCGTAGAAGTCATCAACGATATATCCGCCCATCACTGGACCGTGGACGCAGCTAGCAGCTCATCCCTCCCTTCACGGCCAATTAACAGCGACGGCCACCACACATGCCGCACAAGTACTATAGACAAGCAGCAGCAACTGCCATCTCGATGCTGTCCCATATTTTCCATTACCATATCCTCTTTCCAGGCGCCTGGTTCCCCGTCAAGCCCCATTTCTGGCCAAGTATTCGCTACCTGATTTGCTTGCTTGCAACTGTCTTGTTCCTCGGTCGCGGAGCTCACCAGCCCCCGTTGCGCCTTGACACGCAGCTAAGCTTTTCTCTTGCCCTGCTTTCCCTTGCTGTTTTCTACTGTATGCTGTATGCTGTATTTTGCCTAGGTACGAGTGCCTGGCAAATCCCGAGTCTAGCCTTGCTTGCCATTCCCCAGCCTGCTCCCTCAACTTATTCCTTCCTCGCCACCCCTCTTGCCTCACACCACTTTTCTTTTCTTCCCTCCCTCACTCACACCACTCACGAACCAGCTCTTCCACAACGTCTCACACCCAAATCAAAACCTCAAAATGTCCAAGTCGCGCATGCCCTTGATCCTCGGCCTCGGTGCCGCCGGTGGTGTCGGCTACTACCTCTACAACTCTGGCGGCAACGCCAAGGCCGCCGAGAACAAGTTTGAGAGTACGTCTCTCTGATTTCTTCCCAAACCTCGTCGCGGCGTTCGCGCGCGTTAGAATAGCGACTGCTGCTGCATTGAACCTTTCACTAACAGTAGTCTTCTTCAGGCGACCTTCACAAGGCCCGCGCCAATATCAGGTCGGCCATTCCCGGCACGGGCTCGTCACCCGACGCCGAGAGAAAGCTTGAGACTGCCGCCTCCGAGGCTGGTGCCAAACTCGACAAGGCTGGTGCAAAGATCGACAAGGCTGTAGGGTCACGCCAAACCAACAAGACAAGACTTTAATCGCTAACATTCAATTTACAGTGGCAGAAGGCTGACCAGCAGGTCGGCCAGGCCAAGGATCACGCCGAGGCCTACGTCAAGGACGCCAGAGCAGAGGCCCTCAAGGCCGTCGACAAGTTCGACAAGACAGTCGAAAACGGCGCCTCCAAGGCCAAGAGCGGAATATCTAGCTGGTTCGGTGGCAAATAATGTATCAATCACGAGCTTGCAATGCTTTTCTTTTCGGCTTTCTTCCGTCAAGCAATCAATGCGTTTACAGCCTGTTCTATAGGAAAAAAACAAATTCAAATCATCCCGAAATATCCATGACACTTTCACGCGTGCACCGTGGACCATTCCAGGACCAACTTTGTTGTGAACCATGTCTTGATCGTAGCCATCCTTGGCTTTTTTACACATGTGACCCAAATATTGCTCCCGATGACCTCAATGTTTGCTGATGAGGAAGAAAAGAAAAAGATCCCCAAATTGACCGGCTAATGTACAGACCATGCCCTCCATCACGACCGACCGCGATTCTATTGATCCAGCTCCTCGGCCACCAGCTTCAAGATCTCCTCGACACTTTTATGCGCATTGGCCGGTTTCTTGGCTACAGCCGGCCACGTTTCGCCATATCGAGGCTCATTAGCCACGCACTTGGCAACCACCTCGGCGCGCTTCTCCTCGGTCCCGTGTTGGCACAGGAAGCGGTAGTACCACGCCCAGGTATCGCCCCGCGCGGCGTCGAGCGCCAGGGCGCGCTCGAACCAGCTCTGCGCCTTGTCTAGCTTGCGCTCGGCCCAAAATAGACGCGCGACACCGACGAACAGCGCCGGGTCGTTGTCAACCTTTTTAATTGCCTCGAGACTGCGCGGCTTGCGCTGCGTGCGCGCCTCGAGGTGCCAAATCTGCTCGACGTAGAGCAGCCCGCTCCGGGGCACTTCCTGCAGCGCGCGCGCCATGAGCGACTTGGCCTGCGCGAGGTGGCCGCCGCGGCGCTCTAGCCGCACCGACTCGCACCACAGCTCCGGCGACTTGGGCACCGCCAGGCGCGCGCGGTCCAGCACGGAACGCGCCTTGACGATGAGGCCTGCGTCCTCCTCCAGGCGCGCGTACAGCAGCCACAGCGGCACGGAGCGCGGCACCGCCTTGACGCCTGTGGCGTAGGCTTCCCGCGCGAGGCCGACCTTGCCCATGTCCTGGTATATTTGGCCCTTGAGCATCCACAACTTGGCCGCCGCGGGGAACAGCTGCAGTGCCTGCAGGGTGAGATCAAGCGCCGTGTCAGCGTCGCCCTGCACGCGCTCAAAGACGACACTCTTGGTCCACACGCGGTCCGTGGGAGCCTGCTCCCGCGCCACGGCGAGCAGCTTGCGCGCCTGCTCGGTGTTGCCGCTCTCCGACTCGAGCTTGACGGCTGAGAGCCAAATATCCTCATTGTTGGGGTTCTGGTTGAAGGCACGCTTTAGCACCAGGCGCGCGCCGTCCACCTCGCCGCTCTGCCATTTTTCCTTGGCTAGCATCATCCACAGGTCCTCGCTCTTGGGACACGCCTCGACCGCCTTCTCCAGCACCTGCCACAGCGAGTCGCGCGTGCCGTGGTTGCGCTCCAGGTCCGCCGCGGCGTTCCACAGCGTCTTGCTGTTGACAAACACGCGCAGCGCGTATGCGTAGATGGCGCGCGCCGTCTCGTACTTGCCACGGTTGATGCTGCCGCGCGCATCCTCCATCCACGTGTCCTTGCGGTCGTCGTCCTCGTCCAGGCCCCAGCCAAGCGTCTCGCGTATGATATTCTCGCAGGTCACCGTCGCGCCGTCCTCTTCGCATGTCTCAGCCTCTGCGATCCACTCCTCACGCTTTGGCATCGCTTGCTCCTTCACTAGCACCTGCACACCTCTCTTGATTACATTGACCTTGGTTGCCTGCCCGAGCTGCTCCTGCAGGCGAGCAGCTGCAATCCAAATCTCGTGCGATGTCGGGCACGCTTTGCGCGCTTTGTTGAGCACCTTTTGCGCATTTTCGGGCGTTTCGAGGCGCGCCAGCGCTAGCCACAAGTCCACCGACAGCGGGATCAGCTCCGTCGCCTTGGCGAGCATGAGTTTGGCATCGTCGGGGTTCTCCTCCAGGTTAACGGCCTCTTTCCACAGCGCCTCCGATTCGGGGATGTGGTCGAGCGCCTGTCGAATGACACGCTTTTTGTTATTGGGAATATGCTCGAGCCGCATCGCTTCCACCCACAGGCGAACCGAACGATTGTTGGCCTCGATGGCGCGTCGCGCGATAATCTTGGCATTATTACTATCGTGGTTGAGGCGAATATTCTCCAGCCACGCGTCCTCGCTCTTGGGGCACCGCTCGCAGCCCTGGTCGATTGTCTTTCGCGCAGCGCCAATCTTGCCGGCCAGCTCCTCCAGGCGGGCGGCCGCTATCCAGCCCAGCGCATTGTTGGGGTTAGTCTTGACTACCGACTGCAGCAGCTCGCGCACACGGTTGATGTCGCCGACCTGGCTAGCGGACTCGGGCATGGCCATCTTGTTGAGACTCGTAATGTAGCCTTGAGGATCGATACTCGTAGAGCTGCCGTTGGCAGCATCGCCGTTGCCAGATCGCGAAGCCTGTTCCAGCCTCGACTTGAGCACCTTGTCACGCGCAGCACCAATGTCCGCAAAGTTGGTCATTGTGCCGTCAGAGGTCTCCCTACCCCCAGCGCCTGAAGATGCGCCACCATCATCCGTAACCATGGTGCCCATCTCGGTGGAGTCGCGCGCCGCGGCCAGAACACTGTCGGGCACGGCGTAGAAGCGCTGCCGCAAGGCCTGTTTGCTACGTCTGTTCTTGCCCGTCAGATCGCCGACTTCGGGCAGGCTCGCCCACTCGTCGTCGGATACAGTCGCCAGCGCACGCTTCAGGTCGGTAAATTGTTGCTGAATCTTGGGGTTATTACGCTCGTACTCGTCGCGCTCGGCCTGCTCTCGTTCTTCGCGCTGGCGCTTACGCCGGTCCATGCGCTCGTCGACCCATTCCCAAATCTTGTCGGCCTCTTCATCATCTTTATCGTAGAGACCACCTGCAAAGAGGCCTACCTCGTTGTCCGGGTCCTGGTATCGCTCGTCGTCGCCTCCGCCACCCCCGTCTTCCTCCTCCTTGTCCTTCTTCCCACGGTCTGGTGCCAAACCTAATTGCTGGGCACGCTTGGCCAGCGCCTCTTTGATTTGGTCATCGCTGGGGCCATCGCGCGCGGGGCCGAGATCAGATCGGGTTGTGAAGCCAGTAGCACCACGGCCGAGACCTGCCACGTAGTTTTCCGGCGCCGGCTGGCTCAGAAAGTCGCGTCGAGTCGTCATCGTATCCTATATTCAAAGTATCTCCAGACGAGCCTACCGATGCGCGTTGGATACGATGGCGCTGTGTGCGCGGTGGTATATAACAGAGGCAGTAAACAAATGCGTAGTTGCTCAAAAGTTGGCTGCCAGTGGCTTTAAGCTGTTCGCTGCCTAGTAGGCATAGGTGTGGAGATTGACTGCACCCGGTGTCAATCTTTTCCTGACACTCCATGCGATACCCGCAAAACTCGTACATGGTGACTACTCAAATTCGTACCCGCAGAATTCCTTATCGATAGCTCCCACCACCAAAAAAGTTTCCCGCCAGACTGACCCCCACTACCTACATTTCGAGATCTCTTTTTCATTTTACCTTCTTTTCTGTCTGTCAACTGCACTTCAGTCTAGCGAACAGAACCTCCAGAGACAGGGGCAGGTTGTCGAATCCGCCGAACTCAACCCAGCATGGCCAAAGTAAAGACGCCCAAGCGAGGCGCTTCGAAATCTCCCTACGAACGACCGGGCCAGTCAAACAGCGGCAGCAACAGCAAATCCGCCAAGAACAATGTCTTCAAGTTCAACACCAACTTTGGTCAACATATTCTAAAGAATCCTGGAGTAGCCGATGCAATTGTCGAAAAGGCCTACCTCAAACCTACCGATACCGTTCGTTCCCCCAACACTAGAAACGTCGTCACTTTGCTTTGCGCTGACCTTCAGAAACCTCAAGGTCCTCGAGGTTGGCCCGGGTACAGGGAATCTAAGTGTGCGCATCCTCGAGCGCGCCAAAAAATTAATATGCGTCGAGGTCGACCCTCGTATGGCAGCCGAGGTAACGAAGCGCGTGCAGGGCACGCCGGAGCAGCGCAAGCTTGAAGTGCTGCTCGGCGATGTCATCAAGACGGAGCTGCCAGCATTTGACGTGTGTATTTCCAACACGCCATACCAGATCTCGTCACCGCTCGTCTTCAAGTTGCTGGCCATGCCCAATCCGCCGCGCACGTCGGTGCTCATGTTCCAGCGCGAGTTTGCCCTACGTCTAACGGCCCGGCCTGGAGACACGCTCTACTGTCGTTTGTCGGTTAATGCACAGTTTTGGGCGCGTATCACGCACGTCATGAAGGTGGGCAAGAACAACTTCCGCCCCCCGCCCCAGGTCGAGTCATCAGTGGTGCGCATCGAGCCCAAGGTCGGCAAGGACCGCCCCAACGTCAGCTGGGACGAGTGGGACGGCCTGCTGCGCGTCTGCTTTGTGCGCAAGAACAAGACGCTACGCGCCAGCTGGCTCGGCACCAAGGAAGTTCTGGCCATGGTGGAGCGCAACTACCGCACCTGGTGCGCCATGAACGGTGTGGCTGTCGACGACAGCCTCGTCGAGGATGGGGCTGATGACGAGGATGACGAAATGGCCGTGGATGGTGCCGAGGACGCGGGTGGCATGGATTTAGATGCGGAGGATGAGGATGATGATACCCCAGCGTTCTTCAAAGAAGCGGCCGCGAATGCACCCCCGGCCAAGACCAAGAGCAAGCGCAAGAAGACCAAGGTCGCAGAGCTGGTCCGGGAAAAAATTCGCAAGGTCCTCGAGGACGTGACGGAGCTGGCTGACAAGCGCTCAGGCAAGTGCGACGAGAATGATTTTCTACGGCTACTGTTTGCCTTTAACGAGGAGGGCATTCATTTCTCATAAACTTGCTTCACGAACATCATGTAAGGGCTTTATATTTCTCATAGATGCTATTAACGGGTTGAGCGGAACGGCGTTACGGGAGCACAAAAAAGTATTGTTTATACGATTATCACGAAATGAAATCAGCATTGCAAAAGCTTCGTCTGTAAATAACGATTTTTAATGCATTTGTGTCGGTATTGGCAAGGATGGCCCTTTTAACTCAAACTCTCGCAGTACGTCGTTGCTTCGCAGGTTGGTTTCTTGTTCATTTCGGGCAGCGACTGACAGAATGATGGAGATGATTATGAACAACTTCCGACATGCATTTGTCATAATGGTCTCCCATCGACTTGGCGTCATCGTGGAAACATTCATGTATGGCGGGCAGCTCGTCGAGGATTGAACACCGTACACTCTGGCGAAAATGGACGGAAGCTGATTTGCACAACTCTTGCAATCGACAAATGAACAATAGTTGGACAGCGACAAGTTTTGTACAGACCATTTGCATGTCGTAGAATGGGCTGCATGAAGACACCAAAAAATGGATACGCGAACCCATCCGGAGATCGATACGACAAACAGCCTCTCCTTTGTCTTTTCTGCAGAGTATGATGAACAAAGGCCAAGCATCGCCTGCTTAGGGAGACAGTTCGAGCAGGCCAGACTCTGTGAATATGTAATCTGATTTATATATCTCAGTAGAGTGTGGGCATCTTGAAATATTCACTCTCTCTAGGAAGCGTTTTACTCACTTTGCAACTTCCGTGGCGGGGAATAAAAGCGACGTGAGATGCCATCATCCTGAAACACGGGGAAAAGAGACTGAATAGCGTTGAATACAATGTGGATCTAGTTGTCTGGGGAAAATTATGTCTATTAGTTTATAGGCAGTCCAAGGTCGGGCACAGAAATTGGCTGAAAAAGTGGTTAAATACACATTTATATTAAGAACTCTAGTGTAGAAGAGCTCCTTGAAGAGAAATAGATCAAGTCGCATTACCATGGTACAGCATAATACACTCATACAACAGCTGCAGTCAAGTAGCCGTCACTGCTGATAGTATCAAGGTAATTTGACAAATTACAGAAGCAGCACGGCGCCAAGGACGAACAGGCTGACGGGGCGGACAATGCCGGCAGCACCAACAGTCACGGGGACAGTGGGAACAGCCGTGGCACCGGTGCCGGTGGCCTTGGGCGCGCAGGCCGAGGGGGAGTAGTCGGCCTTTCCACCGCCAATAGCCTCGTAGCCGAGGCAGTTGTTGTAGGAAGAAACACAGAAGGACTGGTTGGCACCAGGCTGAGCCTTGCAGTCGCCCAGAGCAGCAACGCACTTCTTGGCACACTCATCCTGACCCTGACCCTGACCAGCGGGAGGAGTCTGGCCCTGACCGGAAGGAGGAGTCTGGCCCTGATCGGAAGGAGGAGTCTGACCCTGATCGGAAGGAGGAGTCTGACCCTGACCGGAAGGAGGAGTCTGGCCCTGACCGGAAGGAGGGGTCTGACCTTGGCCTTGACCGGGGGTGCCGGTGGGAGCGGGAGTGTTACCCTCCTTGGAGCAAGCGGCGGGGTAGTAGTCGGCCTTGCCACCACCGATGGCCTGGAAGCCGAGACAGCTGTTGTAGTTGGAGACGCAGGTAGACTGGTTGGCATCGGCTTGGACTTGCAGTCAAAGAGAGCATCGGAGCACTTCTTGGCGCACTCATCCTGGGCGTGGCCGGTACCGTAGGGGCCGGAGGGTTGGTACCCTCCTTGGAGCAGGCGGAGGGATAGTAGTCAGCCTTGCCGCCACCGATGGCCTGGAAGCCGAGACAGCTGTTGTACTCGGACACGCAAGAAGACTGGTTGGCATCAGGCTTGGCCTTGCACTCGAACAGAGCATCGGAGCACTTCTTGGCGCACTCATCCTGGTTATGGCCGGTGCCGGTAGGAGCGGGAGGGTTGTCGCCCTTGGAGCAGGCAGAGGGATAGTAATCAGCCTTGCCGCCGCCAATGGCCTGGAAACCTAGGCAGCTGTTGTACTCGGACACGCAAGAAGACTGGTTGGCATCAGGCTTGGCCTTGCACTCGAACAGAGCATTGGAGCACTTCTTGGCACACTCATCCTGAGCGTGTCCGGTGGGGACGGGCTTGTGAACGGTGCAAGGGCAGTCGGTGATGGTCAGCGTGGTCGCCGAGGTGACTGTGTACGTCTTGGAGTTGAAGGTGAGGGTGGTCGAGGCAGGGCAGTAGGTGGTGAGAGCCGTGACAACTTCCGTGGTGTACACGATATTGGGCGAGGCCGTCACGGTGGCGTTGGACGGAAGGGCATAGGCCGACAGGCCGGCCACGGAGGCAGCCAGAATGAGCGACTGCATATTTGGTTCTGAAAAGGCAAAGAATACTTTTTAGAAAGGTAAAGGTAACGACCGTGGACAATGAAGTAAGCTGAGTATAGGCTTAAGAGATGCGACGGGGGGATATCGACAGGTCTTTTATACAACATATCGTATAAAAGCTCCTTTTTTCCTGCTGCGGAGGGGTTTCTCCGCTTATTGGAACGTAAATCAACTTCCCGTATCCGACGTCATGATTGGGTCTTTAGTTTAAGAAGAGGACCATGGATAGCCATCTCGTATTCTGATGAACTTGCGTTGGGCTACCCAACCAAACCTTAAACCCCGGCCGTGCGAATTTCTCGTGATCCCCCCACGAGGACTGCCATTGACCTCTCACAACTTAGTAGAGAATCGGGGCTTTGTGAAATGCGCGTGCTGGTGAGTTATGGTCGGTTGTTTGCCTCAGCTCGTTAAAGCCAGAAACGCATTCCGTAACTCAGGCGCACCTTGGAATGTGACAGCGTTTAATAGCAACCGTCCCAGTATTACTCTACGCCCTACATAGTCGTCAATTGCCCACCAATCCTTTTCCGTGCCGAGCGTCCCGATGGGTATGCACATGGTATGCTAGTAATAAGCTTTGATACTATAGCTTGGGCTTAGCACCTCAAGCGGGTCATCGGGCTCCAATACGAGGTTCCGGCTCACGCTAATGGCTAAATAGATCGCAAATGGAGCGGATGGCCAAACATCCCGGGCCAATCAAGATACCTTTGTGGACAGCCCGCTCAGCGTTGTTTCCGAGCTAAAGGCAGAATGACGTCCGTATTGCCGAAGCGTTCCTGGCTCAAAGAGGAGACTTCTTCCGCGCATGCAATCTCTCAGGGGTAAATTTGTAAGGGGCGTTTAAGTTTTGGTAAGCACTTCCGACGCTGCGACGGACCATAAGGCTACACGAGCAAGGGGAGGTTGCAAGTCCATTCGCTGCTCGTGTGGAGCATGGAGCAAAGTCCTAGAGTCACGAGGAAAACGAACAGGCATCAGCAACAGACCTGACAGAAGTGTGGCTGTGTGTTGATTGATGCTGAAGAGATTTCTAAACTAGGTGGCGCCTCGGGAGGCGATGAAGCCACAGCTGCCAGGTGGGCGCGTACTCAACTCTGACTCTCTTCGCTTTAGTCGCCCACAACATATTTATCATCACCTTTATCACGACATCTTTTCAAAACGTCTTGGTTGCTTGTTATTCCACGAGTCTCGTATTTTGCAAGAGAAAATGTCTTGGTTGCTTGTTAATCTACGAGTCTCGTATTTTGGAAGGTCGGACTTGGTTAGCTGTATTGCACGGCCATTCCCCTTTGGCATTCGTTAAATGAATTGTTAAAGCGCACTACTATGTATGTGTAGGACTTCTCTGATTATCGGCGAAAGACACAAAAATTGTGCGGCCGGAACGTGGGGGAATCTTGCTCTCGGCCTAACAATAACCATGGCAGTCATGAACTCTATTTTCCATACCACTCAAGCGCGAGCAAGTAACAGCGCGATTTTCATATAGCGCAAACGTAGAAAAGTCCACAAAAATCTTGAGAAGCTCATCTTGTATTCTATACTTTCAATACAGCGTTAGCAAATATGGTCAGCGGTTAGGATTGAGGTCGGTAATTGGGCTCAGGGTTAGTGGTATATTAGGTATTTTGGTGCTTGCTGATCATCCTGCCAAGAAATCCGACAAATAAAAGGACCAAACTGCAATATATTATTCAGCTCCAGCTCACCACAGATGGGTCCCTCGAGCGTGTTGCTACATAGTCAAGTACCAAACCTGTTGTATCCACCAAGACTCGGGTATATGTATGCATTCAGAGGGCTAAGTATCACCCGAGTATCAACGGCTATTCAACACTCATATCGCCACGTGGCCACTGATTCAAGGATGAACTGTGATATCCAAGATGCAAGTGTTAGGCCGCCAAGAAGAGGTAATCTCGCGCAAGAGCGAACATTTTCAAGCGGTGTAGGAACTCGACCAGCATTATCTATTTGGCAAGGAAGAACATGATTCATGTACGGTGTAGGTATTACCTGGAATTTCCGCATCATTATTTGCCTTGTCAAATTCTTAAAAAAAAAACCGCTGCGCAGAAATACCAACTTTTGCGTTATGAAGGCACAGTGCCGCCCGAACTACGGACTGGGGGAGTACCACACAGCTGGCAAGTCCTGGCCACAAGCAGTTTTCGTGGAGCGTGCTTTGGGAGAAGTATGCCTCCTGTATTTAGCTGATGCAATACAAATAAGCGAGTCTTCGTGTTGTACCCATACAAAAGATGCCATGTGTCTCCGACTGCCGCGGGGAAATGGCCACGTGCAACAGCAAACAGCTATCTGTACAGGTTTAATCGGCATCATATGAAAATACAGCTAACCGAGAAATTCTGAACGAAGCTGTATTTGCAGTATTCCTCTCATTACAGAGATGTCACGAGCGAAGCTGACGGTTCACAGGAGTGCTTGCTGTCGCTTCCAGAATATCACCAAGTATGAATATATATAATCAGTAAACCCAGCTCTACCCCCGTTCCTCGCATTATGAGACAGCTGATCTTTCCTATTGCTCGATATCCACATCTTAATATAAGGGAAAGATGTTGTTCTACTACTCCATCGCCGTCCTTACCACGAGCCTCGGCGCCGCTTCAGCCCTAACAAGGCACGCTGTCTGCAGCGAAAGCCCAAAGCTCATCTGCTACGGCGAAAACGACAACACCGTTGCCGAAGCCGGCGGCTCGCAGGGCCTTGACCCCGAGCACGTGCAGTACGTCGCCGCCTACCTACGCTGGCTCAGCGAGGCCAACGAGGGCGCCGCCAAGTTCTGGACCATGGCCCGGGCCGACGACTGCACCGAGTGGACGCTCCCTGTGCCAAACGGCGGGACGGTTCTGGCACTAGCCAAGCACACCAGCCCCTGGCTCACGTCGTCGGTGCTGTACGAGGACATGGCGACGGCGATTGACGGCGGCAAGGATGCGGGCGCGGGCGGCGACAAGACGCTGCTGAGATGCGGCAAGCAGGGCGGTCAGGTGGGCGTGGCGGCCAACTTGAAGAATTTAATGTATAATACGGAAGAGTACAAGAAGAGCGGTGCAAAGCCAGAGGGCGTCTTGCTTAAGCTTGTCAAGGCTCCTCCGTCAAAGCGATGGGCTAAGAGCCGAGGGGCTCTCTCTGATGGTAGTTATCAGGTTTGTGAAATGATTTAATAGTTGACGGAATAAATTTGTAGCGGACAGGAATCGGAGAGTCTTTAATTGAGCATAAAAAATTAACCTGAGACGAGTTCTGTGATGAGGTTGTGATGAAGGTCGTTCTCAGTGACAAGCGTATTAGCTCGTAAAGTGATTGCTACGGGACCTTGTTTAGCTCTATTAGGTATTTCGTGCAGAACTCGTCTAGTTGTTGGAGAAATGCGACTTTCTTCTTGTTGTGTCTACAAAATAATGGTGTCTCTTTGTACTCCCCTCGATTTTTACAGAAACGGCGTCTAGAGGTGCGCGCTCTCATGACTTATAGCGGTAGCTATCTGTTGCTACGAATACTAACAACCTCTTCTGGTTCTCCGGTGCTAAAAACTCAATGTTCGGACGATTGTGAGCCTGTTTTGGCGGGATCGTAGCCCAGTGGTGTTAATGATGCGAATGAGGATGTTGATCATAGTCGATGTGAGGGAGGCCGATCATAATCAAGGCATAAGAAGACGTTGCTTTGCGCTGGAACACTGCATGAAAGCTCATATCCGAGACTCTGGCATCCTATTACGCCTGGTTCAGGTTCAGATTTTGCAAAGTTGCCTACCGGGTAGCTGCCAAGCATAGACATGACGCGAACGAGCAGGACAGGGTTGTGACACGGGACCCTTTGCAGTCGAGCAGCCACGACATCCTGCGGGTTCAAACGGCCCATGCGCGTTGTCGTGTGTCGTGTCCGTTTTTTCTAGGCCGTGACGCGGGCGAGAAGCCCGAATAGTGAAAAGGGCGGACGGGCCCAAAAATCTCGGAATCAAGATGCCAGCTCCCGCGGGACCCATGTTGCCATGTATGGGCCAGCATGGCTATAATAATGTGGAGTCGCTAGTTATTGTTTGAGCGGAAGTTTTCTCCCGTATTTCTACGAATATTCTTTGGGCTTCTTTTCCCTCGGCGGGAAGAGTTGTCAAGTCTATTAATATCATGATACTCAGTACCAAGTATCCGTAATAATACGATGCCCGACGCTCTGGAATGGGGCGGTGATTTGAGGCGGTGCAACAATTGGCTGGGGCACCTCTGCAAATTACTGGCAGCGTTGTATTGTGAATGCTTGTTCAGATCCTTTGTATCGATACCTATCAGTGAGTAAAGACTCGTATCGACTGGCTATTTAGGGTCTCAACAAAATTGAATGCAGTGAGTGTTCCAGAGAGGCATCACGAGACCTTTGTTTTCAATGCAGGGAAGGGGAAGGGGGGCTTGCTGCTGGGTTGTTTGCCAGCTAATTTCTGGTTACGACCGTGGTTCGTTTGATTATGGACCGTTCGAGGCAGCGAATAAACAATACTGTGAGTGATGAACAATAGTACTCCGTGACAGGGTTCGAAATAAGTAGAAACAGAAACGACTACAAACAGGCCATTCTCCGGGTTGTTGAGTAGCACAGGCCAAACAGCCAGAAGCAACGTGAGCGCCGAAGACCGCTAGAAGCAAATGTGGGCACACATCACCACTCACCGGATAAAGGAAATACAAGAAGGAAAGTCAAGGCAAATGCTTGTTTAGAACAAAGGCTTTATTTTAATTACTGGTAACTACGGATACTAGATTTTAGTACAGATTACTCGACGCGACGCGACGCGACGCGACGCGACGCAACACGGCAAGCTGGCGACTAGAAGAGAATGTTGCTGCTTTATTGTTTTTTTCCCCTTTTTTCCTTTTTATTTTTTTCTAATTTTTTTTTACACGTCAGCAGAAAGTGCAAAGAATGACAGGTTTTCCATGTCTCGTTTCTTGTGGTTCAGCCTGACAACCTGGCAGTGCGACAGTGTGGCGGAATACAGTAGTCATCTTGTCCTGTGTGGGTGTTGTGTGGCTGACGCTTGAGGAGGAGTGGACGTGGCGTTCTGGAACAAGTAAAACGTGCACGCTCATGACTGGCTTCTTTTCACACCATATTTTATGCGTGTAATATGTCTGAGTCGTTTTTTCTTCTTAATTCCCTTTTTTCTGCTTTTGATTCGCTCCCTTTTATCCAGGCTGAAGTCTACCTCCTTGCCGGGCATGCGGGGTGCTTGTTGAGTTATTGCCAGGCGGGCGTGATGTATCAGTATGTGATTATTGATAATGTGAGCGAGTGGTGAGTGAAGCTGAAAGGAGTACAAGTGTGGTATGAGAGCGAGACCTGGGCACATTTTGTCTGGATGGTACATGTGCCAGTCAGTTGATGTACTCCGTAATACCTAATGACTGTTGTTTTCTTTGCCCCCTGTCGTGATGCGAAGCTGGTCTGGGCCCTCGGCTAGCTCCCGACGAATGAATGCTGGCACTCTTTTCGTTGTGCACTTGTCCGGTGTACACACCGTCAAGCCAATAAATGATGAATAGTAGATAATTAACAGTAAAAAATCTATAATAATCTAAATACCTCTAGAGCTATATAAATTAAGTAAAAAGAGTTATAATTACTTACCTATTAAATAATAAAAAATAGCTAATTATAAAGATATATAATTAATGATTAATATATAACTATATAAAGTTTATATTAAATATAAAAATAACAAAAAGTATTGTAAATAGAAATATATTACAATAGAAATAAAAAAATAGTTTTACAATAAAAAGTTGTATTTCTTTAAAATAAAATCAGCACCTACATTGATCGAGTGCACACGATGGTAAATACTGTACGCGTTCCATTTTTATTTGTTCTTTAGAAAAACGCAATTAATTAGGCATACAGTCCTTCCGTAGCATTTTCTTGTCAAGAAAGAAAGAAGTCGCGGAACATGGGATTTTGAAGAGTCAGCCAGATTGTCTACTCAGACCCTGACTGCTGGCGCGCCATGTCCCTGGCTAGGCACTCGCTCTGTTGGATGGCTGATGACCAATAAATATCTTGCGGGGCCGAAACCCATGGTCGCAAAGGGAATATTTGTTTCCGGGATCCAGAGGGACAAGAAGTCAAGACTGAGCCAACAGACAGGGAAGAGCGGATAGTAGACGAGTGCGACTTCGCTGCTCTACAATGAAATATTTCCTAATGCTCCTGAAGACCCGGAACCTCACAATTGGAGAATCACATACGAGGACGCATATCTAGGACCACTAGCTTCATCTATTTCAATAAAATGGTTTCAATTCTTGGCTGGGTAGCCCTTGTAATTGCGTGGCATCGCGAAACTGGCTGCCTTTTCGAAGACTGCCTGATGCTGCCTGTAAAAAGAACAAGATAATCCATGATGTAGAGCGCATGATGAACTTATAATAGTAGAATATTATTTAATGGCTATCTAGAGCGAGGACATATTACCATGACTAAATGCTAACTCTCTTTACACACTACATGGTGTCTATTCTCTTGGCTATCGATGGCGCCTGACTTATGGCTTTGTAGTATATAGCCAAGGAAACTGAATACGCAACGAGAACTGAGCAAACGTAAACTAACACTACTCAAAACGAAAACCAAGATGAAATATCGATACGTATGGAATGCCCTCTTTTGGTGCCGTCTTGTTCTTCCTATAGCCGGTCTTCTTTACCTGAGGCACTCGACATACTTGCAGAATACAGCACAATCGAGCTACCTAATGCAACGTTCCATCATTCACCCTCTTACTAGCCATGTTCTTCTTGCCCTTATTTCGGACTGCATATTCTGAAGGGCTTTCATATGTTCCCAAAAGACGATCCCAAACAGTGACAAGCTGCCCGAAATTTTTATTCAAAGCTCGGTGATGCACTGAATGCCACTGAAAGCCGCTGTCATCTGTAATAGCCGATTAGTATGCACAAGTGCCTTTTGCCATGGTGACGGTTAGCTGGGCCGATATACGTACGATCCAGGACTGTCAAAATATTGCTATACACCAAGATGGTTGTCTGTGCAAGTCGTGACATTGGCAAGATAAAGCTGTACATGAAGACTGGTGCGCTTAATATGCATGCTTCCAGTGGGTGGAAGGCGTAAGCCGAAAATGGCGTGGGGATGATATACCTGCCCAAAAGTCAGCGCTATCCACAGCAGAGTCTGTGACTCTGGTTAGATTCAGAAAAGAAAATGGCCATACCGATGATGTTGTCTGTGGAACCAGCGAAACATCACAGGACGGTGCATCATGCGATGCAGCCAGTAGATCCCGCCGTCGGCCAACAGTACGGCCAGAGGAAACTGTGCCAACTCATACCAGAATGGTACAGATCCCGACCAGAAATCATAACATGTTCCGTAACCTTGTGCTTGCGCAGTGAATATTGATGCCGAGAAAAGGCTCAGTACGAAAAGGGTGATGAGGGACTCCCTCAGCTCCCCCCGAATCTGGTGGCGCCGGTACTTGGGATTCTTCTTTAGCGCATGATCGAAAAGAAACAGATAGCAAGCTGTGCAAGATGAAAGATATGCCAACGTGAGAAGGAGCCTAAATAATGCAAACTTTAGCGGAGCTTCATTGCAGCGCGTGTACCGACTGCTCTCACCAGAGGCTGATGAATAGACTCGGGATTTGCCGGTAGCCACTCTGTCGATCCCACAAAGAGTCATTGTATAGAATGGAACAAATTCGGGATTCGAAGTTGGAAGATTTCGGCTTCTCGGTACCCACGCGATTCCCTCTAGCATCGCCTGCGTACGATGCAACGTCAACAAGACAGCCGCACAATTGTGCTTGTAGCCATTGACGGCTTGCTGAAAAAGCATTATCTAGGACTATAGAGTCTAGCAAGTTGAGCAAGCTATCCATAGTGGCCCGTTTCGCATCTGGTCTTGTTTTAGGTGTATTTGACACCTGCAATCTTCCAAGAAACGTGGGTGATGGACGTATGTCGTTCGCATAACGCAATCGCAGCTGGATCCTTTTTGACTGAGAAAAACATTCAATAAATTTGCTAGAATTAATGTGGACAGCGAAGATATCGAGAGCTGCTGTAGTGCAGCGTACATTCAGCCGTCACGGCCTTCCCAATGTTCAGCCTGTCTCATTCAGCGAGCAACTATTGGTCTCCTGACGAATTCTAGACTCAGCCACCTACTAATCATCAGTCACAAATCTCGGACGGTGATCCTTTCATATCCAGTCAAGGGGTAGACAAAAAACATGGCGGGTATACACTGATTTTCGCCCACGATTAGCGGTGGCTGTAGGTAGACTACCGCCATGTTTTTTGTCCACCGAGTGCCAGTGCATTATGCACGCCCCAGAACATGTCTTAATTACGAAGGCATATTTCCAATCAACCCCAGTTAGCATTTGAAGTGCCAGACTCCAAACGAGACATAGTGAAGGACATTTTTGTACATATTAGTATCGGAGAAATCGCCAATAAATTGCTGCTATTCTGAACAACCGACCACTAATGCACATGTGAGAACAACAGCGTCAGAATGTACGTTCATGACAACTTCAGCCGATCGAGGCTTCTACTTCGAGAGCTTGGATGCTTCATCTTGCTCGTACTATGCCCAGTCTTTGTTCTTTTCTATTGGAATACATATAACTCCTTTGATGCGTCACTAGCGGCAGCAGTGCTGGCGCTGGTGACTGAGCGGCCCTTACAGTTCTTTCTCTCGCGATGCCCAGGTCCAACAACCAGCTCTACTTACGCCTATGCTGGCTGGCTACTTCTTCAAGCAGCACTCTATGTTTACTTACCGGGCCCCGTTGCTTTTACCCCGAGGACACCGGCTGGGAGGCGCATGCCTCACACTCTCAATGGTTTTTACGCATGGATCTGTACCATGGTGCTGATGGCTACTGTTGTATACGTGGGAAGTATCGATCCTGCCTTTATTGCGCTAAATTGGGCTGCGCTCCTGGTAACGGCTAGTGCCTGGTCTTTTCTCGTCATTGCTGTTTTTCAGGTCAAGGCTCGGCTTTGGCCTGATGATGTCGGGGACACTTTACTGACAGGTGAGATCTACATGACTGCCTTCCATGCAGCTGAAATGTGTCTCACCTGGAGTATTTAGGTTATCCCTTCTATGATTTGTTCAATGGCGGCGAGTTGCATCCACGATGGCCTGCGTTTTTCGACTGGAAACACTTCAATGCGAGCAGGTCGGGTGGCCTCGTGCTCTGGACACTAATGCAAGTCATCATGTTTTTTACAACCTTGCGACTCAGACTAACACCTTTTTTAACTTGCTGCTTTGAAGCGATGCCTCATTTGCCGCGCGTCAATATCAAACCTACGGGATGATAACAAATTCTATGATGCTCACTGTCATTTATCGCATGGTTATTGTCGGCGAATACTTCTACTTCGAGCACTGGTACGAGTCCCCATCTACCTAGCCAGTGTGTATGCAATTCTGAACAAAGTTGCGACAGGTTCTTTGAGACACTTGATTCTACGACTGAGCGCTTCAGCTTTTACAGTATATATGGATTTGCTGCCATTATGCCGCATATTTGGACACTGCAGTCTCAGTACCTTGCTACTCATGCAGTAGTATTATCACCATTGCAGCTAGCGACTTCTGGTACTCTATTTGCAGCTGGCTGGTCCCTCAATCACTTAGCAAACCGGCAAAAAGTCCGCGTCCGAAAGTCCATGGGCAACTGCACTATCTGGGGACGCAGGCCGAAACTCCTTGAAGCGACGTATACAACCGCCGATGGCAAAACGCATCGCACCAAGTTATTGTGCTCACGTAAAAAATGAAGATCATCTGCATGGATGCCCCAATGAAGTTGAAAAAGCTGACAAGACTCCAAGGGTGGTGGGGGTTCGTGAGACATGCCAACTACCTTGGCTCTTTGATGTACACGGTGGCGGCGTGCTTGGCGTGCGGGACGGATGACATTTTCCCCTACACGGAAGCCTTCATTCTGGTCTTTATGCTGTCTCACCGGTGCTTTCGCGATGAAGAACGGTGTAGACAAAAGTATGGCGAGACATGGGACGAGTATTGCCGCGCTGTCCGCTGGAGAATGATCCCAGGCATATTCTAGCCCTTATCATGTGGTAGCTAGCTATTTGCAGATCCGAAAGTCAACGACCATAGCAAGACCACTGTTTAGTCCTTTGCACTACGTTTTCCGATCTTCTACAGCTCCGCAACCTGTCTAAACTCGGCGACAGAATTTCCAAGTGACAGCCCGTAGCTCTGAGCGACGCTTTATGATTGCACCTAACCTTCCTCACTTGCGTTTGACTACCAGGATAGCTGGCACTGAGGCCCGCAGTTTTGACCTATATGCAAGTCTAAGCCCTTTCTTTCTGTCCAAGCTTACGCAGTTTGGCAGTCATCCGAGACATGCAACCTGTCACGTCATTTGCCAATGTCTGATAGACAGCCAAACAGCCTACAAGAATATAGCATACCCAGTATCCGTAGACGAAAAGACTACTCATTCAGGCTTGCCCCTAGGTGCTGTGTGAGATTCTTAGAGTGTAGTATGTATAAAAATCACTTCTGTATGCGGTAGATTCACGGCGGTACACGGCGATTCACGGCGATTCAAACATGGGAAGAGTCCAGACACTTTGCTGTCCTTGGTATAGCTTCTACGACAATGGCATATTTCTTGTTATATACCTTTTTACTTCCCGTACTCGTTACCATTGCACTTGCCGTCTTGAACGCGAGGTCCCGGTACAAAACAATACGGCCTTTACCAGGCATGATTGAGCCAAGACAGCTACCGTACATCTTTCCGTATATCGGTCATAGCCTGTCCTTCTTCAGCACAAGACCTCAGAAGTTCTGGCAGTGGGTTGAGGCCTGTCAACCAGGCATGCAGGATTATGTATTACTGGTCCTTGGCTCGCGAATACAAGTGATTTCCACGCCACCGGCTGTGAAAGCCCTGTTTGACATGCGACATCTCGGGAATCATGTCTTTTCTACCTGGGTAGTTCAGGCTATGTTTGGCCTTCCTTCGCTCGATGTGTCAATTTTCCGATCTGATTTCAAAGGCTTTGGACACGCATTTCGGCACTACCTCCTCAAAACCGAGGCCACCTCTGAGCTTGTAACTGTTTATTTGCAACGGCTACGAGAGCAGCTATTGCGCCATGACGATCAACGCGACATCCAACTCGGCAGCTGGGTTCATCATGACAACTTCAACGCCTCCGTGGATACTATATTTGGGGTCAGGCTACTCCAGATATATCCAGAACTGGAACAAGACTTGTTTATATTCAAGAAGAACACAATGAGCCTTCTTGCTGGCCTGCCCCGATTACTATTTCCGGCGGGATACAGAATTCGCAACAAGATAGTTTTAAAATTTCAAGAGTTTCACCAGCTAACTCTCGGTTCAAGGATTTCAGATATCCCCGACCCCGATGCTATCGGCTGGCAACCATCCGTAGGGAGCAGGATGTGGCGGGCGCTGCATATGTGGTATGCGAAAAGCAAGATGACCTCGCTAGGAGCGGCGTGTCTGGATGTGGGTATCTTGATCGCCGCTACCTCCAATTCAATACCTGTCTGTATATGGATGTTGATGCACATTTTGGACACGAACTCCAACAAAGGCCTCCTGCAAAATATTCTGAACGAACTAGCTCCAATACGCTTGGATGATGGCCGAATCAATGCGCGAAGCCTGGCAGAGCTACCCATTCTTCAAAGCGTCTATCTCGAAGTGCTACGTCTATATACTGATGGGTTGCTTATCCGACACATCGACAAGAGTTCTAAAATCGCAGTTGATTCAAAGACAAGTCTTGTTCTTTCTCCTGGAATTGTGGCTGCCTCGACTTGGCTCAGCCACCATTCTCCGCATAGCTTTGCAAACCCACCAGCAGATGTCTTCTTTGCTGAACGTTTCGTAACGGTGGATGCGCAGTCCGGAAAACGACTATTCAAGTCTGGAGACTTGGCGGGCAGATTGTTTCCTTATAGTGGCGGGGAATCCATGTGCCCTGGGAGGAACTTTGCGAAGCAAGAGATCTTAGGGACAGTGGCCATGATTCTGACAGCCTTTGATCTTCAGTTTATTGAATATCTTGATAGTAAAGGGAATGCCTCAAACACGTTCCCATCCAGAGTTGCCTATCACCTCAGTGCTGGAGTTATGGTACCCGATGGCGATATGAGAGTAAAGGTTACGCGGCGGGGAGCATAAAAGTACTATTTGAAGTTAACAACAGTGTCTAGTTAGTAATATAAGCCAGTTAATTCACTTCAATGGCGCTGTGTTGGTGAAAGGATGAGTAAATTGACGTCATACGTATCGTCCAAGGCAAACCGCGTGAAAAGCTGTCCCAGACAGAGTACTATGCCAGAGTCAACCCAGATCAACAAGATAGAATCGATGCACTGTGCCCAATGCTATCAAGATGTTAGCTTTGGATGATAGGTTAGGTGTTTGTATAAAAGAAAGGCGTGGAAGAGTTTTCTCCAGCAACATTCCCGACAGGGTGAATAGCTTAGATACGACCTCCTAATCCTTTAAAGTAAATGTTATCGGATCGTTATACAGTCTAGTGAAAGTAAGGCCCTTAAGGAAATAGACCCCATCCAGATTATGTCCAGCTAATCCAAGACACATCACGAAGAGGCGCAGTGCAGTGGCGTCCATCCATTACGTATTAGCAGAGTGGACGTCACCATCGAGCGCTGTGTATCGCAAGTACTTTGCAGCAGGGGGCCACAGCCTGAATTCAACCAGCAGAGCCTGATTTGAACGACGGCAGCCTAATAGAAAAGATGGCTTGTCTAGCTTACATTGATTAAAGAAAATCGTCTTGGAGGAATGAACGAGCTTTACCGGCCAAGGGAGTGACAAAAAAGCTAGCCTATTCTTGCAAGGCGCCCGCATAATACTCAACGAAAGGCGTAGAGGATAAATAAATAATAGAAAATGAATAAGAATTTATAAAAAAAAATAGGAGAGATAATTTAGGCACTAAAATTTAATCTCGTCCTTATTTTTATTAGATGAACATTTTCTAGGATTTATTAAGAATTATTTAAATATAGGTAGCTAAACTTTAGTACTCTCGTTATAGGCTATTTTTTTTTTCGCCCGCGTGCCCGGCTTTCCCGTTTATTTAATTGTCCCATCCCCTCCCATGTTTTGATGTCACTGGTGCATAAAGACTTGATAGCCCCCACCTAAATATGTATGTAGGTGGTCTAATAAGAGGAAACTATACCCACGTTGTAAAAGACGAGAAAACAATTACCAATGTTTGCTCTGCGAAGAGCGCATAACATGCTGACAAGGTTCCATCTCCCCTGGTCATCTGAAGCTAAGCCTTATGGAATTTACATACGGATTAGTGCGAATGTAGTGCGATCTACTTTTTAGTACATTGCGGTGTAACTTGATCAAAAACCTCCACAAGAGGGGTGCCAAAAAGATCTGGGGGGATGGATGGGACAGATCCGTTTTCTCTTTGGTCTCCGCTTGCAATACTAGTTACTGGTACACATATCAGGCTCCGTGGCGGGCCTGTCGACGTTGGGGGCCCTTGTTGATCAACTGGATGAAAGATATTCTTCCTAATAAATATTGGTTTTCTCCCCATGGGGGACACTGGCGCCCTGGTCCATCCCCCACTTATCTGGGTCACTTGTTCAAAAGGACGACCGGCCTGCAAACGAATTATTGTTCCCAGAATTTAGCTGCGTCTGAAAGTGAGAGCCAACATGCTCTGTCCTTGTCCCCAAAATCGATCAACAGCTTTGCATGTGCGACCGACACCCTCGTGCTCGCTCGTTTCAGCGCTTACTACAGTAAATTGTCGATGATTCGCCTCCAAAGCGTGCAAAATGGCATCCAGCAACGGCGTTTGCAATGACGGGAGCTTCTCGCCGCCCGTCATCTCGTCCAACTGCCGCGGAGCCTTCGACTTTACAGATATTCTTTCTTCATCGTGTTGGACCTGTTGACCGCCGAAATCCGAAATTCGAAAAAACCATTCGCCACTAGTATTTTTCGAGGAAGTCATACTGTGCATCCTTCCCGCCGCTCTCTACTTGATGGGCGGTTCGCTCGAGAGCGCATTTATGCTCGGAAAGCCCCGCTGCTTGGTCATGCAATCGTCTCTGCGCTTCGTCAAGCTTACATTCATCTTCATATTTGCTGCATTGCAGGTATCCCTCGTCGCGCCATGGGCCTTGGAACCTTTTGCCTGCATCACCATGCCGCTCGTCTCAGCCATCCTCGCGCTTGTCGTTGCCGCTATTTTCGCTGTAAATTCCACCATCGCTCACCGAGCTAACCCACGCCCTTCTCTAACAATATCCGCATATCTCTTCATCTCGTTTGTCGCCGATATACCTAGAGTCAGAACCCTGTGGCTGATGGGAACTTACACCAACGTTGCTGCCATCCTTTCGTCTTCGCTTGCCATCAAGCTCATTTTGCTATGGCTGGAGAATATCGGCAAGCGTCCGTTGCTGCTTGAAAAACATACCAACATCTCTGACGAGGAGACTGCGGGTCTATTCTCCAGAGGATTATTTTTCTGGCTCAGTAGGCTCATGATCACCGGCTCGCGTCAGGTTCTCAACCTGCACACGCTCTTGTCGATCCACCAAAGAATCAACTCTTCTGCAACTTTCCCTCGGCTACAAAAGGCTCTTGAAAATAGTTGGTCTATATTCCACTCCAAGCGTCACGCCTAATTTCGCTAACACGAGCATCAGCTGACATGTCACGCAAATACGGACTCGTCTTTGCAACCTTCAAGGCGTGGCCTTGGGAAGCTGCCAAAATCATCTTCCCTAGATTGGCTGTTCTTGCCTGCAGTCATCGGCCGTTTTGAGCGAATCCAAGCCTTCTTGAACGAAAAGAAGACGCAAGATGATCGTGTTATTGGCCAAACAAGCGCGACTACGGAAAACTCGGCATCAGGTATTGCTCTTCAGGAGATGCAGCCGGTTTCTGATGCCGAGAATGCGCCTGTCATCAGTGTGCAGAACGCTACCATCGGATGGGAAGCCCTGTGGTGCATAATGTGTCTTTCTCATCATCAACGGGTTCAAGATTCATTGCTTTAGTTGGACCTGTTGCTTCAGGGAAATCAACAATGATCAACGCGTTGTTAGGAGAAGCTCAAATCTTCAACGGCACGGTTCAACTCGCCACAAACGAGTTGGCCTTCTGCCAACAGACACTATGGCTGCCTTCCGGGACTATACGGGGTCAAATTATTGGCGATGATTGTTTCTCCAAGGGATGGTACGACGAGGTAGTCAGGGCGTGTGCTCTAGAATACGACATTGCGACACTGCAAGACGGCGATCAATCAGAAGCTGGAGTGCAAGGTGTATCCCTCAGCGGCGGGCAGCGCCAGCGTTTAGCAATCGCTCGTGCGCTGTACGCCAGGAAGCCAATCGTGATTTTCGATGATGTTCTGAGTGCGCTCGACTCCTCCGCCCAAGACATTATTGCCGACAAGGTGTTTGGTCGTGATGGTCTGCTCCGACGGATGAACGCCACTGTCGTGCTTGCCACCCACTCGATGCGGCACTTGCACGCAGCAGACATCGTAGTAGCCTTGACATTAGACGGACAACACACAACGCATGTAGTGGATCGCTCTCGCACCGACCCTAGCGTACAAGCTGCAATCCAAGATGATCAACTTGTTCAAGCTGCCCCTCATTTGGATGTAACTGCCAATGCAATCGTTGCCGAGAAAGACTTCAGACAAGAAGCCAATGGCCTAGCCAACGCCGGTAGGAGTATCGGCGATCTAGAGGTTTACAAGTACTACTTTGCGTCCCCGGGGTGGTCAAGTCTCTGCATTTTTTTATCTTTCGTTCTCCCTGAGGCTGGCTTCTCTGCGCTACAACTTGTGGGTGTCAAACTTTGGTCATCCAGCAATGATAGGAATAATGCAAAGCATTGGCTTATCAGTCTATACGCATTGTGGGCTGTCATTCGCGCTGCCTGCCTCATTGACGCTGTCTACTACCTCTACGTCGTCGGCATTGTGCCCAAGTCAGGAAAGCGGCTCCATCTGTCTGTTTTGAATGCTGCGCTCAAAGCGCCCATGCCTGTCCATTCAGAAACAGACATCGGAACGTTGGTGAACCGATTCAGTCAAGATATGCAGCTCATTGACATGATTCTACCTGGTGCGTTGATCGCAACCGCATTTCACGCAGCAAGTTGCATATCGGTTCCAGCGTTCACCATTGCGGCAATGCCGTATTTTGCGGCGGTTCTCCCGTTCATCTTGCTAGCATTGGGCACAGTACACCGACTCTATCTTCGGACCTCCAAGCAGCTTCGACTTCTTGAGTAAGGCACACTGACGAAGAGATCTATATATTATGCTGGCAAGAATACAGGCTGGAAAGCAAAGCGCCCCTTTATTTGCACATCATTGACACCATCAATGGCATTGTTTCGATTCGAGCGTTTGGATGGTTCGCTTCATACAAAACCGAATACTTTCAACCTTTGGACGATTGCCAGAAACCATTCTACCTATTGCTATGCATCCAACGATGGCTATCTGTTGTTCTCGGACTCACAGTGACGTGCATGGTAACCATCCTTACTGCTATTGCAGTCACGGTACGGGGATCGACTGTCAGTGCCGGTTTTACTGGCATAGCACTCGTTAACATGATGAGCCTGAGTCAAAGTCTTGCTTCTCTGAATATTTTTTGGACGTCGTTGGAAACATCCCTTGGCGCAGTATCTCGAGTCAAGTCATTCTCCGAGGACACCCCTGTTGAAGAAAGCCCAGACGCGCCTGTTGCCCACAACTGGCCAACATCTGGTCACGTCCAATTCAATGGTGTTACGGCCGCGCATGCTAACTTTATCGCGCTTCGCAATGTATTGATTAAAATTGCATCTGGGAAAAGAATTGCTGTTTGCGGTCGAGCTGGTAGTGGAAAGAGTTCGTTCATCTCATCTGTCCCAGGCATGATGGATATTGGCCAAGGGAGCATCGAGCTCGATGGTCAACATCATGGTCTCAAATTGACCGAGAAATTGTTCGCAGCAGGGTAAGCTACATTACGCAGGATCCATTCTTATTCACTGGGTCATGGCGCCAGAATTTATGCCTCGGAGACGATGGCCCCGATGTAGAACTAGAAGAATGCATGAAGGCAGTCGGTCTTTGGGAACAGGCACAGAAATCATCCGGTGAGAGATGTACAAAAACTGTTCTGGATATGGACATGGAGCAGATGCAACTGTCTCAGGGTCAGCAGCAGTTATTATGCCTTGCCCGTGCTCTTTTGTGCAAGAGCAAATTGGTCCTTCTGGATGAGCCGACGGTTAGGTATGCGATATTTATCCGTTTTGTCATGATTACAGCTAATGCCTGTCATCTAGTGTTGATACTATCACTGAAGCAAAGATGGCTGAAGTTATTGCCCGCACATTTGAAGATGCCGCCGTCATCATGGTCACACATCGTCTGTCTTCAATTCATTCATTCGACAAAGTCATCGTCTTGAACACAGGCGAAATAGTCGAGTACGGACCGCCAGCTGAACTGTTATCTGATACTACGAGCGCCCTTCACCAGCTTTACCGCGTGCAGTCTAATTCCTTGCCGAATGCGGCAGAGTAGTGTTGTATAATAAAAAAGAGATAAAAACAGTATTAGTATAACGATATCAGTAATAAGTATTATCATTATATAGAAATTTTTAGGTACTTAGTATATATATATAACTATATAGTTATACTAAGTTATAGGTACTTTACTAGGATAGGGGTTAGGCTCTATATATAAGACAATTTACCTAGTAACAAGTCAATATTTCTCTAGTAATACTTAAAATAAATAATAATTAACATAGCTTTAAAGATATATATATAAACTATAATTAATTATTTCTAAAATAATTTTAAGAATAAGAAATAATTATGAATATTAATAATAATAAATTAATATAACTATTTCTTTATTAAATAATACATATATAAGGGTAAAATTAATATTAGTTATAAAGAAGTTAGGTAAATTAAACTTAATAGTAACTAGTAACTAAGACTTCTTTTTCTAACTATTATTGTACCTATTAATAGCTGTCATGAATTAAGAGCAAATCAACAGCGAATGATCAATACTGACAATGCTTGGTCAGCCAGCCAACCAGGCAGCCAGCCAAGTAGCAGCGAGTGATAGTGCAAACCCCCTCAGCTCGTCTCCCTGCGGGCCCGGCTGCTGACCTCACCACTACGACACTACTTTTTCCCTCTTTTCTGTCATATTTTTGGTCATTTTTGGTCCGTGTATTGCTATATTGTGGTTTTCATTACTCTTTTCTTTATTCTTTTCCTCGTCTGTACCTTTTCCACTTCTGCAGGTCCACCACTAGTTAGCTTGCCCCGACTTTCCAAACAGGCCGCCTTGGGTCCGCGCCCGTTGTCCATCCATCCACCACCACCACCACCACATCCTCATCCACACCCCAAAATCCTTCCCTTGCCGCACAACTGACACCATCCATCCATCATCACACACCCTCCCGTCTTTACCATACCTGCACAACAACAATCATACATCATCCCACCAGGCACCATCCAATCTCCCCCAGAAATACTACATCCATTTAGCAGCCGTCCTTGTCTTTCTTCTCTCTTCTACTACTCTCATACATTTCTTTTTCCTTCTCCCTCTCCGACAGACCATCTCCCGACCTCCCATCCTTCGCTTGTCCGCATTTTTCTCGCGCCTGCGTCACCTCAAATTAAATCCATCAACCAACTGCACGCGACACGCAACACGGAACACGCAGCACGCAGATCCCCCGAGTCTGCACCTCCTTCTCACCAACGCGAGCCTTGCGCCCATCCACGTCGACGCCCTGACAACGCATCTGGCTTCCCATTGCTACGCTCCGTTGGGCATCAGGCTAGACCCCCTCGCCGCCCGCGCTCTTCACTCGCCGCTCCTTCACCCACGATGAACCATTCTGCATCCGCCTCCGCCATCAATCGTTGAAACTCGCTATCTGCCCCCGTTGCCGTTGGCATGCATCAATAACATTCACCCTCCAAATCATAGCACTCACTTGTACCAGCCATGGACACGCCATCTCTCGCCCCTGATGGCCCTCCTCAGGCTCATGACGCTGGCACCCTTCCCTCCACTGCCGCCCAATACAGCAATAACACACCATCTCGTATCGCACTTCCATCCGTCTCTGCCGCCGCTACCGTGACAGCGTCTGCCTCCAACGGCATTGCCCATGGTGCTTCAAAGCCTCTACTGGCAGCAAACTCCAACGGAACCGCGCCGAGTTCTTCCCGCGACGGCTCTCCCGGTCGCCTCATCCGAAAAGCTACCTCTTCCAGCCGGCTCTCCGGCAATCGCCCTCGCAAAAATAGCCAACAGGAAGTCAGTCCAACTCGCCCTTCTAGATCCCAGATACCGACACATACGGCCGCCGCGCGCAGTCTCTCAACTTCTGCTACCCCCTCGCTACCCCCCACCCCCAGAGAATCACAACAAGCTTCAACGCCAAAAAAGAACGGCCTTGCACTGGCTGATTCGAGGGACAGCTCCCGATGGCCTGTCTCCCCTCGGTTGCGATCTCCACCGCCAAACTTGAATAGGTCCGGCTCTGCGTCGCCAAAGCCCGATCCAGATCTACCCGCCATCAATATTTTGCAGGCCAGTCCCGTTGTCAAGTCCAGTGACACCCAGCGTCCACCCGAAAGCGACACCGACGAATCCAAGTCCGGCTCCGGCGTTCACACGCCTGTCCGCTCCCCTCTGGAAACTGTCCAAGAGGTCGCTACCCCCGTGGCAGATCGTAGCATCCTGGATCACGTCAAGGAGAAGCTTGCTGCTCCTGATACACAGTCGGATAGTGCCTCAAGCGATGGTGGCCGCACCGTCAGAGCCCGGTCGAACCACACCATGGACAACTCCGTCGAGGGTGCCAACAAGGTCGAAAACCGAAGAACCACTTCCGTGCCCCCGCCGCCTGTCGCTCGTCAGTCTAGCTCGCTGTCGATGAAGCAGGGCAAAGGCAAGACTGAGGGCTCCACCCAGAACATGACGGTTGAGACAGAGACTGTGGCCAGCATCCCCCAGGTGGCTCTAAACACGAGCTCAAAGGCCGATGGCGCAAACGGCACCCTTAAGACCAAGCAAAGCACCGAAACCATCAAACCGAAAAAGGAAAAGAAGAAGCCGGTCCGAAAACAACCGAATGTTCACACCGGAACCTCTGCCTCCAAGGCGGACAATTTTGAGGCAAAGATAGCCAGCGCCGTTGACGAAGCCAACACGTCCGACTCGGAAGAAACGTTTGTTTATGACTCGAACCCCCCTGATGGCGGCGACCGCACTGTTCGCCGTTTCCACTCGCGCACCCCCAGTGCCACATCCAATGCCAGCCAACCCCCCGACCGCCAAAACGTTCGCTCCATCTATGGTGTTATGGAAGGTGGCGGCCACCATGGCCCCGTTCCCAAGAAGAGCATGAAGTTTGTCAACACATTTAACGGCTCTGGGACAGAAAGCTTGACTCCTGGGGAAGAAGACGGCAAGGCCTCTGGTCGCAGCGCCGGCGGTTCCGGTCGTGGAACCGCGAGACACCACCATCACATTGGCCGATGGGGCCGTCAACCCAACAACAGCCATCTGTCAATATTCGACAACGATTCGCCCTTTGCCAACACGGTTAGGTCAAAGGGCCCTAATGCTGGATCTCGAAATTCCTCGGGTCCGACAAGCCCACGCAATCACCACTCACCTAGAGGCCAGCTCAGCTCCAAGCGCTCTGCCCTTCAAATGTCGTCCATTTACGACATGGACGAGAATACTGGCGCCGATGACGAGCGAACCCCCCTTGTTGGAACCAATCGCTACAGGTCCGGTCGCAACAGGCGCGGACCCCATAATCTCAGGCAGGCTGAGTCCCAGACATATACCCGACGATCCTCGTATCTGAACCGGTTCGCAGCGTGCCTCGTCCTTACCATGATGTTTCTCTTGGTGATTACGGGTGCCATTGGATTCATGTTTGCCACCTCCCAACCCATGGCCGGTATCGAAATCGTCTCGATTCAAAATGTCGTTACGAGCGAGCAAGTCCTCATGTTCGATGTCTCGGTCAAGGCTCACAATCCAAACATTGTTCTGGTAACGGTTGACCACACCGATTTGGAGATTTTTGCCAAATCAGACCACGCCGGTACAGATCAGGACTGGTGGAAAAAGCCTGGATCTGGAGATGTGATCGCACCTCATGCCATTCACGGAAAGAGCAACAAGCCCAGCGAAGGCGAGGACGCGGATGCAGACAATCGTCCTAATATCCTCTTGGGCCGCATTACCGAACTCGACAGCCCGCTCATGTTCGAAGGCTCCCTCTTTCACCAGGGCAGCTCTACCTCGACTGGAGAAATGAAGCTACAGTCCCCAGGAAACGGCACAGCAGGAGGTGTCAAGAGATGGGATCGCATCTATCAAAACGAGTTTGATCTCATTATTAAGGGCGTTTTGAAGTACACTCTGCCTCTTAGCGCCCGTGTCCGCAGTGCCACTGTTTCGGGACGCACGACGGTGAAGCCCAACTCAGCCAACGACCCCTCTCATCGGCCTCCCAATTCGACTGCGCTTGTCGCATCAAACAAATCAACGACCCGTTCTGTTATAACATGGACGCAATGAACATAACTTTCTTTTGTCATTATCTGATTCGCGTCTTTTGATGAGCGTATAGTATCATGGGCAATATATTTGGCGTTGTATTGCAAATCGTTCCAATAACATGCAGGAACTCGACTGAGAACAATACACAAACAAAGCAATGATTTTTTACCGAGTCCAGCTGATTGGGGCAAAAGGAACAGAAAGGACTCATTTTTTTACGCAACCCATAGCACTGTTCTGAAGCATACATGTATTCTCTCGAATTTGCACTCAGCTGATGGACGGCCTAGGCGGACTCTTTCACTTCAAGACGCAGAAAAAGCGAACATTTGTTTTACTTGCTTTATGATAGACGGGAGAATACGCAGTTATACCCCTTTTGATGTATTTATAACGGCTTCACGACATTCCTTGCACACCCAACAGACGCACATATACACTATACCTCTTACACAAAATCTGTATTCTGAACAATGCACATGCCACACGCGCCTACATTCAATTGATTAGCTGGAGTGAAATGTGATGTATTCGCAATGAAACTGTTTCTTGGAATATTTAAGCGTAGAACGGGCCGAGTGATAAGACATTCAGGCATTCCAATGTCCCAATGTCATGTATAACTTTAATCTCCCAAACTACCAAGAAAGCTATCAGCCTGCTTCTTGGCCCTCCTAGCCTCCATCGCCTTCCTCCTCTCCTCAATCTCCCGCTTCCTCGCCGCCTTTTGCTCCTCCCTCGCCTGCCGCTGCGTTTCAGTCTGCTTGCGCTCATCCTCGAGCGCCCGCATCTCCCTCTGCCGCGTGTCCTCGTCCCTGCTAAACTTGTAGAAGCCGACGCCCTTTGAGCGGACCTCTTTGTCCGCATCGTAGTGCTTCATCTCGGGCGGCGTCGCGCTGCGGTCGCGCTTCCGCGCCAGCGCCTCCATCTTGTCCGGGTCGTCGGGGTTAAACGCCATGGCTTGGATGGCGTCGCCGTGGATGAGGTTGCTCGGCGCGGGGGGCCGTGCCGACATGCGACTGAGCTCCTCGGCGCCGAGAAGGCCGCGCTGGATGCGCCGCTCCATGCGCTCCTTTTCAGCGCGCGTGCCGCGCCGTAGACGGCCAAACTCGTCTTCGTACTCAATAACCTCGTCGTCGCCGTCGTCACCGTCTTCCTGGTCATCAGACGAGCTCAAGTCTGATAATGCATCTTTTCCTTCCTCGTGCTCGGCCCACTTGCGATCAAAGTCAATCAAGGGCGTCGCCTCATTATCCTGTGGCACGTAGTCGCCTCGCTTCATGGCCGCGTAAAGACGAGCCTTGTTTTCCATGTTGCGCCTCGCGCGAGCCAGCTCGCGTGATTCATCCTCGGTGCCTGCCACGTCTTTGAGAATGAGCTTCTCGTCCTTGGCGCTGCGGCGGGACTGGGCCTTCTCGCGCTTTCGGGCCGTGTGGGCGCGAAAGAGATCTTCCTTGGGCTCTTTGGACGGCCGGGCGCGGCCGGTGATGGTGGCGACGGAGCCGGAGGAGGCGCCAGACGACGCCATGAGCGAGGTCAGCTGGGCTGTAAAGTCTAGGGAAGATGAAAGCGCGGCATCCTTTCTCTGCTTCTTCTTGGGCCGCTGCCCGTATAGATGGGGATCTTGGGGCATGGTGGCGTGGCCAACTGTGTTGTGCGCGTGTCACGGGTTGTGGCAACGGACTTTCAAGTGAATCACATTACTCTTCTTGTTTCTGCGATATGGAGAGAGCCCTGCTGTATCTGTTTGCCGCAAGATGATGTGTGATTTTCTTTTGACGATGTGAGATGGTGTAACTGAGGCTCAAAAATAGCGGGCGAATTCCACTAGTAGTTGGCAGTATTTAGGCGCTCCTAGTGGGGCATACTGCTGCCTAGGCAGATGAGCTGTGTGCTCTTTGTCCGAGTAGGAGGCGAATGCCGCATAGAATAAGACGTATTCAAAAAAGGACCAATCTCAACAGTGTTTTTTCATCTTATTTATATAATTTGGAATGCTGGAGCGTAATGGTAACGCGATCGGTCTATCTCGAGGGCAAGAGCCGCCCCCAGTTCCATCTTTATGCACGTATCGTGCACACGCCAAAATCAGGTATAGAATCAAACGCCGAGAATCAAACGCCTCCCTCACATCTTAATACACTCCAGAGCCATAACCTTTTGTGTTGAAAATCTTTCTTTCCGCTGTCCGATTTGCCCAACTCAAGTAGCTCTGCCATGCTACGGCAACGCACCCTGAAAAGACGCTCCGAAACTGCGCTGGTACGTACATGAAGCTGACGAGAGCGACGCCCGACCACACCTTCCAGCCGGCGACGATGCTCGTGGGAAGCGCCAGTTGCAGGCGAAGCAAGGTGTCGTCGACCGATGCGCCAGATAGAAGCGATTGCGCGGCGAAGAAGTACGTGTTGAAAATAGGTGTATATATGGCTTGTTGGACGAGCACCTTGGTGGCAAGCGACGCGGCCCTCGAGGCGAAATTGAATTGGCCATGTAAAAACAGGAACCTTGTCGCAGTCAAGTTAGCGCGTTGCTGCTTATTTTTAACGGTTTGGTACGCGACTTGCCATTTATAAGAGGGAACGCTTGCGACGATGCCGATTGTCAAATGACTCGCCGTCCGCCAAGGGTCGTATCTCTGTGCTTCTAAACATTCGCTTGAGCTACCATGCTTGACTGGCTCGGGCGGGAATAACAACTGAGCACTCAAGTCGCCACAGAGCCAGATGACTATTGATGTGCCTATCTGCGTGGCATATGGCCGACTCGCCTGCGCTTTTCCATATGCTGCGAAAAGCGACGACATGCCACAGCGCGCTAGTAACCCGCGAGCTTTAAGTGAGGCTGCAGCTGAGCTTCTCTGACGCGTACACAACCATGAAGTTGACCACAGCGGCCGCCGTGATCCAAAATAGCCTCGACCTAAAGGAAATTGCGACGAGGATATGGCTCGTGGCGCGTTGGCCAGGCGCAGTTGCAACGATCGGAACATTATTGCTCCCAATCACCCACGTCAAAAAAACGGCAATAAACTTAATTTCGAAATCCGGACATCACAGGGAGAATATACAGCCGCAACAACTATAGTCTTGAAGGTCACCAATCGGGCATTGCCCAGAGTCTGCGAGCCGGGGCTTGGCCGCATAAGGCTATGCGAACTCCGAGGTCCGCCGCCAGCCTTGTCGTCACGGTCGCTCCCGCTGCATTGAACGATTGCTTTGTCTTGTTTGTTTCACAAACACTGCGGAATAAAAGTTGAATTTTCTGGTAGCTACGCAAATCAATCGCTGTAATGAGCGTACAATCTCAGAGCGTCTCGCCCAGCTCCTCAGTCAACGCGGAAGCGACAAGCAAAGAGCCGGCAGTGTTATCATCAGGTCGCACAGTGGAAAAGCTCTACCATCGCATCCGCAGCTGTCTAGGTTGTCGAACGCGTAAAATAAAATGCGATCGCCAAAAACCTTGTGATGGCTGTCAGCGGGTGGAAGCGGACTGTGTCTATCCATCTGGACCAGGCAGAGCTCCGAAGAAACTTCGTCGAGCAATTGACAAGCGCGTTATTGATCGATTGGCTGATCTCGAGGCACTGGTAAGACGCCTTGAAGATACAGACAAGAACGTCAAGCTGGGACGCGGCTCGAGCGTGACAGGAGGGCTTTCTGCTGATTCGACAAGACAATTGGAACACGAATCAAGCCCGCCAGAACAGCAATTCGGTCGGCTTGTGATTGACGACACACGAAGTTGCTACGTGAGCAACATTTTGTGGGCAAGCTTGGGTGACGAGGTGCGAGTCTAAAACTTGAATAAGTGCCATTCATCGAACCGGACTGACCTTGTTGCAAGATTGAAGAGCTGCGCGATCTAATCTACCATGAGCCAGCATCCGAGGACGACGACTTTGATGCTGCTACTGTGGCATCGTCTGCTATTGATACGCCAACTTTTGCCGGCTGTAATGCAGCGATAATGGGATTTCACGCGCTTTCGCAGTCGCTGAGGGCATATCACCCAGGACTATCCCAGTCAGTGGCTCTCTTTGAGACGTTTAAACAGAATGTCGCACCTGTGGTGCACATTTTCCACATGCCCACGTTGAATACCTTTTATTGGGATGCCGCGGCGTCTCCCGAATCGTTGGGCTGCAATGCCGAGGCGTTGCTATTCGCCATATACTACTCTACCGTCATCAGCATGGAGTCGCAGCAGTGCGAAGAGCTCCTCGGCTTTTCACGAGCGGCGGCAGTCAAGCACTATCAATTCGCAGTAGAACAGGCCATGGCCCGCGCGGACCTCCTCAACACCCAGAGTGTGGTGTTGATCCAGGCCGCAGTTTTATTCTTGTCGGCGTTGCGAAACGAAGATGCGTCGCGCACCGCGTGGTCAATGACGGCGCTCATCTTCCACATTGCGCAAGCCATGGGACTGCACAGAGACGGTGCCTCATTTGGACTTTGTCCGCTGGAGATTGAGATACGACGACGGCTTTGGTGGCACATCTGCCTGCTCGACATTCGATCATCCGAGTACCACGGGTGCGAGCCCATCGTCGACGATTCCAAGTTTGACACCCGAATGCCACTCAACATCAACGACAGCGACTTGACGCTCGACATGACCGAACCACCACCCGAGCGCGAGGGGACCACGGAGATGACATTTTGCCTCATACGATGTGAAGTCATGCGCATTGTATGGAAGACGGGATATGTACCGCCAGGACTGCGACAGCCCGGTCAGATGGCAGAGGCATCTTCGCTTGCCGGACGTGCTGCTTTGGCCAAGAATCTCCAGCAACGGTTAGAGGAGCAGTATCTCAAGCATTGCGATACTTCAAACCCGTTTTTCCAAGCTTGCGTGACTGTTGCCCGCCTGATCATCGCTCGAACCTGGCTGGTGGTCTACTACCCGCTGCGACAAAAAGAGGGCGCAGAGCCCGTGCCGGGTCCGATTCAAGACCAACTGTTTAGCATATCGGTCAAGGTTCTCGAATTGTCATGCCAGCTGCTCACCAACCCCGTCTTTGCACCATGGACATGGCACTCCAAGACGCACGTTCAGTGGCATGCGGTGGCTTTTGTCCTGTCCGAGATTTGCTCGCGGCCGCCATCGCCTGATGGCGACCGCGCGTGGGAGTATGCGCAAACTGTCTACAGCCGATGGAAGATGAAAGAGCACAAGGGCACTCTCTGGCGGCCCATCAAGCGGCTCATGGCCAAGGCGCAATACGTACGCGAAACGCAAAAGAGCAAATCTTCGGCTGTCAAGTCCCATTGGCGAGTAGATGGGATGACCACGGCAATACCAAAAGGTTGTACAGAGTCCACTGCGAGTGGCAATCCGAGCCTCGAGGGAGGGTCAAACCCAGCTACTGTCAAAGAAATCACTGCGGATTTCTGGGCTCTGCCAACAGAGTCCTTTGATTCATGCCTAGAGAGCTTGAGTAGAACTGATTTGATGGCGCCAGCTCTCGAGTATGCGTACCAAGTTGGCACTGATTTTAACCTGACAGACTTTACGGTCAGTCCCATGGACATGGTGTTTGAGATGAATGAGTTTACGCCGTGAAAAGGTTCAGCATGAGCCAATCTGGTAGTTTTTATAAATGAACGAATTCAAACAAGTCACCCAGCATGAAAGTCCTTCTGAACCCAGTTCGTTGCCCGAGTCTCTTCTCGATTGCAATATCCCAAGACATGAACAACTAAGGCTAGGCGTCGAAAGGAACATGTGCGCTGTACCGCGCTCCACTAGATTTAGACAACTGCAATAATGAGTCGACACTATTGGAACATTGCGACGACTGTATAGTGTCCTCACATATCCGCAATTTGACCTTGCATATCAGAGGCGTCCGATGCCACGCAACTGTACTCTTTTATGTACTTTGTCCACCCCTCAAACTCTGGCATCATCACAGGATCAAAACGCCAAAGAAGTTTGGCTAGCATCATCCGAGTTTCAGCTGCGAAAGACGTAATCGCTGCGCTGGCATTTTGTACTCTGCTGCTTTCGGCTGCGTTTCCGATTTGGAGGGCTACGTCAACGGTTGACGTCCGGGACTGGGCGGGCCGACCGCATAAGCTTGTCCGATGCCCGAAAGGCCCGCACGCAGCGCCGAAACTAGCGGCATTGTTCAGTCAGTAAGTAAGTGTTCTGAATTGGTGGGCGGTAGACTAGGCGCATAAGACGAGTGGCTTACAGCGCATAGGGGAGCTTTTCCGGCTTGTTTGACCTCGGGATGATATACAAGTTCTACGTGTGTACTTGGTCCAATCAATACTTCTTTCTTTCAATCCATTCTCTGTAGCTCGACAAGAATCAACCTCAGTCGTGACTTTTGTCTACACCCGCCCATCTCAACTCACAATGCCACAAACACCAGTCGTGTCCGCGTTGTCGTCGGTCAACAAACATCAAGACCTAGAAAGCCAACCAGAGACAGAAACAAGGCGTCTGGAGCATCCTCTCATGTACAACGCAACACCGTCGACGGTTTTGGTGGACTTTGATGGCAGCGACGACCCTTACCAGCCAATGAACTGGCCATTCCAGAAAAAGGTCGTCACCACGCTGCTGTACGGCTTCACCACCTGCTGGGTCACATTTGCGTCGGCCGTGTACTCGGCAGCACTGGGACAAATCTCGCACGAGTTCAATGTCAGCGTGGAAGCAGCAGCATCGGGTGTCAGCCTCATCGTCTTTGGCTTTGGTCTGGGCCCGCTGATCTGGGCTCCGCTCAGCGAGGTCTATGGACGAAAATGGGTGGTGATCGTGGCAAGTTTCCGCGCGGTTTTCACTTTCTGAGATTGAAGCTTGAGCTAATGGGCAAGGCACACTTAGCCATACTTTATTGCTGCTGTATTCTCCTTTGGAACAGCAACTGCAAAGGACATTCAGACCGTTCTCATTACCCGATTCTTCACTGGCTTCTTTGGCAGCGCGCCCGTGACCAACACGGGCGGTGTCATGGCGGATATTTGGCCTGCAGAGCAGCGTGGCATCGCCATTGTCGGTTACGCAATCACAATTGTCGGCGGACCGACCCTCGGGCCCATCATCGGCGGTGCCGTTGCCTCGAGCTCCCTGGGCTGGCGGTGGACCGAGTACTTGACAGGCATTGTCATGATGGCCCAGGTTCCCTTGGATATCTGCTTGCTGGACGAAAGTTTCCCCCCGGTTTTGCTGGCATACAAGGCTCGTCGGCTGCGACTTGCCGGAAAGAATTTCGCACTTCACGCCAAGGTAATAACGTAACCAAAATGTGCAAACCAAGACTTACATGTCTGAAGCACGAAGAGGGCGGTCTCTCAATCAAGCAACTTTCGCAAAAGTACCTTGTTCGCCCGCTCCAGATGTTGGGCACGCCCATTTGCCTGCTAATGAGCATCTACGCCTCTTTTGTGTACGGTAAGTAGGCGCGGCTGTCCGAGTCTAGCCTGTCCGTTTTCCAGACTAATACCGTCCATTTGATACAGGCATCCTGTACGCGAATCTCGAAGCCTTTTCCATTGTTTTCCAGGAAATTCGACACTGGGGACCTGTTGTAGGCAATCTTCCATTCATTGCCCTTCTCGTCGGAATCTTCTTCGCCGCCGCCGTAAACATTTACAATAACAAGTACTACTTTGAGAAGTTCAAGGCCAATGGCAACAAGGCCGTTCCAGAGGCTCGACTGCCACCAATGATGGTTGGAGGATTCGCTTTCACAGCAGGCCTCTTTGTATTCGGCTGTAAGTTTGAGAAGAGGGCCTAATTGAGGGCCTAACTTTTCTTGTTTTGCCTGGACTGACCTGCCAGGGATCTCTTCACCTCACATCAATTACTGGCCTTCCATTGTTGGCATCGCATTGACTGGATTTGGGTTCACAACCATTTTCCAAGCGGCGCTCAACTATTTGGTCGACACGTTTACCAGCTTCAGTGCCAGCGCTGTCGCAGCCAACACGTTTCTTCGTTCCATGCTGGCAGGTGCGTTTCCACTGTTCATTTTACCAATGTATCACAATATTGGTGTTGCCTGGGGTACCACCGTGTTTGCTTGCTTTGCAGCACTTTTGATCCCGGTGCCGTTTCTCTTCTTTGTCTGGGGAAAAGCTATTCGTGCTCGGGGAGAGTGGAGTAAGCATACCGTATAAATAAGAAAGGACGCGAGTGAAATCTGTATTATCTTTAGTCTTAGAGTGACCAAAATAATGGCTGTCTGGGAAGCAGATGATGATGAATACAAAAAAGAAGACTTTTAAAATATTTTAGTAGACTCGTAGAGAACCCCCAATATGTATACATGTCACGAACGCTTATGGCGCACAACACTCTGTATATCACGTCACTCAGCCACTTGAAAGCTGCATTAACCCCTCCATTTATTTGTTGGGCATTTTTAGAAGCTTCCACAGCGGCTGGCCCCCTTCTGGAAGCCCAACCTTCTATTTGGGTGCTAGGTACCTGTACCTAGGGCAGGCAATGGAGCACAACTAACTTTAAAAACCCGTCGTCAGCCGCGAGACCCGCTGGCGGAGAGGGCCGTTTGCGATTTCGAGGATTGAAGTGAGATTCTCTTCTTTACACTACAGAAATCAGAAAACTGCAACAAGAAATAATGGCTATTGAAGAGATTACCAAGTACGTGTTTGCGTCTCCCCGGAACCCCGCCGTCTCCCACACGGTGGCATTTTTGCGCGTGGCGTTGGTGGCTAATCAAGTTCTCCCCCTCAACAGCCCCGACACCTTTCGCGCCGCCCTCAAGGAGCACAAGGTGGTTGTCGCCGATTTCCACGCTCTGTGGTGCGGCGACTGCAAGATGATTGATCCCTTCTTCAAAAAGTACGGTGACACTCCCACGACCATCTTTTCCCCGTGCGCAGACGAAGCCGAGAGGTCCCCCCCCCCCCCCCCCCCTCCAAACCTACAACCCCTCGCTCACTACCCCGCCATGACCCTGTTTGTACCACTGCCGACAGCCGTTTGTTGACACCAATCTCTAGACACGCCGCCGACGCAAAGTTCAAGGACGTCTACTTTTGCAAGATTGACGTCGACGTCCTTCAGGGCCTCAGCAAGGAGTACAACGTCCGCCGCATGCCCACGTTTATCCTCTTCAAGGACGGTAACCGCCTCGACGACGTCTTTGAGCCCAAGCCGCCGCAGCTCGACGCCTTTCTGGCCAAGGCGCTGTAGCCCGGTTCGATCGACCGTTTCCGCGCTATATATAGATAGCAACGCATTCCTCGTAGATACAACAGACAGAAAATAGAAATACAGGCTCATCAATTACATGCATCATTAGACAATGCGCATACAAGGGCCTGCATATATAATGACGTGCTGCCTGGTTCCCCCACCAAGGAAAAATGTTAGCCTGAAACTATGGCCTGTCCCGCTGCCCATCATCGAACCCTGACGGACCACTGTACGACGTTTTCGAGCACCCCGCTATCGGATCTTAAAATTGACTCGCTCCCAATTCCTCAAACCCCCATTCTCACCTCGACACATCTTCATTCACTTACTAGACAAAAGTCCAATCATGGCTGCTGCGAACCAGGTTTTCATTGCCGTCATCGGTAAAATTCCCGCAACTTCACAGCACCTCTTTCACCAAATCAAGGCCAAATGCTAACATTCATCTAGGCGCTGGCGGCGTCGGCAAGTGCTTCTTGTCACAGCTCCAAGCTCTCGCGACCAGGCGACCCTCGCCCAAGCTCACCCTCTGCTACATCTCGACCAGCAAAAAGGCCCTCTTCCACGACGACTATGCCGAGATTAGCATCGACACAGCCCTCGACTCGCTCGCCGCCTCGTCCAAGACCCCGCCGGAATTGTCCCAGATCATCGAGTATCTCGCCGCCGCGCCCGCCAAGACGGTCCTCGTCGACAACACAAGCTCTCAGGACGTCGCCGGCAAGTACCCGCTGGCGCTGTCTCGCGGCGTCAGCATCGTCACCCCCAACAAGAAAGCCTTTTCCGGCTCCTATCAGCTGTGGAAGGACATTGCCATTGCCGCCACCGCCTCGGGCGCCAAGGTCTACCACGAGTCCTCGGTCGGCGCCGGTCTGCCCGTCATCTCCACCCTCAAGGACCTCGTCGACACCGGCGACAAGGTCACCAAGATTGAAGGCGTCTTCAGCGGCACCATGTCCTTTCTCTTCAACTCGTTTGCTCCGACCGAGGGCCAGGGCGGCAAGTGGTCCGACGAGGTGAAAAAGGCCAAAGCGCTGGGATACACCGAGCCGGACCCGCGCGACGATCTCAACGGCCTCGACGTCGCCCGCAAGCTCACCATTCTCGCCCGCCTCGCCGGCCTGCCCGTCGAGTCACCGAGCGCGTTCCCCGTCCAGAGCCTCATCCCCGCGGAGCTCGAGTCGTGCGCCAGCGGTGACGAGTTCCTCGACAAGCTGCCGCAGTTTGACTCCCGGATGGAGGAGACCAAGGCGGCGGCCGAAAAGGCTGGCAAGGTCGTCCGTTTCGTCGGCAGCATCGACGTCGCGGCCAACGCCGTCAAGGTCGGCCTACAAGAATTTGACCGCTCGCATCCCATTGCCGCCCTCAAGGGCAGCGACAACATCATCAGCTTCTACACGGAGCGCTACGGCAGCAACCCGCTCATTGTGCAGGGTGCCGGTGCTGGTGGCGACGTCACTGCCATGGGCGTAACGGCTGATCTCATCAAGGTGGTTTCGCAGTTTTCGTAAAGAACGCGTGCCGTCAACAAAGGATTATAAAAAAAAAAAAGGTAAAAAGCAATTGAAATAGCTGGCTGGAGAAAATGATAAATAAAAAGACGCTGGTAGTCACGTTTGACATCATCTTCGCCGCGTAGCTCGTGCCCCTGGTGTATCTCGGTGTGTGGTGACAGATGTGGTTGTTGCAGCTTTCAGCTTTGATGGTGTATCTGGCGGCTCGACAGACTCCTTCCTCGAGCGATGCCAAAACATTCTCCAGCACCAGAGAATAATGTCAATGGTGAGAAAGATGACGAGTGGCAGAATAGACACGGAGCCTATGAGGAGCTATGAGATCGCATTAGTGAAAGCTACGATCAGAGGACCTGTAGCTGCGACCGTATGAATGTACGTACACATGTCAGAGTGATGAACCGTACAACGGTTGACGAGTAAATGAAGAGCGCCACGTTGTAGAGCCACGCCGGTTCTGAAAAAGAAAATGACATGACTGCGAGGTACGATGTCTAGTTTGACAAGAAAAAAAAACAGAGCTGCCAGTGATGCGTCGAATATTTTATCAGTAGTCGGACAGCTCGGATGCGAATGGGTGCAGTGACACGAGCCAGCAATCAAGATGCCCCTGAGGCTGCAGCTGTCCGTACTGGGCCGAGGCAGCGACCCTATCTATAGCAGAAGCGAATATGATGACGGAATATGCTCGTAAAGGTGCTTGCAGTATTTAGAGTGCGTATTTCCACTCTACTGATGGTACAGAGGATCCGTACGCCAGATTATGCACAGACATTGACGGGTGCTCACTGCTTCTGGCCAAATAATAAAGACTTGGCCAACATGCGCTTGGGAGCTGACTTTGAATTGGTAGGTAGTTAGGCTGATCACAAGCGCTGCCGCTAAAGTTGGGGATGGGCTGTGGCTTGCGACTTCACCGCCTTCCTAACCGGGAAATCTTTTTCATCTTCAACGTCACAAAACTTCGTTTGAGCAGCGACCTTTCACAAGAATACCTGACCAACGGTATAACAAACTTAGTTTCTTCACAACCGCAAGAGAAAGACGGACGAAAATGTCGGAGACTGCGGCGCCAAGAAAGACGCACCGTGCTAAATTTCAGGCCGCTCGAGACAAGCAAAATGCCGTCGAACTTCCCCGCAAGCGCTTCTATCGCCAAAGAGCTCACGCGAATCCATTCTCGGACCACGCTTTAGAATAGTATGTGGCTGACTGCACCGGTTACCAATCTCATCCATCAAGATTGATGCTAACAATCGCGTAGCCCTGCGTCTCCGGCGGACATGGACTGGGGAAAATACTACCCCGAATACGTAGCAGAATCCACAGCCGATGACGCCCGCTCAAGTCAACCAAGACCTCTGAAGCAGGATGTCGAGATTGTCGACATTGGCTGCGGCTATGGCGGCCTCCTCGTCGCCCTCTCACCTCTCCTACCCAACACACTCATGCTTGGTAACTACCGCTCTCCCTCCCCCTTCCCCTCCTCCTCCTCCTCCCCTCTCTACCTACCTTGCTAACACAAAAAAACAAAAAAAAAAAAAAAAGGCCTCGAAATCCGTTCCCAAGTCACCGCCTTTGTCCAAGAGCGCATCCACGCCCTCCGTCAGCAAAACCCCCAAGCCTACCAAAACGCCGCCTGCATCCGCGCCAACACCATGAAGTTTCTGCCCAACTTTTTCCGCAAAGCCCAGCTCAGCAAAATCTTCATCTGCTTCCCGGACCCGCACTTTAAAGCCCGCAAGCACAAGGCGCGCATCGTCTCGGCGACGCTCAACTCCGAGTACGCGTACGCGCTGCGGCCCGGCGGCGTCGTCTACACAATCACCGACGTCGAGGCCCTGCACGAGTGGATGGTGGAGCACCTCGAGGCGCACCCGGCGTTTGAGCGCGTCGTCGCCGAGGACGAGGTCGAGGGGGACCCGTGCGTGGCCGTCATGAGAGCCGAGACGGAGGAGGGCAAAAAGGTGGCGCGCAACAAGGGGCTCAAGTTTGTGGCCCTGTTTCGGAGGAGAGAGGATCCGCCGTGGTAATAAATGATACGACCAAGTAGAGACGAGTGCTTCGGGAGAAGGTGCGGTCCAACGTGGATACCACGGATACACGGCGTTGACATGGGGCCATTTGATATACAGATGCGTTGACAGGGAGACGATTTTGATTTTTCTTTTTGACGACATGTGAGACAAAGATGCAAAGGCCCACGTCGCGCGTCTCAACCCGAGGTCTCAGGGGTCATCCTCTATGTACGAGTACACTTTTAGGGTTCATTCCCATCATCCGCATGGGTTTACATATCTCTCGCGGAGCACCCCGATGCCGATCAAAACGAACACCATATACTCGTTCTGTGGCGGATCACGCAACCCGGCACCCGAGCCAAAGTTGCCCTTTCTCGCGGAGCGCTGCTTAAAGACAGGGTATGCACTTGGTCCTACTGATAGACGCCGCGTCCGCTCAATTTGGGGGTCGCATACCATGTCTTGCATGCCTATCAAAAGGGAGACTGCCTCCCTTGCTCCCCGGCACGTGGATCTCCCACACGTCAGCCATCTCAAAAACGTTGTAGTCTGAATCACGGCAGCAAGGCTGCATGTTGCCATTCAAATGCTACTGATGGGACGTGCCAGGCTGCAGCCTCAATTTCGTCCGTAAAGAAGTTTTCCCTTGATGCAATCCATCCGCACTCTGATTGGCTCCGCGGTGCCTGTAGCTGAATAACTCTCGGCAGCCTCGGCTTACAGCCTCGGCTTACAGCCTCGGCTTGCAGCCCGTCATGCATCGTCATGCATCGTCATGCAGCTCGCCGCGGCATGAGCGGCCCTGCATCCGTTTACACACATCGCACCGACCTCGCGGGTCTGACTGTCAGCATGGCGCCGTGTTGGACCGGGGTTGGAATCGACCCGGCCACCCGGCGGGGAACGCCCTGCGGACCACTTGGGGTGAGATACGACAGATTGTGCAGTTTTATGAGACCAAGACCGAATCAGTTAGTTGCAGCATCCTATCCTCATACAATGGTGACAGTGTCTGCACAGACCACACCTTTTCTCCTGTTCTATTCCCGCCTGTAAAAAGACACTTAAACGTCAACCCCCCGTCTCTAGTTCTGTAGATCGGAGACATATTGATCAAATGGCTCATTCAACACCGAGTCTATAATGCACAATCAAACCAAGCTACAGGTAGTCACCCCTGTACTCCAAACACTATTCGCATCGTCCACGTCCATCCTCACCACGCTCTTCAGCTGCCTCCTCATATTCTGGCTTCTTTCCACCAAAACTACAAGGCCCTTTTACAACGTCTACGGAAACCGTCACTTTGACGCCCCCATCGTGGGCCCCAGCAACGCCCTCCTCGCTCGCTGGCACTTTTTTCGCCATGGCCCGGCCCTCATCCGCCAGGGCTACACCCAGCACCGCGACTCCTTTTTCAAAGTTTCCGGTCACGACATACTCGTTGTGCCGCCCAAGTACCTCGCCGACCTCGCCGTGCTGCCGCCGGAGAAGCTCAGCGTCAACGCCGCCATCGTCGAGCTCTTCCAGCGGCTGCCCGCCATCACGACCGTCATCGTCGACCACAGCCTGCAGGCGCGCATGGTCGCCAGCAGGCTCACACCCAGCCTCGGCGCGCACGTGCCGCGCCTGCAGGCTCAGCTCCGAAGGCACCTTCCGAACGAGCTGTTGGCGACGACGTCGGAGCGGTGGGTGAGCGTGCCGGCGCTGGCGCTGGTGCGGCGGCTTGTGCATCGCGGCACGGCGGCACAGTTTGTCGCGGAGCTGGCTGATGATGAGGCATGGCTGGCGACGGCGATTGCGTATTCAGAAAACGGCTTCGCGCACAGCTTGCTCCTGCGCGTCTTTCCGGACTGGGCCAAGCCTGTTGCGGCGCTCTGTCTGCCTACCGGCTGGAGCGTAGGCGCGGCTCTGCGCAGAGCCCGCAGACAGCTGGTCCCGCTGATTCGCGAGCGTCGCCGGCGCGAGACGGCGGATGTAGATTACGTCCGGCCCGATGACTTTTTGCAGCACCTCATGGATGGCGGAGGCGCGGATGATAACGACGACAACATCACTGTGCAGCGCCTCATGGTGGTGTATCTGGGCGCCGGGCCGTCTACCATGATCGCTATCGTGCAGATTCTACTCGACTTGTGCGCGCACCCCGAGTACATTGAACCGCTGCGTCAAGAGACGATTCAAGTCCTGCGCGGCAGCGGCGGTTACAGTCGACAGGCGCTGGCTGACATGAAGAGGCTGGACAGCTTCATGCGCGAGACCCAGCGCCTCAGCTCACCCACGGGGCGTATGTTTCTGGGACCGAATGTTCTTGTCTCGTGCTGACTGTGGCTGGTAGTTGGCTTGCATGCCATTGTTCGCGAACCCGTGACCCTGCACGACGGCGTCATTCTCCCCGAGGGAGCGCACATTCAGATGGCGGTTCATGAAATCGGCATGGACCCCGACCGAGTGCCCAACCCGGCAAAGTTTGACGGTATGCGGCAGTACAACAACAGAAAGCGGCCTGGTCAAGGCAACTGCTACCGTAAGCAGCCCCGATTACACTTCTTCAGTGGCCTCCTACTCACCCACAGTATAGAGTACACGACCACGAGCGAGAATAATTTGTATTTTGGATACGGCAAGGTTTCTTGCCCGGGCCGCTTCTTTGCCGACCAAAACATCAAAATGATCGTCTCCAATATTCTCATCAGGTATCGCCTGCGCTACGCTGGAGGAGCAATAGGGCGACCGAAAAATACCACCTTGTATGATGTTGTTATTCCGGACCTAAGTACTCTCATCGAATTCAAGTTGCGAGAGGATGCGTCTGAATATAACTTCTAGATTGATCCTGCTAGCTGTGAAGCCGATTTCGCTTTCAGCTCAATTTTGTTGAGTGGTACGAAGGCTCAAGTCCCTTCTTTAGCTGCCGGTACTTTGCAATGATTCAAAACGTCATTGATACTGTGTTTCAGTTTGGAAGTCAATGCTAGCCTCTTGACCGTCGTTGAATGGTGCAGACTGAACTGAGCCAAAAGTCACCAGTGGGCAATCATGGCCAAGTGCCATGTCCCAGTGACTTTGGAAGACCATTTCCGTCTGAGGTGCTTCAAGCCACAAGACACTCTTAATGAGCACAGACGTATCATTCCATGAATGTAGCCCTAGAAACGTGGATTGTACGCGCGCCTCTTCCTGCAGTAATTTGTAGAATGGCGTGCCATGCGAAGCCACCAAGCCAATGGCGACAAGCCACAGCTCCAGCGGGCTGGAGGCTCGTAACCTTGCGCAATCTTGGAGCTGCGTGACGAGCTGTGCTGTTGTTTTGTGCATTATAGCCGCGTGAGGATAGTATATCGGCCCTTGCAAAATTAGCATATAGAGCACCATGGCGCAGCGAACGCAGTCGGAGAGAGCTAAGGGGGGCTCTGTCGGTGTTAGAAGTCGATGCACAACAAAGCAGGTGAGAGCATGAAGTCGGAGGAGAGGGAGGGGCGCGCGTTTGGCTCGCTGAAATATGCCATATAGACGCGAAAAGACGTTCCAGGTCTCGGGATCCAGGTCTGCCTCAGATAAAGCCGGTGGGTCGGCGGTTTGAGGTATTGACCATTCTGGAATCGGACTGACACCATCACCATTACCTTGGTCATCTTGAGTATCGAACTGAGGAATGCCAATTATAAGCATCGATACCCTTTCTTTGGTCAGCTCAATATCTGAGACGAGTGTGGAGAACAAGTCACGGCTTACCAGCTGACCATGCGCGCAGTTAGAGGGCTGGTTTGCATCACTGCTTGGAGCCCGCCACGCATGTTGATGAGTTTTTTTGCTCCCGTAACATGCATTTGCGCTATTTCTATATTGCCTTTTCCGTACTGTCATAGCCAGATTGGTTAAGACTTGATGATCTGCGCCAAACGGGACACGCGACGTGGGTGCATTGTTCTCTCATACCTCTATTGTGGCAAGCGTGATGACAGAGTTTATCGTGCTGTCTTGCATCGCCAGCGAGACATCTTGTACTTTTCGTCGAAGCAGCACGACAGAGTCAGACATGAGCTGCTCCGATGTCTGGAAGCCCTTTTGGCCAAAGAACTCTTCGTCGAGACATGCCGTTTGCAACGACACGTGGAACAAGACGGGGTCTCCTAGGGCGAGGGGCCACCATGATACTAAAAATGGATTCGAGTGCGGATTGCGATCAAGAGGATAGTATTGGAAGGCAATCTTGTGAAGAACTACCCCGACGGTGAGCACGTGAATTTTGTGCGAGACACAATAGGGGAAATATTCGAGTGCGTACAACTATGTATAAGCCGTTGGACGTGCTCTTTCCCCAGTCTTACCTGAGGATACGTCTCAAAGGGATCGACGGAGCCAAAGGCAGATATTTGATGATGGTGCGGACCAGACGAGGTAGATGAAGGCTCGTTGGCGTAGATGCACGATATATTGCGAGAGGCGCAACGCGAGCAGTGGGGTTTGCGCAAGTCACAGCGACTCTTTGCGCGGGCGCATGCGCTGCAGGACCGTCGAAGAGTCTGGCGCATTCTGCCTTGTGCCTCCTCTTTTTTGGTCTCCCTTGCTCTTCTCTTCTTGTACCTGTCACCTGGCAAGCGCGAGAGTTGGCGTGACCTGGACGCGAGTAGAGAGGAAGGCTTGTGGCCTGACAGCAGCTGGCGGGACAAACAGTGTAAGTTCTCTTTCTCGCCGGCCCGCCCGGAGAGGCGCTCCTCTTTGCGCGGACGTCCCAACGAGGACTAGTCTCCGCCCCGCTAGAACCACGCCACCGTTAACCGAACACGGCTCGGAGACTAGTCCCTTTTCGGCCACATCTCAAAGTAATCATGTATGAACATGCCATTGCAACAATGGGTATTGTAGTAGAGAGGTCGTTACCAGGCAGAAAATGAATTCTAAACAATTTCAAGATGAGATTCTGGCTAAAACGAAAACCCTTTAGCAGTGTTTGTATTAAGCCATACTCCACTAGCCACATGTCCTTCTTGATCGATGCCTACCACATCTCGCGTCGCAGCATCAAGCGAGCCAGATGTGCCGATCAAAACGAACATTAATTTTGGACTTTTAGAGATACCCTTGTATTAGATCAATTTCGGTCGTAGCTTTATTAGATTAAGAGTGGCGAGATGCCACTGCATTCGCGCATCCAGCATTCTTTTGCCCTCGTCCAGAACCAGGCCACAAAAATAGCCTGCAGTAGTGAGCCAGAGAGCCAACCTTAGTGTTGCTGTTCCTCATTCTCAGCAGCAGGATCCATGTTGATAACATGCCAGTCAGCATAGACGGTGTCGCCGATGCTGATGATTCCCGTGGCAATGGGTTCACCCTCTCCTCTCTTCGCCTCCTCGTACGTCTTGTACACAGACGCCTTATGGTCAACCCCCTTCACCAGGGACAAGCCTGGGGCATTGAGATTGGGGATTTGCTTCTTCTTCTCCGAATCTTGTACTGTCGTCGGCCTGTGTGATTTTACACGCCAATTGTTAGTCATCGACTCTTGTCCCTATTACGCGCTAGAGAAAGATGCGGTGGTCAAACGGGAAAGGGGGGCACTTACAGGGGCTGCAAGCTGGCTTCGAATACATCATCCATCACGACAACCACTCCATTCTTGAGCTGTTCATCGGTCAGGTGCGCACTCAGATCCGTCTTGACCAGATCAGCGCTAATCTGCGCGTTCGGCGCCTTCTTAAGAACATGGTCCACGTGTACCTCACTCTTGCTGCCGTAGAGGTAAAAGGGCATCTTGGCAGGGTAGTCATCATCCAGCGCGGCAAACGACATTGACTCATCAACCACCACCCGCACATTGCTGAGCGCGAAATCTTTCTCTACCGGCAGCGCGGAATTCTCGCCCGCGGGGAAGCCCTTGTCAAGTCGGAACTTGAGCTTGGACGCGGTATCGGGATTGAGCAGGCCCGCAATCAGGTCCTCGAGTTTCTTCTTCTCCATGTTGGCGATGGTATAGAACTGGCCAGGATTCTTGCCGCGCTCCTCCGTGTACCGCGCGTGCACGTTCGCCGGGAGGTCGGCCGCAATGATGAGCTGCTTGCGGTAGTTGGCCATGTTGAACAGGGCGATGTGGGTGAAGTATACCTTCTTCAAGCCCTGCACGACGAAACCGTGGAAGTCGGGGGTCCGCGTGTTGCGGATGAGGCAGCGCTCGACGCCGCGCTCGGCCACCTTGCGGAAGTCCTCCACCATGGTGCTTAGGAAGTCGGGGCTAGTCGGCCACGGGCTCATAGTCACGTTGGAAAGGAAGCGCAGGTCGCCTCGCGAGGCCTTGACGTTGCCTTCTTTGTCGGTTGTTTTGAGTCCCAGGCGGAACTTGAAGGTCTCGAGACACTTGCCGTACGGCTTCTCGCCGAACTCGGAGCCTGTGAGGAAGAGTGGCCGCTCTTTGACCACGTCCTTCACGGACAAGACGGAGAGCTTGGAAAAGATCCATTGGTTGAGGTAGTTGGCTTCGCCCTGGTTGATGACGGTCGTTCAGCGTCTGCATGCAACATGGGGGGAAGCTGACTCACCACATCCTGATTCACCTCGTCACCGATCTTGAAGTTGGTCGCAAAGGCGTTGATCATGAGATCGCCTCCCAGCTCACACAGCAGCTTCCAGGCCTTTTTGTCCTCATACAGTGTCTTGTTGTCACGACCGAGGATCTCTTTTCGGATGTAGTCTTTCTGAGCCTCGACATCCCCGCCTGATGTCCTCTCCGAAGGGAGACTTATGATAGGCGCAACGATGAGGCTATCAGCGGGCACTCTGTGCTCAAGCTTATCCTTGGGCCTCGGTGTCATTGTGGCCCAGTGGCAATAGAGCTATTGGAGATAAAAAGATTAGCCCAGAAAGGGGTATCTGTTAATGAGAAAGCGCGAACCTTTGTGCACGAGAAAATGGCCTCGCCAAGCAGCCTGCCATATCCGTCCTGGTTCAGGCCCAGCGACTCGTGGGCAAGCCAGGTAGCGACGGCGGATGCACCGGGCTTGCTTCCCTCAACGCCATAGACGCCGATACTGCCCTGTTCGTCGCCCTCGTGGAACACGTAGGGACTCGTCCAGGTGAGGAGATACCGCATGCGCCCATCTCGGTAGCAGAGTCCGCCAGCAGGGTAGTTGATGTATCCCGATCTGCGATGGTTGGTGTCAAAGAAGGGAGGAAACTATTTCAACCGCATCTGGTAGGGGAGAAGACTTACTTGTGCGGATCGATCGTGATGCTATCCGCGTCCTTTAGGTGCTGCAGCTGCGTCTCGGTGTATGGATTCAGGGGCATTGCCGGCACGTATGGGATGAAGCCCGGAACGCGGCGCTTGAGCGGCCTCAGCAGCGAGGCAAAGTAGCCACCCCACGCGGCATCACAGTGGACTGCGAATGACACACCTTTTTCTCTTTGGTACTCCTCGCGCATCTTGATGATCTCGGCGAGAGGGTCGCACGCTCCGTGCTCCGTGGAGCCCATGATGGCGACGACGCCGAAGATGGGGATCTCATTTTCGATGCACTTGTCAATCTTTTTCCTGAGGTCATTCGCGTTCATCCGGACCTCATTGTCGACGTCGATGTCGACGAAGCCCTCAGAGCCGATGCCCGAGATGGCTTTTTGAGAGTCTGTTAGCGACATGGACGCCTGGTATCACGTTAACGAATGACTGAGAAACTCACCTCCGCCCTTGGGCCAAGAGTAGTGCTTTGTCGCACAGATCATGTACTTTCCCTTGTTGATGTCGAACATGCTCTCCAACTCGCCCTTGCCCATCGTCTGGACTAGGTACGGCTTAAGCGCGTCCTGCAGGAAGCCCGAGCTGATGGAGTACTTCTCACCCAGCAGTGTGGGAATCGAAAGCACCGTGGGGGGTGTTAGATTCAAGAGCTCCTCCTTGGTGAGTTTTAGAAATTCTTTTGGTCCTGCGTTGCATGTTTCGACGATGAAGGGCGGCTTAATGGTGCTGAGAAACTTGAGTGGGCCTTTCTCAATGGCGAGCTTGAGGGAGAATGGGTAGAACTTGAGGTTTCGCGCTATTGAAGAGATATAGAATGATTAGATCTCATTCTTTGCGTGGATGAGAGCAAAAGGGGGTACGTACTTGCCCAAATGGCCTCGAGATTGGCTACGGACCCATCCTGACGGCATCGAGAACGCGTCAACAATTATCACTGTCCGTTGACATGAAAGCCACTGGGGGGAAGTGGGCATGAGCGGAGACACTTACGCATGTTATATGCCCCCAGGGAGCGGGATCTTCGTTCAAGCCATTGTATCCCAGCATCTCGCAAAGCTGCTCACCGACCTGCCGCTCGATTTCGGTTGTGATTGGGCTTGCCTCAGTGGCGACATTGTTGGGATTGTACATCATGGTCGACATGTCTTAAGGTTACCAGCGTTAGAGACTGCGGTTCAAGTGGCTGTTTAAACGTTGTCTTACACCCAATAATGCTCGCCAGCGTGGTATCCATGTTCATATGCCCATTGTACCGTGGCGACCAGAATGGCACGGAATGCTCCGCCAGCTTATCCGACAGTTCCTTCGAGTTATCGGCGAGCCTATGAATGCTTTGCTGGTAAATATCTAATGCTTTCATCTCCTCTGTAATGAAGATGTCCTGGTCCTGTTCTGCGAGTTCGACCCGGGCTTGCTTTTGGCGCTCGAGGACTTGGCCGAAAAGTGACTGCAGGACGTCCATGTTCTCAGCACGCGGGCCGAGAAACCAAGAGCTGACGAGGGCATGTTTGGCCTGGTTCTCGTCGATGTCGCCTTGTGTTCTGTGGCCTGGCATGGCGGAAATGAGAGACGCAATCGGCTTGGAGTCAAATAGTCTGTGGGCTGGCATGGTGGAGATGAGAGATGCAGTTGCCTTAGAGTCAAGTAGATAGTAGGTATGGTCTCGTATGTGATTCAAGATACGAGTAGGCTTGAATAGGTGCTAATATTCCAACTGAGATTTTAAAAGATAGAAGACTTCACATTTGAGTTTTAGGAGGAACAAACGGCTGAAGATGAACCTATATATACCGGGTTTGCCTCGCTGATGACGTCGCTGGACCTATACGTCTTTAGAGAGAGTGATTAAATCGTCCAAGAGGCAATACTCTGAGGCACTATCAGCGTTGCTGTCAGCCCCGTGAGCGTCGATAGCTGGCCACCACTCCGAAGCTTCTTTCCCATTTGACCACTGTGTTCACACGGGTTACACGGCATTCACCTCGCATTCGATAGTCTAAGAGCAAGCCATTTCGACATAAGTTCCATCTATATTTCCCGCTTTTTATATTTGAAGGTACATCACTCTTGCATCTCAGCTTGGCTCTCACGCAAGACCTGGACCATTCGAAGCAGACGATGGCTGCAATACTGCAGCGTAACATATAAGTGAATCCCACGGAACTTTTGATCACATTAATCAAGCCACTTATTCTAAGCTCGTGAAAAGATGAATGCCGATACCACTGTTAATTCCCGCAACATTGCTAGGAATGTGATCTCTTTACTGTACTTCAAGGAGCACTTAATCAGGCAGATGTGCACTGAGGGTTAGGTAGATATATGTCATGGTATAGGCCGTGGCACGTGCTAGATAGCTGATATATAAGGATGAGTTAGAGGCGATACTCTCGCTGAGGAGGTTTGCTCCTTAGTGAGCGATAAAATCACAATATTCTGCTCTATCACCGCTAGCTGGCCGCGACCTTACTCTTCCCTTCCCTTCGGCGTGCCACTGCCCTTTTCAATCACTGACGATATACGTCATGGCTAGGTAGGTGTACGTTGTAGCTCAGGCAGATGTGCATCGAGAGTTCGGCAGATGTGCATCGAGTTTTTGGCAGATGTGCACTGAGGGTTGGGTGGATATACGTCATGGATTAGGTAGGTGTGCGTTGTAGAGCAGGCAAATATGCGCTGTGAATGAGACAGTCCTCACTTGCAGGTCGCAGCTCAACAATAATTTCTTAGAACATCCACCCATTCATGATCCTTCACAGTCTGCCCGGTACCCACAAGCCCTCGTATAGAAACACTCAAGGTCGAACACCGTGGCGGACGGATCAAATGAAGGCCCGGAATTTGCGTTATTGATAGGTATCGACGAATACAGCGGCCCTGGTTTGACCGACTTGCGCGGCTCCCTCTTCGACGAGTGCCTAGTCCTAGCTCGCAGAGACGGCAAGCTCAATCACCTCCGTGACGTCGGAATTGCCTTTCTGCTGGACCAGATAGCTGACAAGGGCGCAACGGTTACCTTCATGCTTGACTGCTGCCACTTAGGCGGGGTCAGGCGGGAGAAGAAGTGGACAGCGATGGGGTACGGGGATCCGACGAGTTCCCGGGCGAGAACTTTTTTTGTATTCAACTGGAAGCTCGTCAAGGAGTATCTGGAGAATGCCTTGCGCCTGCCCCCGGACGACGCGAGCCGCGTCGGGAGTAGAGTGCAGCACTGGATGACGGCGTCCGAGGGGATCAACTTTCTCGCTGCGTATCAGGGGAAGCAGAACGCGCAGGAGATGCCGCCCATCGGAGGGACGCACTTCTTCACCATAATGCCGCCATCGAACAGGGTGCGCGACGCTGTTCAGCCTGACACGCTCGACATCAATAAATAGAAGCAAACGAGAGCTTTCAAGAGGGGGGGCTTCTTTACGGTATTTAAGAGGCCCATATTAGTTAGTAATCAATATAGTCAAATTGGAGCTAATAGGGCCACGG